GTTCGAAAAATATATATAAAGTTATAAATTAATATATTTATTCTTCGTTCTTTCTAAACAGCGTTTTAAGATTAGTCTTCCATCAGCATATAGGGATAAAAGGACTTGTTGAAAGCTGTCTTATATTTCATGTATACACTTAGAATCATAAATTTATATTTTGTGCTTCATAAATGCAAGTATAGATCAACACATACTTTATACAGTTCTCATTTCTATGAACTATTGAATTAGAAAGCAATTTCAACATTAATTCAATATAATTGTACTACAATTATTATTTAACAGTTGTAATAAAAGAAGCTAAAGGACTCAGATCTAGATTTGACTATTACAATTGTCTATTTGTAATAATCAGTAGGGTTTTCAGTGTCTGTTGTGTTATAAAGGTACATATATCAAGATTTTCACTCAGTTTAGTCTGAAGCTAGATGATACGCCAGCGCTAGCAACAAATATTAATGAGTTTATACAAATAATGTCTTAAATAAATCTTTTTGGAATACATGCATATTTCCTCCGTGTGAAAGATGAGTCAGATGAAGTGGAAAATGAACCGTAAAATATACGAATATTACAAAAACAAAAGACATGCCGCCACCCTTCTGAAAATAAATTGCTAATCTGCACGTAGTTTATTGAGGTGTGTCAAACAAAATTTAGAGAACAATAAAATCAATAAATTAACAGCTTTAAAGCGATAATCTTTAAAATGTTGACTTATTTATTACTTATGTATTTATTATATCAATAGCGATTTCGGCAGATTTTGTACCCTACTCTGGCCAGTCCAAAATCCGGATTAAAAAATACCAAATAGGAAATTCTTATAAAAAAGTCAGTACGGCTTATAAAATATTTTACTTAACCTTTTTAGAGACAGAGCCAAGTTAAAATTGGAGAAAATCATTGGTGAACGTCTTAAAACTTTAAGAAATGTAAGTAATTTTCGCAGTTTACTATTTATATCGAAATTAACAAAACAAAGAAGAATAAATCACTAAGAATTTATATTAGAAATGAATCTATTGAAGTCAGAAGAGGAACGTTCCTTTCATTGCATCACATGCCGTTGAGTAAAGGTACAAAAGGAAAATAAAAATAATCTGGACTTTGAGAGGTTTAAAGATCATTAAATGTACGACTTTCAGTAGTGTTGGTAATTAAAACTGAAGAGGAAAAATAATTAACAATCTCACTAGTACGGATAAGTCAGAAATTGATGTTTTAAAGGAATAATCTTTTTCGAATCGTTAATAAACGATTACTTCAGTTCTTTAAAGAGCTCTATTTGACAAATTTTTCATAGTTTTACTTAAAATTGCAGTTTCCAAGTTGCTTATTCTTAAATTTTAAGTAAAGAGAAAAATATATTTATTTAAATATTGCTATTTCTGTTCTTCTTAATAGGTAAGTATTATAAATCATAAGGAATTCTTATAAATAAGGTCGCTTATGTGTTTATTTAAAAAATTGCTATACTTTTATATACATGGGTTACTTTGCAATACAAATAGAAAAAAACAACAAGAAGTTTTCGATTTTCCATGGTATCTATTATCTTTTAAACGGATTTATTACATGCATAGTTCAATTAGTGTAATCCATTAGGTAAACAAGTTGGCTGTACAGTGTACTGTTACATCACAAAGGTCTGGTTCTATTCAATAATATTTATGATTTTTCCATAATAAATAGATATGTAGTTTCTTTTAGACTCTCCTTTGCGAGGCAGAAGACAAATGATGCACAGAGTTAGTTCGAAAAGAAATAAAGGAATAGTGAGTGCAGGTCTCAATTTGATACAAATGTAAACAGAATTAAGTATGACGCGTCCCTATTGGAATGCCGATGTAGAATGCACGAAGCACAACACGCTTGAACACACTAATTGAACTGTGCCGTAGTCCGCTAGTGTTCAACGCATCCGCTCTGTTACCGTGAAGCTGTTTTCAATTGAGAAGTATATGTAATAAATCTGTTTAGAAGAAAAGTCGAACGTATAATTTGTACGGACATAGAAAGTTTTTTAGAAAGGAGTAGAAGGTTCAGCCAGCGTGTAGCGAGCGAAGTGAGCGGCGTTTGTTGACTGTTGCGACACTACGCGGAACTGACGGCCTTCGTTGTCAACGTTTTAATTGAACCCGATAAAAATATTTTATATACCACGTATATGATACTAGGCGTATTATCAAAAAACGTTTAATATTCCTACAGTTAATTATTACTTGGCATATCGTAGACGACATTTATTATATTATACTGGTGAATAAACGTGTACCTACATTAACGAATTGAGCTATATTTAACCATTGTTGCTAACGGTCGTTGAATTAGCACTTTTTATTGTTTTATTTCACCATATTTATTATTAACATCTTGTATAACAATAACATACTTCTTTGTCCTAATTAAATTATCTAACTAATTCATCTCTAACATTTACATAAAAAAACAAAAACAATGAAGATACATTTGTACGGTTTTACACCATCAGTAGTTATTATTCTAAAAATTATGCATGTTTGTTTTAAAATAAACACTTCAGCTCAACATAAATTTGCGATAAAAAATTCCTAATGCAGTTTCGGGTGTCTAGACGTAAAACATTAAATATGCTTCGTTTCTCGGATATTCAAAACAAAACGAACTGGACTCGTATATCAGAAAGAAATATTTGACTTGAACATATGGACCATACCTAGTCTATGATTCGCATTGCACATGTTGATAATTAAAATGTGTTCGTGGAAAAATTTCATTACTGTGCACGCAATCATACGTTTCAAGTGTGATCTCCAATCGCATAGCGCTGGCCTCTCAATTATTGTCATGAACGCAGAGACGGACTGTACTGTGTACAGTGGACACAACAACAATGGATCAGTTGTTATATACGAGCAGACACGACATGGGGAAGTTTGAGCGATGAACTCACTCCCGCGCTCTGTCTAGCCGTTTATAGATCTCTGTTAGTGACATCAAGCTGTACTGTTTTGACATTAACGAAAAAACATATCACGCTTTTAATAGTTTAAACATAAATATCTGGCAAAATAATCTTTGATTAGGCCTTGGAATGAATTAGCATACACTTAATTGTTTAAGTTTGATGACAAAGGAATGTTATGAAATATCACGTATACCTATTAATTATTTAATTGATCCGAGCTGTCACAGTCTCAAAATTATTTTGACTGTCTTCTTTAATTAATATGTGGTGAAAATCTCGTCTCATCTTCGTCGTGATGCTGTAATAGAGCCGTACTTTCGATGTGAGTGGAACAGTGAATTGGATGTCTAACATCTAAGTTATATTGTTCCGAAAATAATGTATGCAAATAAGAAATTCGCCAAACGACCAGACATGTTAATTATATCATTGTTCATCATCATAATTGTTTTGAAATCATAACGTTTGTTGAATGATTTAAAATTATTTTCATACTAATTCACTACAGTAATGTACCGTTGTAATTGTAACTTTTATATCGGTAACTCACGCAACAAATGTTTCCATATTTGATCACTCGATTCATTTTTCTAAAAATATTTGATCGAACGTTTCATTGTCTATAAATTTTACATGCGATGCAATCATTTTATTTCTAGAGCCGTATTAATTTTGCATGTTATCAATTTTATGCTTTACAAAGAGCGAGAGTATTTTTATGTAACAAATAATAGCTACTGGGCTGCGAAGTATTAAAAAAATAACTATTTTTCGTATACATATTAATTTTTACTATTCTCGTACGTGACTTTATACAAATTTTACAAAGAGAAGTAAAAAAACACATTAGCTAACAATGTGACACGGATTTGTTTATTAAAAGGTCGTTGGAAACTCCCACGCATGTCGCATTAAATGATGTTAATATAACATTCATATGCAAATTACTTAATAACATGTTCATACTATGTTACTTTTAATTGTCTGTCTGTATGGAATGGAAAATATCAAAAACCGTTTATCCTTTACATTTATGCAACGCTATATTACAAAATATATGTGTATGCAGATAATTCTATGAATTCATTGTATAAATGGCATTTAAAATTACATAATTACGGATTTGTATACTTTATTGGTTTATAACAAAGAAAAGATGAAATTCTGTTCGATATAGACGAAACAAACATTTTAAAAAAATAAAATAAGAATGTTCAATATTTAAAATTCAGTAAGAATCCTAATGAAATGAGTAGAGAACAATGAACGTTTTAAACCTTCGTATCCTCATTACCATACATCGAGATGACTTGAAGAGCCTTTTCACCTCTTACGTACCTGAAACTAAAAAAGAATTCATTACAATTCTGTATAAATATTCATTTAAATGCAACGTATAATATAATACTAATTGGAAAATAAAAGTGCAATTCGACAAATTAACTGACAATAGTAAGACATTTTGTAAACTTAATGAATGTATTTAAAGCAATTTGTAAAACAGATGTTATAATACATTCTGAATACATCACGAGTTAACGACGTGGTGAAAGTCGGAGTGATTTATCTCATTTCCCACTCTAATCGTTACGTAACTAGTCATTTCCAATGACTTATGATGAACCCGTCTCTTGACACAAAATAATGCATATATTCGCTGTTCTTTAATAAATACGACGCCATCTTTGTTTGAATTCATGTAACATCAATTCTAAGAAATATTTTTCGTTACCTATCTACATCGTTTTTTTAAAAATCAACAGCCGGCTTCCTGTCTGTCATAATATTAAATAAATATACCAAACTATAGTTTTAGAGTAACTAATCTCTAGCTGTAAAAATATTAACAGCTAGGTACAGTTTTTCATCTACCCAATTTGATTTAATAAATTCCAATTAGATGCTTTTCTAAAATGTTAAAACATTTTTTCGTATGACACACCTATTTCTGTACTTCAAACTGCGTAACAAAGTATCGTCTATTTAATAGACATTTATAATAGCAATCATAATTTTCTGATGAGGTGAAAGCAATCAGAACTTCCTTTTAAATACGAAGCTGTAGAAGTGTTACAAGATTGCATTGAGGCTCAGGGAGGGCAATCAGGGAAGGTATTGGGGATGATAATAAAAATGTAGTCTGGCGCACGTTTGAGGTGACGTGGCAGGATACTAACGATATTACAGGGCGTCTGGGACGGCGGGGGTGAGGGGGGGTGTTTGCGTCGCTGCTGCAGGGCGCCGCCGCGGACCCCCGGGCCGCCCACAGCCTCTTATCGATCTGGACCTCCCGTATCCCAGATGCACCACTTGTTACGTCTCTCAATATTGCAATCACGATCCGATATAATTTACTCATTATATATAATAATAATTAGCATAAAATGATTCCATACACCGATATAGTTTGTTTAATACCATGAAATTATCAAATGCATTCGATAAATGTATATTTAAATGGGGGAAACGGTTTGCATAAGCCGACTTATCACCAACTAAGCGACGTTGATAACGGAATTTTTGCAACGCTTGAGCCATAAATACCGAATGCTTAGGAATTAATGTATTTTATATAAGCACGCAACCAATTATCGTAAACTAAGACGTTTTTTACAAAGTAACTATAAAAAATAAAATATTCATGTAACGTTTGATAACGTTTTAATTAAAGCCGTTGATAATTCAATACATTAAAGGTTACATTTACTTTTAAATAGAAAAAAATCATTGAATAAATTAGTATGGATCAATAAATATAACGAGTTTGCAAATCAAATACCTAATACTTTGTTTATTACTAGAGTGATACGCGTAGGAGTAATAAATATTGCTAACAGTACACAAGTAACAGTGGAATGACCGATTACTAGGCGTTCTAGATCGAGGCGCAGGTGTAACTTATAATTTTAGCATACGCGTAATATTTGACGGAGACGTGATAATTCGTCTGAATAGTAGAAAATTACCACAAAGTGTATTGAACTATTGATACAACATTGAAATCGAAACCTTTTAGAGTTCGCATCTATTATTTTTATAAGTTTTAAGTCTTAACTTCAAAGAAATACATATCTTAATAACATCCGATTTTCTTTGATAACAAAACTTATCTATATAATTTTGATTTAATCAAATAAATTACGGCAAAATGTTCAAATGTAAACAATAACAAAGTTTAATGATAATTGCTATAACAATAAAAATGATACCTATTTGATAATAAAAAAATTTCGTTATAGTAAAAGATATCTAAGCTGGCATTATTTGACTGAAATAATATACGATTCTGAAGAAAAACGCAGCGTTCTATTTAATAAATAATGCATGATATGCAATCATTTACCATACAAGACAAAATTATGAACACCATGGAAATTATTGTACGCATACGAGCTATATATCATAAATATTGCATCATTTAGTTTAAAATAACAAAGTTTAAGTTAGCAAATGAAACTAGAGAAAGTGTCATGTCAGGTGCGGCGCCGGCGGAGAGATCGTTGGAACAAACTTAAAAACATCTCGCCACATACATAATCTATGTATACGACTTACGAGGCGTCAATTGCAACGAGAGACAACGCACTCGCATCCAATCATACAAGAAAACCTGCGACGGACCACAGGAGTAGCTTTGATTCCAATTGAAATCATTACAGCTCCGTCTCGCTGCTCTTGTACTATTTGCTCTATTACACGTACCCACGCTACATACGGCTAAATTGCGAAATGTTTGTGTTCATTGCTTTATTGCAGATGCCAACTTATTCGGGCTGTTAATAAAGCCATGTGTAGTGATTGTGTGAGATTTATAGCATTGTGCGTGAGCATTAAACGAAGGCCGGTGTCTATGCAACGAGCGCAATGAGAATGATCAATAGAACGTGCATCTTCCAGTTTGAATGCAGCGAATGTTGACAACATAACATAAATTTATGTAGTCATATTATTTGTTGAACAGTATCTACCTATGGCGCATAAAATGTAAACGTGCCTCAACGTACACGCTCATAACCAGTCACTTACACGACGAGGAAAATCCAACATCCTGTTTTATCAGTGTTTGCAATTGTTTAAGAATGTTAAAGAAATCATTAAAATTTTTCAATATATTACTATTGATAATAATTACGTCTTGTAAAGTTTTCAAATTGCAATGGTACATTTTTGTTATTTATTTTTCCAACAAATGCGATAGAACTATGCATATAACAAAACATGAAGACAATTCGTTGAAGAAGATATAATTTTTTTTTATTTCTCGTTTATATATATTTATATGTAGTCATTAAATTAGTTTAATTTCAATACACTAGTAAGGTAGCGGGTCGCGGTCAACGCACGCGCCGCCTGCCGGGCCTCCCACATTCACTATGGCAAAAATAATGCAGACACTCGTCTCGCTCGTTTTGGCAATATTCTTATTTAACCCATTATGTATGGACAGACTGTAAAGAAAGCGGCCGCTTTGTTACCATTGTTCTTACAAAAATCTCGTATCTGCGTACGAAACCACGATGTCTTTGGTCAATGAACTAAACGTATTCAACAAAAAACTAGCTACGAACTGCGGTTGTATCAAATAACTAATCATAACAGAACGTAGGGTTGGCAATAAAACTCGTTTTGAATTTGATATCGGATTATCTTAGCTGGTCTTAATGCGTTCAATAAGTAGAGATTATTAAATAAACACAAATAATACATAACATTCAACTAAGATGTCCATTAATATTTATTATCGAGATAAGTATTAAAATATACTTTGAGAAGTATCTATGAATGATAAAACATGTCATAAATATTTTGTTCAATCATAAAAAAGTGCATCGCAGAGCCCTACAAGCTTGAAGCTGGCTCGGAATTTGATATTAAATAATAATGAAACTTTCGCTTGTGACTATATTCACTAAAGCTGAAATGAAAATTGTGACTCGTGAGTCATTGACGACTGTGGTTGTATGCTATTATTAAGACAGCTAATTCTATATATAATTTACTAAAATTACGCATAATCGTTGTATAAACGAGTTGCCACGGTGGTGGTAAGGGAGGGCGGCAGGCCTGGGTCCGCGGGGGGGAGGGGGGAGCGTTCAACGAACGTCCGCGGACCGGCACGGGCCCAAGGTCGCCTGTCGCCGCCGTCTCTGATTATTGCAGCTCGCATTCACTATCTAGTACCCACTTTATTACTTTAGAACCTAAGATCACGTTCTTACTGAGACTTCCAATAGAAGACCTCTTCGGTTCCGAGAGTACCAACAAAATTAATTTTAATTACATTTTATATTTAAGATTGGTTTCATTTTTGTTACAAAGGTACATATTACGGATATTTTTTTTCAACTTACTATAAATCGTGATGTAAACAATTAATTCAAAGTATTAATTGATATCTGATTGATTGTAACAATCCAATCAATTAGCTAATACTTATTGAAATATCTGTAATTATTAATATTTATGATTTCCCTTAACCGTTTGTTTCAAACAAATTCAAACCTACATTATATGCAACATGTTTATTGATAGTATAACTATTTGTATATTGACGACTAAGCTGTCAAAAATGCTGAACGTCTCAATGTTTTAAACGGATGTTTGTGCATTGTGCAACCAATGGCGTGTCGAAACTCTAAAAGTGAACGCTGGGTGATGCAATCTTTTATTAGCGAAATACCAACGAAGCACTGATGCAAAAATACTAGACTTTGATTTGATTATAATATTATGCAAATTATATATTATTTGAGATTCAACTCATTCATAAACTTATGTTGAAACAGAAAGTTAAGCTCTCAAACACCGCTCCATTATCTTTGAGATTTTGGACAAGTTTTTGTTTTCAATGTTTGATTTGATTCCTAACATGCAACTGAATTTAAGAGCAGTTATCCTTCAAAGGAATTACTTAAAACTTTTATGGATATCTCTTACCATGTTTAAGTTAAATAAAAATATAGAGGACCATATCCAAAACTTGTTTATTTTTTGGTACATCATGATATGGGTATTAAACTAAAGGTTTGCTGAGAAGATACGGAAAAAACTTCACACTTAATCTGATATGGCGAACGACCTACGACGACCTGCTGGGAACGTACTCTGGTGATTTGTATTTAATTTCATTTTGTATATAAAATAAAGGAATTGCAACCAACATGAAAAAAAATCGGTAAAATAACGCAATGGATGATATGATACTAAACAAAAATTAAAAACTCAGACTGTATCTACTTTTAATATTTTTTCTGTTTCTATTTGAATACAATTTTATTTCTGTATTCTTAAAGCGTAAAGTATAGGGAAACTCAAAAAAGCCAGCGAATTAATTATGACAACCTTATAGAAAAGAAGCCTCTTGTATATGTTTAAATTGTCAAGGCTGAGAAAAAAATATCTACTATATTCTTGTCTTTAAATACTTAATGCTTATAACTTTCAACTTAATAAATCTAGCCAAACCAATTTCGCTATGCCCGGTGTCCAATTAATAAAAATAAAAAACAACTATCAAACATGAGATATATAAAACTTTAAATCGTACGAAATACAAAGTAAAATAAAGAGGGCTTCGTTGCTGTGAAGGGTCAACTGTAACAACCCTCAAGGCTTTCTTCTAACGACTGCAGAGAAATTCCTTGAGAGCTCGGTTCAACGGCCGCGCCGGAGTAAACGCATGTGTCTGTGTGTATACCTGTGAGAGTACACGCGCTAGTGCAATCGGGCTTCTGCAAACATGAAAACCGTTACCGAGTTCCCATACTTTAACTGACACAACCGAACCTTGCATCAAGCTTTTTTAAGGGAATAACTTATACCGACGCTCCATAAAGTCTGATCCGGCTTAATGTGAGAAATATGAAAAATACATTGAATGATAACATTAATTCCCATGAACACATAGTGTAAACGCAACCCAAGAAACTATTATCTTGCAATATCTTAATGTAAAATGTATGTAGCACAGAGTATAAAGAACATTATAAAATATGTGTGCGCCCGCGCAGCTCTGCGTCGGAGAGAGGCGGTATTCCGCGGAATTCGATTATAACATACAATTACATCACACTCAGACTCTAGATTATTGAAGACATAAAGAAGATACATCAATATATTAATATGAACAAATATAAATGTTACTCAAACAACTATGTTCACAGCTTAGAATCTTTCGTTTTGTCAACTTTTAAATTACAAAATTCATTATCTCTTGGCTTCATGATATAGACGATACCGAAAATAAAAAATATTATGAGAGTCGAGACATAAAACATATTTATTATGATTTAGTCACAGCATTTGTTTTGTAATAAATTTCCCACTGACTTTAATATTTCAATACATTAATTTTATCGTAGCATGATCGGGTACTATAAATTACAATATATTTTTTATTTCTTTTGATACTTAATAAAGGAGTCATGAAAATAATGCCTACAAAACTAAACTTCATTTGATTGAATTTTCTATTAATTAGTTTTAATAGAAAAATAATTGTATACATGTACTATTACAATAAACATGTCTTCACTCCATAAATTCTTATAGATTTGTATGTTTCAATAACAAACAAATTAAAAATATTATATAGGGGTTAAAATATTAATGAAACAAAATGTTAGCCATATTCCAATAAATAAAATATTGAACATCAAAACTCATTATGTAGATCAGTTTTGATATTAATACAATATATTTCATAGATACATTTATATGAAAGAAATTAGATGAACTATTTTTAAACGAGTTTTTGTGTGTGGTCGGAAGGCACAAAGCGTTATAGTTATCAAAATGTACAAAAACAATGTGATGACAAGAACAATTCCCCGAATTTCCAAAGGAACTCGTTTATATGAAATGAGATAAAAGGTTACCGAGATTGTGTAAATTTGACCCGACACCCGGACTTGTGTGATAATATTTAAATGGTAATTAGATACAAATACTAATCACATTATATTACTACTATAATTTTATGAATTATGAACTTATCTTAGGACCATAAAATGTTTAAATAGATAGTAGCCGAGTAAAAACTATACCTAAATGTTAACAAGATGTTATGTATCGTATTCAACGATATTTTGTTTACAATCACGAAACAGATCCAATACATTTCTCATAGTGGTTAGTAGACGAAATATATAAGTAAATGATAAACATCTATGATAAAACCTAGATAGCCATCTATGGAGTTGTTATATTGGACATAAATCCTATCGGCATCGACGGTATTAATTAGTTATCAAAACCATGTAGGTATGACAGGGGACCTGCGCCGTCATGTCAATCTACGCCCACTGTTAACTAAACAAGTAACTTTAATAAACAATTTAAAATCGAGATGAATTTTGCAGACAATAATGTGTGCAACGGTAGGTAGATACAGGAGTGGCGACGAACATCGAGTCACACTGACATTGCGTATAGTCCGGCATCCCATATGGAATGCGGTCGCTTGACCGGCTGCGCACCTCCCCGCGCCGACGCCCGCTCTCCTCCATGTTTTCTTGTTCATTCGTTTCCGTCCACCATATGGAATATTGGGATAGGACTCGTCATACTAATAAGAATCCAATAGCCGGAGCATTCCGAAATTGAGGGAATTCTATCTTTGACTTTCCATGAATCATGTCCGGTTTTAGATGACGTCATAACCGCAATAAAGAGTTATCTTTTGTTTTTCTTTATCAAAAAAAAATAAAACAACAGAGTAAAGAATTTTATACGATAAAATTAAGATGGTCAACATTGCCGGGGATCTGTTCTTCTCTGACGTTCCAGAGCGTGTCGCTAGACGGCCGCCACGTCGCGACAATAGTACTTCCAGTACACATAGAAAACATTTTGCAAAACAAATTCAATTACGACTCACCTTGGGAGAAAAGCTGCCGCTGGGTGTAAATTTCCACCACCTCGGACGCACAGATAATCCGGTTATCGTCCGTACGGCACAAATATTCACCACACCAAAACGACAACATAAATAAACGCGAGTGGGACCACCGACCGGGAACCGCCGCCGAACTCTCCTCACTGATCGGATCGTAATTCGGAAAAATGCTCGGGGCGGGGTTTTCGAATGTCATAAGCGACCGGGTGCCAGAGGTCGGTCACTGACGGAGAGAGGTCAGAGCCGCAAATCACAAACGTCAAGAGCGACGCCGCGGAGAATACTGAGCGGCGGCCGGCGAGTGATCGCTCTCTCCCTCGTCCCGCCGTCCTCCGGGGGCCGCGAGGGAGGGGAGGGGGGCTCGCTCGACGTGGCCGCCGCCGCGCCGCCGCACGCCGCACGCGCCCGGTCCTCATAGCAACGAGATGCTGCCCGCCGCTACCGCCGCCGGTGCCATAGTATACGCCTACATCATACCACGTCCTTATGATCACAGAATTTTTGTAAAAGATAATTATCCATAAAAGTACAACATTCATAAATAGCCGTGTTTTTTATTGTTGCATATCTACTTTTATTTTAACGTGTTATGTTTAGAGATTAAAAACAATGTTTTACTATTTTTATACCTTATTTAGTTTTCAAATATTTTCATCATCTTTCAAACATAATTATTGTAACAAAAAACTATGGCTTGCAGATTATAATAAGTCAATAATAACAACTGCTAGTAAATCCTCACACACTATGAAGCGTTGTTGCGCATCGAGGAAACGAGCAGTTCCTGCATTATCTTGCAATTAGAGCACTTTCTTTCCCATTGTTAGCGTGATGAAATCAGTTTTACTATCTAGAGATGGAGCTAGATTGCAGAGTGCAGGCGACTTGTTACCCGTGCCTGTCGGGACTTTCACTCACAATCTGCAGCTTACAAATGCAAGCTGTTGTAATTCTTTAAACAGCTATTCAGACCCTTAACATTTAGAACGACGCAATCTGTAATAAACGACGCTCGATGATTGAATTGTTACTTAACGAAATTTAATATCTTACGGTTTTACGTTGTAGTACCGATGAAACTTCACTATAAAAGCGATATTATTTGAAATATAGTATATAGGCGGTTTAGTCTGAAAGCAACTGCTAAAGTTCAAATATAGACTGGTTTAAGCACAGTGACACCATGGTCAAAAATTTGCCGAGAAATCTCCACGTCCTTTTGCTTGAAGAATTAGAACTCCAAAAGTCCCAATACCTCTCCTCAATCAAGTCTTCTTATAGTCCCTACATTTTTTCCGCTAATGATCTCATCTAACGTGTATCCATAGCGACCATAATTATTTACCATCTGGTAATCCGAGGGATCTTAAGTCATCTTGTATAATAAAAATATCAATATAGGCTATAAAAACATATAGGAGATTGCTTACAACCACAACAGGTGTGTCAATAAACAAGATTCGTTGTCTTTTTCTAGATCTTTAATTTAAAGAAACTTAATGGCATCATAAAGTTATTAATTTCGATTTTTTATACTTGACTTTCAATTCAATTCCATATGCAAATGTCAAACGGACAAGTGGCAGTTTTTAATAGAGGCGAGTTTAGCCATCTCAGTTACACGAAGAAATTAAAAATGACTAATGCAGTGGGTACAAGCTTTAATCTAATAAAAATCACAGTTACGTCAATTTAAACACATTTAAACAATACAATTCAGTCATTTCATGCAATATTAATGACGCACTTTCACATACTCGTCATTAATAATAAAAAAATTAAACATTGTTATGCTTAACAAAATTAAAAACTGTTCTTATAACTAATTGAGTTAGATTTGAAATAGAGAATTCAATGCGATTCCCACATTCGTGACTAAAATGAGGTCACATATTGTACCAACAAAATATACCACACGTATAAAACATTTATATGTCTGCCGTTTATGAATTGATGGCCATAGTTTCAAAGAACGTACAATCTCTTTTTACTTATAACTTAGTAAACAGAAATTATAAATTTTTGTACATTTTAAATTGATATATTGGGTATGAAAAGATATTTAATTCACTGAATCAACTTGAATTCTCTATATACGAATACATAATTGCTTATTCTACAGTGTAATGTAGTTTACAGCCATGGATGCCAGGCGGGGTCCATCCTACATAGATTGTCGTGACTATTGGCTGCAGTCACTAGCGTGGCCACCTTACTGTCCGGTCCGTCGAATAATGCCAGCGAATTCAGTCTATTCATAATAACGGTAACGGCTTTAGTGACCATATTTATTATAGTTTCGTTGTCTATCTCCATAGGTTTATTCTCAGCGGATGTCCCAGCTGTTGGCAAACCGGATTTATCTTCCAGCCGCTTCCTGTAACCGGTGACCATTTCGTCTCGAAGTATGGTGCGCAGGATCGATTGTATCTGTGACATAGTTATCATGATTATTTCTGTCTTAATTAATGATATGATGATTTATGGCAGCGGCGGTATATTATTGTGTAATTTGTTAACCTTGAAATTTGGTGTGACCAGACAACGGGCTACAGCTATGACGGAGGCTGTCAAAGGACCCGTGATGCCGATGTGAGTTACTAGTTCAGAGATGTTCGGAGTCAAACGGAACGGAACAGGTCGGTTACCATCCAACTCGCCTGGAACAAATATTAATATTAAAAAACCCAATACAACTGCAAGCGACTAACGAATCCAATGCTCACTAGGATCCTCATTTGCATCAACTTAACGATGCAATCGTCTACATCGGCGAATTTTACGATCGGTAATTGTTGTATCGTAATTTTTATACCTCAATGTCATAAAACAAGTTCGCTTGTAAATTGAGGAAATCGAAACTTGTTAATTTTTTAACGAAGATATCTGCATATCGTAAAAGCTGTCCGGTTCATGCAAGGCAGCCGGCTTTTAAAAACGAGCCATAAAACAACATTTTGTTAAAAATTGAAATTGGTTAATATTTTATTTTGATAGTATATGTCATACGAGATTTGTCTACCAATCTTGTTTACATTTAATAATGTCAAAATAACAACTTATGAGCTCATATTTTATAATGTGCGTTTCGACTTATATAACTGGCATTAATTTATTATTATTACTTTTAAATTAAAAAAGTCCTATATCGAAAATATTTTTAATCAACCTTTTCTAGTGTAGAAGTATTAAATATCTATATTATAATGAAAAGGAATATTTCATTATCTACATTGTTATCTACGATCTAGGAATATAAAACACGGATAACAAAACGAAAATTAATTGGAATAGTTTTGATTTATATGGTCTATAGATGCAAAAAAAGTATAAGAAACAACATTGTACACAATAAACAGCTAACCTGTTGTATCATCAACGTCGAACTTGAAGTACGCCACATTGAGTAGACCGGAGTCGTGATGCACATACAACATGTCAGGGTTGAGGCGCGTTAAGTGCAGCACGTACTCGGCGCACGCCGCTAAAGACAGCTGCAGTGTCACCATCTTACGGAAGGTCCAGTAATCAGTGGGCGACGAAAACGTGCGGGCCGCCCACTCACGGACCAGCCCGCGGGGAACCATCGTAGCTTGAACCTGGACCCGACAAAACATATCTTTATATATATAATTCTTCTGTGAGTGTGTATGTCACTGAACTTCTCTCAAACGACTGGACCCGATTTCGATGAAATTTTTTGTATGTATTCAAGGGGATCTGGGAATGGCTTAGATTCACAATTTTGTCCGCTGGACAATGTTTTTTTTATTAATTTTTAATTTTTTAGTAGTTGTTGATACAAACTTTTTTTTGACATTAGGTTTGACAACTCACTAATATGTCAATCATTCTGTCGCACTTCAAAACACGGAGATTTATAGCTTTAATAGGTAAACTCCAGAAATATAAATAAAAAAACGTAACAGATATTTCTTGATTATAGGGCGATACGAAGTTCGCCGGGTCTTCTAGTTACTTAATATATTTCCTAGCAGAGTTATTCAGATCTATACGTGAAGATAATTTACCTCTCGCAGTATATCCCGCAGCACCTGATGTGACGCCTGCGACCCTCGCGCCTGCACGGCCGCCAGACGTTCATAGTACCGAGCCACCGGCGCGTCATACTCTACGCCCCTGTACCAAAATATGATATCGTTACGTTGTCTTCAATAGATCCCTACTAATATTATAAAAGCGAAAGTAACTCTGTCTGTCTGTCTGTTACGCTTTCACACCTAAACCACTGAAATGATTTTAATGAAATTTGGCACACACAAAAAGTTGACCTTGAGACAGAACATAGGATAGCTTTTATCCCAGACTTTTGAAAGGTTCTCTGGGAAACGCGATATAACCGAACACCACGCAGGTGAAGATGCGGGCAGAAAGCTAGTAACTAATAAATATGTTCTTTTCTTGCCTGTTGGCACATTCAGTTCGATATATATCAAGCAGTGATATCGAACTAGGATTGTCCTCTACGAGTCGCATCTGCGGCGACACGGACACGACGCGGGGTACCGTGAAGTGAAGGAATCTTCTGGACGTTTCCTTCTGTTTGCCGAGATAATGATTGAGCATCCTCAACAACTGGAGCACACGCTCCTCTCTCCTAGCGTCTCCCAAGCCAGAGTCGTTGACGACCAAGTAAGGATATATTTTTCCGTTGTGACCACGTATATACAATCTCCGAGCGGATGTGTTATGTTTCTGTACTATTTCCACTCTTGGCATAAATCTTGCGATTCTGACGTGGTAGTGAGTATGTTTCGGCAGTAAGAATTCCCCTGGCAGCTCCACTTCTGCCGTTTTAAGACTAAAGTTGGACAGGAATCTGCACTTCTCTTCTATCAGGAACGATCTGCAAATGAGCATTAATAGAAAAATTGTTTACACGAATATTAAGAATTGCTTTCAATATATATAAGAGACTTGTGGTGATTTTAAACATTTTTTTGTGTACTCACTTGGGCAACACCTTCGTCTTGGCCTCTAGTATCTTGACCCACTTGCGCAACTTCTGTATGAGGTTCTGCAGCTTCATGGCGTTGGGTTGCGTGAAGTCGAAGTCCGCCGTGAACTGGGTCTTCATCCTGTGGAACACGGGGTCCTGGACCGTGGCCTGCGCCCGCCGCGCCAGACTCTCCGAGGCGGCTGAAGATAATGCACCACTTACAATACTTGTAACACTCTCTGTAGACATACAAATGAGTGCGTGTGTCAACCGACTATCGCATTTGCGTCATATATTCGCTGGGACGTGATTCGCTTGGCTTTACCGTGACTATGTGATCGTGCAATATGTGTATACGTTCAATACTCATCACTACTTCAAATGCTTTCATTTTATGATATAAGTTTGAAATATTAATTTTTTTGATTATTATATGAATATACGTAATAATTAATAGACACTTATCTAAGGATTTACAAATTTTTAATAACATAGATAAAATAAAGAAAAATATTTTACCCAAGGAAGATCTGAAAAATAATATTATGAAAATTAAATAAACAAAATATATAAAAAAGTTATTAGCCATGCAAGGTGATACACAACTGTGAATTTTTCAAATGTATGAAGTTTTTTTTTGAATTTTCTAGATATCAATGTATGTACATATCTAAGTTTAATGCATGTTTATCTATTCATGAAATTTTAATGACTGAAAAATTTTAAACGATTTCTGTAATATAATAAAAATACCTTACCTATTTTACAATTTATAGTTACATATTGGCCTCCAAATGTGTAGAACAACGCAAAAGCGGTGCAAAATATATGATATAAAATACATCGGAATTTTCAATTTTGACGAAACTATTAGACATTTTTTGATCATACAATACATCATCACTGTTGGACGCCAAACGTTTTCACAACCGTTTCTTTTGTTGATAGCTCTTTTCTTTTCAATATCTTTTATTTATATAAAACATATTTCGAGTTTTATCACAGAGTGCAGCAAACAAGGCAACATTTCACCAACCAACCACAGGTAGAAGAAATAATAATAACACATGCGTCTTGCAGTCACTACAGAAAATAAAAAACAATTAATATCATATCGCAGGAACCTTACGACAACGATACTCACTGATGCCGATCCCTATGCCGAAGGTAGAGACCACCTTCTTAATGAAATTGAGCGTGTGCGGTGTGACGGTGGCCACGGCCACGGCGGCGCGGTGATGGAATGCCACCACGTGGCATTTGGCCAAACCGGCACGAAGCTGGCGGAGCACCTCCTCGTACCAGTTCTCACGGAACCACACCATCTGTTAGACGAGAATAATTTAGCAAACCGAACGAAACATTAAAAGAAACTATTCCACACGCCTGAGCTAAACACTAACTATGCACACAACTCTGTCCTTAATCGCATGGTCCACACATATAATTCATAATACTCAGAATTTGATCTGTTCAGCATGTCAAAACTAGCTTTTAAAAAAGCTATAATTAAAAAAAGAAAAAAAATATATAATAACACACACACACACACACACATGCAAACACGCACCTATTGGATTCCACCCGTTAACCCGTAAACAGTTTTACCTTTGTATTACTTTTTTAGTATAAGTTTTACTTTTATGCTACCGTCTTCTAGTTATTAATATGTTTAAGTTACCTATGTAATCCTATTTTGGTTTTAATTTTATGTTATATAAGTGTTAATATAGAAACTTATGTATAAAAACTGTTGGATTACCAAATAAATAAAATGAAGAATACTATAGTTCATTAAATAGTGTTGAGTCAAAATGCATGTAATGTGACCTGGTCAACGATGCCTTCTAGTGAGGACAGTACGGTGGGATGTATTTCCCTCTGAAGCTGCATGATCTTGGAGCAGCGCCACATCGGCAGCGTCGCCTTAATAGGCCCCGCCTCGCTGCTCGACCCTGATGATGTTGACGCGCCTTCCGTCTTTACACCCTATAGAAGGAATAGATATGATAAACACAAGATAACTTTTGGAATGCATGCTAACGTAAATGTTTTTATATTGTGTATATAAATATATATTTTATCAACAGTAATAACAGAAGTTAACCGTGTTCGCTGTAGTGGTGGCCGGTTGGTTAGCGGCGAGGTTTTCGGCGCTCTTATGTCTTTCACGTTGCTCGATCTTCAGAGTTAAGTACAGAGTGCGTATGGGGAAGTACACTGCTTGAGGATAGAGCCGTCCCACCTGATAAAGAAACCATTACAATATATATTATATGATATTAGTGTCATTGATTACAAACATATATTTTTAACTTACATGACTCAACAAGTTCAATATAACATTCCCGTCATATTGTACAAGACAAGCTAACAATTGTGGTATCCATGGCAGCCACTGCACAGGCGGCACACCCACTGAATACTTATCCAGTGCCTCCGCTAGACTGTTCTTTTCATCGTCAAAACTTAACATCCATAATACCTGATGAAAATAATACAATAATTTATTGAAGACATCGAACTGATGTATTTTATTTCTAATCTTGAATTGTATATTACCTTCGCACAATATTTCCTTGATTTTGATTCATTCTGATGTCTACAAGCATGTAAGAAGCATGTCATAGCAGAGACGCCTACTTGTGTCTGCCTCGGATCTCTGATGAAAATCTGTTCCAAATAATCTCCCCACAGAGCCCAAGCTTTTACTAGAGTGTCATGCAACTGTACCGCCGCTGCGAAAGCTTTGTTAGCATCCTCTGAACGGCCTAACTGGGCTAGTAACAGTCCTTTAAATGCGTAAAACTCAGCCGTCATTTCCTTGGTGAAGTATTTAAAGTTTGTAGACTCTATCATATCCAATCCTTCCTGTAACTCGTCTTTGCCCTCCGTCCAGGACATTTGAATGTGACATTTCACTTGTTGTCTTATTTTCTGGAAGCAATCCACTATTGGAACGCTCGGGATTGTGTATATACGGTGTAATGAATCAAGGCAGACGCCAGATAAATTGTGCTTCCTTGCTATTTTAGCGAAATGGATAATCGCCTGTAAGAATATTCGGTATTAAAATTATTTCAAAGAATGCTCAGTCAATGATACAGGATATAGATATAATGTGTTACCTGAGCGCTGGCATGTACTCCTAGCATACTATGGTTTGAGGCGTGGTCTGTCTGTGAGTCGTAGTGGGAGGCGATGAACTGGTAATGATGTTGTCGCCAAGTAAAGATGGCGCCCCAGTGAGACAGCGGGTCAGCCACTACGGGCAGGCGGTTGCGCCACGTCTTCACTATGGCCTTCATGTCGTGTAGCGACGTTGGCCGACTGTGGAGGAGACCCTGTGCAAGGAATTTACATTATATATTAAATATCCATTGTTAGAGATTTTCTGAGATTACTGATGTAACTATGTATAAGTGTATAATTTATGTTGGAAGAGATATGTGTCCTTTCATACAAATAAATGTAAAATCGGTGCCTAATTCTTTTTTTTTAACTGTTAAAGGAAGCTAGCGAACTTATTTTTTTTTTTAGTTTGAGCATCTATATAATTAAATCCGTAAAATCTCAGCTTTGTGAAGGAAAAGAGGTACACGGATAATTAAAAAAAAAGAAAACAACTAAATTGGAAAAATTTCTAGAGATACCTCTTTTAAAAATAAACTGGGTAATGACAATACGGTTAGAATGGTTAAAGAAAACTAAATATCTTCAATAATAGAATAATAAACAATCATAAATATGAATAAACTGACTGTATGTATCTGCGCGGCCTCGCTGAGCTCCATGAGCTGCTGCGCGGCCCTCAGCAGCGGCAGGTGCGCGTGCGCAACGAGCCGCGGCAGACGGCGCCACTCCCGCAGACACTGCGCCGCCGCCGCCTCCGCGTGCCGCTCCACGCCGCTCAGCTGCTGCTCGCCGCCCGCGCAGATACACAGGTAGCCGCGGTACAGGTTCACCAGCCACGCTGATATACACACACATCATACAGATATTTATCACGTTTTCATAAAGAGACGAAACCTCCTAGCATTCGATGGATTCACCGTGCGGATGCCGAGTCCATCGCGTTGCAGGGAGAGGAGCTTCAACAGTGTATATTCATACTATTTATTTGAAATCTTTTCTATTGTAAATAGCAACTTATCAGTAGTGACAACCAATTAGATCGAGCTTTGGAAGATATATTCTTTAATACTGATTATCATATTTAGCACAACTATATTTAATGTATATACAGAAATATTAAAACAATCATAGAATTACTAAGAGAGTTTTATGTTATTTAAAAAAAAATCAAAAAAGATTTTTTCATACTAGAAAATGGTTATTTTACCTAATTCCTTTGGACAATTATACTCGACTTCTGCGAGAGCGTCCTTCATTGTCGGCCAATTTGGATTTCTCCATGAACTCTCCAAAATTAGGAATGGATCACGAACGTTTCTGGTCAAACCGAGTTCCAGCAACGAGTCCCACTGGTTAAGCTCTTTGGCACATTTGATCCAATGTTGAGTCCATAGAGTACATTCCTTGTGCATATTATAAGACGACGGATTTGCTGAATATTCTTGTTTTAGTTTAGCCATAGCGACGTCGTACGCGGCCTGGATCCAAAATTACTGTTAGTATTAAAGACTTATATCAGTTTGATCACTATAAATCATTAATGTATCTACCTGCGCCTGCTCGAAGAAGCCCTGCTGTTCATAGGCTATAGCTACATTCGTCTCTCTGTACCGCGCGTGTTTTTGCCACAAACCAGACCACATGTCCTCTTCTTGTAATAGTTCGTACATGTCACTCAAAGAGTCTAGAACTTCCTGTGAAGTTACGTAATAAAGATTAGTTATTTATTGAGCGCTTGCTTTATTTTAAACATTACTGTATCACTCACGGTGGGTGTTGTACTTTCAACGTCATAATCAAAAATGTCCAACGCTTCGCGATTCGCGCGACCACTAGCTTGATCAATGGCCATCTGTTCCAAATTCAATGTCATTCTGTGCCACAGATTGTGTGTCTTTCCGAGATATTTCATCATCGGTCTGTACAAATAGTCAAAAATTATAATGTATTTCAAAATATAAAAAGCCTATTCTTAAAGATATGTCATAATGTACGAAAAATACTCTTTATTGCACTGTAAAAATTTACATGGTTATTTTACAAACAGAATTATTGTTCACAATGGCGGGCTTATTTCTATAAGAAATTTCCTGGATTTGGATACTTACGGCTTTATTGAGATTGGAGGATTGCATCTCGCGAGTGCTTCAATGAATGTGTTGAGCGCGCTCAATGGTTGGTCTCTTTGAATAACATGTACTCCCGATATTATAAATGGTACTATTTCATTCATGATTGTCTGAAAAATAATATAAATACTTGAATTATAACTTCCAAACTAGTTTTATACTCAATTCAATTTGTTTTAATTTATAGATGGTTAGGTGTTAAAGCTGCATTTAAATATTAGAAATAAAAAATATTCTGTAGATCTTTAAAGGAAAAAAATTGGCTATGCAATTCCTTTCATATAATACTTAAAGTCTTTCTTTCATATAATATAAGTAAGTATTCGTGTATGTTCTTATATCATACTAGAAGACCATGCGAACTTCGTATTGCCCTATAATCAAGAAATATCTGTTACGTTTTTTATTTATATTTTTGGAGTTTACCTATTAGAGCCATAAATCTCCGTGTTTTGAAGTGCGACAGAATGATTGACATATTAGTTAGTTGTCAAATCTAATATAAAAAAAAACGTTTGTATCAACAACTACCTACTAATAAATTAAAAATTAATTAAAAAAAACATTGTCCGGCGGACAAAATTGTGAATCTACACCATTCCCAGATCCCCTTGATCACACACAAAAAATTTCATCAAAATCGGTCCAATCGTTTGAGAGAAGTTCAGTGATATACACACTCACAGAAGAATTATATATATATATATATATATATATACACTAGAAGACCCGGCGAACTTCGTTTCGCCCTATAATCAAGAAATATCTGTTACGTTTTTTTATTTATATTTTTGGAGTTTACCTATTAAAGCCATAAATCTCCGTGTTTTGAAGTGATTAGGAATGATTAATAGTTAATATGAGAGTTACACTGAGCTAGCAAAATAATAATTGTCAACGTTACTACTACACTTGATGCACAAACAATAACGATGGCCGACAACTGTGTAGGGAGTGAGAGAAGTCTAATTGTGTGAGAGAAACAGAAGACCGGCTTCGTTCTCATCCCTACTCCGTGCTGTTTACTGGGTCAGAAGTGACACCTGGCGGGGATAACTTATTAAATGACGATTGATCAGTTATCGACCGGAGATGAAAAATGATTAAATTACTAAAATAGCTATTAAAAAATAAGGGTTGATCGTAGAAGGGTGAAAATTTAGGATTGTATGTATTTTTGTACGTTGTATCATAAAAAAATAGTAATTAAAAATTTTGTCTAAAAAATAAAAAATAAAAATTTAGGGGTGGACTACCCCTAACATTTAGGGGGATGAAAAATAGATGTTGGCCGATTCTCATAGCTACCGAATAAGCACAAAAAATTTCATCAAAATCGGTCAGGTTGTTTCGGAGGAGTATGGGCACGAAAACTGTGACACGAGAATTTTATATATTAGATAGATAGGAGTAATACATACCGCAAGCTGCCTGTCGTCTAAGGCCGCCCACAGCGCCGGAAACAATGTGAGCCATGTATGATGAGCCAGTGAGTCGTCCATATGAGCGAGCTGAGCCGCCGCGGTCACGAGCTGCTCCGTCCTCACACGACGAGCCAACTCAACGAACTCACACTGCTTCCCAACTATCTGATTCAGGGCGCGTTGCCTGCAATTCATTTGTTTGATGAATTTACCATCATATGTATAATCTGATATAATAGTTTAATTATTAATCGTTTCGATCGACTAAGGCAGAGGTTTTCACACTTATTTTATCTACTACCTACTTTGGGGTTTATAATTTTTTAGCGGCCCTAATTTTTCACCTACTGAAAAACCTCTAAAATCCCAGCTACATGAAATAACAAATCCCCACCGCGACGTCTACAAGACACCTAATTTTTCTGAGGGTGTCATCATTTGGGAATGGCTGGATTATGTTAAAGATTTGTGTGATTACCTGTTTGAAAACATTACCTGTTCGGAACGTTTTTGGTCAAATCATCTTTTGTATTAGAACTCGAGTCTAAATCCATATCCAACACGTCTTCCTTGTCAGGATCGAGTGAATCACTGAATCCATCTACTGATTCCTCTTTCACGCTACTGAATATTACGAATGATTTTCGTTCTTCACTATCCGCCCAGTTGATCACGGCGGTTATGTTTGGCAGCAGATATTTTGAATTGGACAATCTTATTTGTGTGCCTATCAATTAAAAATATGTTATTTACCATGAATTTCAAGTAACTTATTAGTTATTAAATATATTAAATCCGTGTTTTTACTCACTAGAAACACATGTAACAAGTAGTAACTCAAGGCACTGTTTAATCCAAAAATGTTGTCCAATGTGTTCCCAGTTTTGAGAACATATAATGTAAAGCAGACGGTCGAACACCCTTTTCCGTACGCTACCGTCATACACTTCAAAGAACTTAGCCCGTATATGTGGTTGTGGGCATCGAAGCCCGGCCAAGAATGCCGGTTCTAACTTCATCGACAATTCTGTCATTTTTAGGTGCTCATCCCTGTAATAAAAAATATAAATTACACACAGAACAATATTATGTTCTAAATATTGTTATTTCATATAAATAGTAACATACCGATAAACATAGTTAATGAGATCCAGAAAATGTGCGTTCAATTCTAGGTCGTCGGGAAAGCGCTTCTCGACGTATTGCATGAGCTTCACTAGCAGTATAGACTTTTCTCTCAACGACGGAGCAGCGCCAGCTCCCGTGCCCTTCCATTTCACCCATTCTTCAACCATACGGGTAATGGCTTTCATTACCTAGAAATGTATATATGTATTAGTTATCAAGAAAAAAAAAATAACTTATGACCACAAAATACATTTTTGGTAGCATGTTTTCATTACGGTTCATATAGAACTGGCCTTACCTTAGCATCATTAGTTTTTTCAATGAGACCAACTAGTATTGTACCGATAAAGGTTTTCCTCGTTTCAACCGGCATTACAGACACCCTAGCTTTGAGTAGATCAAGTGCCAATATCTGAAAAAAAACCATTTAAATACCATCATACCAATAATTTTAATTCAAAATATGTACCATATTTAGAAATATCCTAAGATATTCTCTTCATATATTAACGTACGAGTAGATCTGACGTTGCTGCATCAGGATTAGGAGCGACGTGGTCTCTAGCCATTCTCTGTAGAACTCTCATGAGAGGTAACAGCAATCGGTCCACGTATCCCGGACTAGACGCACAGCAGGCCTTCAACATCATGAGAGGTCCTAACAAAGCGGCTGCCCCACTCGCAGCTCCACTTGCGGTCGCACCAGTAGCGCCGGCAGACTTCTCATACGCGGCCAGACCTTCAAACGCGTATTTGCTCACACTGGCGTATAACGTTTCTAACTCTTCATACTGAAATGATACATTTAATATTAAAAGGCGTCCTAGGTGTGTTAATATGGTGTATATTCCTTACATTTGTACAATTAGTCACCTTTGACGCTTGAGCGGCCCCAGAAGGTTCAGTTGGGAACAGCGCAGTGAGTTTAGCGAGTAGATTGTGTGTGAGGCGCACTATCTTCGTATTAGTAGAGGCGACGCACGCCGCCAGGCCGCGTTGTAGAGGTTTCAGTGCGGCGAGGATCTGCTCTCGACGGAGCACACCCAGGAGGAACACTAACAGTTCAAGAGCCGTGCACGCGTTAGCACAAGCAGCTGCATTCGTGTCCGCCGTTGAAAATACCTATACAATTATCATTATCAATTAACTATGTTCGAGATTTAAAAGTACTATTGTCTTCTACCTGGCAATTTCCCAGCTATAGCCAGGGTCTGCCTTACATGTTATGAATAGTTTTTTGGCTATATGTTTTTACGACCGGCCGCCTGCCTGACATCGACCCTCTTTTGGGAATCAACATTAATCAGTGATGTCTAAATACTCTTAGAAAGTACATATGATTCCGAAAAATCACATTGGTACTTGCCCGGGTCAGGATCGAACCCGCGCCCTTTGCGACGAGAGGCGGGCCCTTTAACCACTGAGCCACCACTGACACATACTAAAAGTATGACACATATTAAAAGTACTATATATATATCCTTTATTGCACAAAAAAAAAAAACAAAACAGAAAAAAACATAATAGAAAAAAAAACATACACAAAAGGCGGACTTATCTCTAAAAGAGATCTCTTCCAGTCAACCTATGGAGGTGAGTGATATCAGTCATACAGCGGGCGATTCAGTGCAGACTTTTTGTTATATAGTTGTATACATTATAAAATAATAGTTATATAAATAAATATACATACACATATTATATACATAAATAAATACATATCAACATATACATATATACGTACAAAACAATGTAATACATAAATACATATATGAATACATACATATACAGTTTATGAATACGGATAAATTTGGGCCAGGAAATGCTGTCTTAAGCGTTTTTTAAACATACCAATAGTAGCACTGTCCTGTATGGATTTAGGAAGCTTGTTCCATAGTAGCGGAGCTCGTACTGCGAACGACCGAAGTCGAAATTTACTGTTACTCCGAGGCACGTCAAGCATCGTAGTGACGCAAGAACGTCTGGAGCGGGTCGAAGGAGGAAGCAGGTTAAGGCGGGAGCTGAGGTATTCAGGAGTATTAGGGTTTGTAAGAATATTGAATAGGACCGACAGGATGTGCATATCACGGCGAAATCGAATAGGCAGCCATTTAAGTTGAGCGCGGAAGAGGGAAACATGGTCGAACTTACGTAGCCCGAAAATAAAACGAATAGCTAGATTTTGTAAGCGCTCTAACTTATTAAGCTGCTCTTCTGTCACATCCAGAAAGCAAACATCAGCGTAGTCGAGAATAGGGAGAAGAAGAGATTGAGCGAGCATAATTTTGGTGTTGAAAGGGAGAAAGTATTGGAGACGTTTGAGAGAGTGAAACGTGAAATGCATACGCTTACTAACATCGTTGAGATGAGAAGTCCAAGACATGTTGCAGTCAATGATCAAGCCCAAGTTTTTTACACTATCACGATAGGCTATTGGAACCCCAGCATACTTTATATAGGGCACAGAAGGCCAGTCAATTTTACTTCTTAGCCTGCTGCTACCTATAATCATTGCTTGAGATTTGGCAGGGTTCACCAGTAGACCAAAAGACTTGGCCCATAGCTGAACAGCCGAAAGGTCTTCGTTTAATCTGTCAACAGTCTCAGACAACTCACTCAACTGACAATGACGATACAACTGTAAGTCATCTGCATACAGATGAAAGGGAGAAGAAATGACACGGGAAATATTGTTAATGAAAACAGAAAAGAGAAGTGGAGAGAGTACACCGCCTTGAGGAACACCGGCAGATAAGTTAGACCAATCAGATGATGAATCTACAGTTTTCACGCACTGCCGGCGCCCGAAAAGATAAGAGTGAAACCAATCAATGGCAGAGGAAGAGATATTAACCGCTCGAAGGGTACCAAGAAGAATGTCGAAATCTACAGAGTTAAAAGCACTGCTGAAGTCTAACAGAACAATTACAGTAACTTTGGTGGTATCCATAGCATACCGAATGTCCTCAGTTATATTCAGCAGTGCTCCAACAGTGCTGTGAGAGGGACGGAAACCGGATTGGAAAGGACACAGGAGGTTGTTGGTGGTAAGGTAGGAGTAGAGTTGTTTATGAGCCACAGACTCAAGGACTTTTGAAAGGATAGGCAGTATCGATATGGGACGAAAGTGAGAAAGAGAGGAAGGATTAGGGGACTTCGGTAGCGGAATGACGTAGGCGTTCTTCCAAAGTGTTGGGAAGATATTGCACGAAAGTGAAAAATTAATAATGTGAGTGATCACAGGTGCAACATCCTCCAGCACAGGAAGTATCATGTCCAGGCTGAGATTATCGCTACCGATGGCTTTTGTGGAGATAGATTGGACATTCCTCCTAACAGTATCCTCCGAGACTGGTTCAAAAGTGAAAGGGGGCAGGCCTGGTGGGACAAGATTAGATAAATAAGAGAGTGTAGCAGATTTAGTGTCAGGATCTAATGTTATAGGTGGCATGATAAAATGCTGATTTAGTTCATTGAGGTCCACGGTAGCTTGAAAGCTATCCGTGGTTTTGCCCACACCTAATGACCGTAAGAATCCCCAAACTTGCGCTTGGGAAGCATTCTGAAGTCTACTATGAATATAGCGGCGTTTAGCGTCCCTACACATTCTGTTGCAGATGTTACGAAGTTTTTTGTATTCGTCAAGGTTGTCCTGAGATGGTAGTTTTTTTTTGTTTCTAGACTTTGCTCTGTCACGTTTAGCCATAGTTCTTCTGATCACTGGCGTTAACCAGGGAGCAGGTGCGTGTTTCATCCGGACTGGTCGAGCGGGTGCATGTCTATCAAATAATTTAATCAGCTCAGTAGTTAGTAGTTCAACCATGGCATTAATATCATTAGCTGAGTATAGTGACGACCAGTCAATACTTTTCACGTCCTCTCTCAAACGATCCAGGTCCATATGCTTAAAATCGCGTAGAAGACAAATTTTGCCTCTAACCTTTTTAGGACGCACATTGTAAGTGAGGAAAATTAAGTCATGGTATGAGAATGGAGCAGTCATTTGACCGTGGGAGGAAACAAAATTAGGGTTAGAGACAGCAATTACATCTATTAGGGTTGGTCTACTGTTCGGAAAATAGTGTGTCGCAGAGGACATAGGGAGAATGTTTAAATTAAGTGATGAAGTAATCATATTTAATTTATGTGCCCTAGTGTCGTTCTTTAATAAACAGGTGTTTAAGTCACCCATGCATATAATATGGTCGTACATTGGGACAAGATTTTCCAGAACACCTTCTAATGTGTCAAAATAATTTATTTTATCATTTGGACTATATAATACACCCAGCAGGATCTTCTTTTGGTGTGTAACTATCTCCAGGAAAAGATATTCTAGAAATCCATTTATTTGTGAGGAGGAAAGAGAAACTACTCGGGCAGGAATGTCACTGCGAAGGTAAATACCAACGCCACCCCCACCCTGATCAGTGCGGTCGTTACGGAAGAGCTGGTAGCCTGGCAGAGCACAACTGGTGGATGAAATTGACGGTTTTAACCAGGTTTCAGACACCAGAATTCCGTCAACCACGCCGGTGCTAAAGGATGTGAGAAGATCGGAGTAGTGAGCAACTAAGCTCTGCGCGTTAATATGCACCAAGGAAAGGAGATTCGAATTATTAAATATTTTCGGCAACTTGACTTCAAGTGGTTCTGAGTCTGAAGTCGAGGTGTTGCTGCTACTAGAGATACTCATAAACTCATCTGACGAGCAAGAAAAATATTCTTCATCTAAAATCATTAAAATAAAAATATATATTATAATAGAAAATAAATACTAAATACTAAAAATAAATAAATTAAACAAATATATAAAATATAACAACTAACTTGAAACACACACCTCAGGCATAAGTTGACTGTAAAATGAGATTTACACTTTAAAAATGAACACAATAGAAAACCAACAATAAAAAGTATTGTTAACAATTAAAAATTAAAAGTAAATTAAAATAAAGATATACAAATAGAAACTATTAAAGAAACAAAAAATAAAAAGTCAAAAGTATTTCTACGGCTCAAAAGACTCGAACCCAGAGTTAAAAACAATGTGGTCTGACAGTGAACATTAGTTGTCACTTGTCAGTTGTCACTTATCACTTTAACCATTATGACAGGGGTAGAAAAATAAAATTATAAAATTCATTTACAAAGTAAAATAGTTAAAAAATAGGAGTTAAACAAGTAAAAAGAAAATTAACTATACCCTGCATTGCAAGTGTCAATATCATCGTGATATAAACCGACCAAATTGATATGTAACCTACAAAGTACCGGTGTTCACTTGTTGCTCTTTGGATACTGAGCGACTAATTGCTTAAGCTCGGACAATGCAGAAATCTTCTTACGAGAGTTGTCAGGAAGAAGAATGACAATTTCGCCTTCAGCCGACCAGCACTTCTTCATCCCAAAGTGTTTGCGAGCTTCTATGAAGACACTTTGACGGGCCTTTGTCAGGAATTCTGAGAGGGTTATTTTAGAACCCCTGAGTGCCGACTTGGCATTCCATACTCTGGAACGAAAGCGTACGGAGGCGAATCGAACCAATATAGGCCGAGATGCATCCCTCTTTACACCCAAGCGATGACAGGAGTCAATTACTTCAGATGTAGCATCAGACATCTTCAAATGGCCGGTTAATACGGCGAGTGTTTTCTTCAGGACGTCTTCACCTTGTTCCTCTTTAACACCGTGGAAGAGGAGAACCTTCCTGCGACTATGAGTCTCCAGCCGATCCAACCCCTGTGCGACAAGCTCTATTTGGGCTTTCAGTAGTCCCAGCGATTTCCATACAAGGGACTTAAATGCATAGAACTCGGCAGACAAGGACTTGATTGTTGGGTTTGTAGGAGCAGAGGCGGTGGCTGGCATTAAGTTCTTTTCAAACTCACCCATCCTCTGGCTAAACACTGAAGAAAGTTCCTCCATACCTTTGACCAGCTGTTCAACAGGAGTGTCCATTTTTTAGTGTTGAAAACTTGTGTGTGAGTGTAGTGATAGCCCACTTATACAAAGGTAATATAAGTTTTAAAACATAAGTACTTTTGTAATTATAAAATATAATAAAAGAAGAGCTTCGAAATGTATGTCTATCTATTTCAACGTCTACCCGCGAAATCTATTGTATGGGGGAAAAAATATTCTATACTATTAAATACATAGAAATAAAATATATAGTGTTATTAAATTTTATCATAATATCACATACTTTATCCAGCCAGGCTAGTTTGGGTTCGCAGAGGTGTGGCCACACGTCCGGTTTAAGCGCAGCTCGCAGCAGTAGTACGCAGCGTCGTGAGAGCTGCTCGCCTGGAGAGCCTCCCGCGCCACCCGCGCCCGCTGCACCCGCCGCACTGGCACCAGTCACTCCACCTTCGTTCACCTACACATACAAACATCATTATTTAAATTGTTTAACGAAAAAATATCTTCTTGGATATCGATAACGCCTAGCTTTGACCGAGACAACTTCTGTGAAGTTTTTTAATATTAATAAAATCTCAAATAATCTGTCATGAATTAGGATAAAATGTATTTAAGTACGTAAATTTTTTGTGAAAACAGAGTTACAAAAAGTCCAGATGTGTCAGAAATTAGCCGGAAGCAACAGATAAACGCCATAAAAGAAATTGTTATATGTACCGTTTTAAATACATGGTTATAGTAAACTATATATTCCATAGTTTTTTTTTAAGTTAGGGGCCGTTCAAGTATTACGTAAGCACTATGGAGGAGCGGGGGGGGTTTTGCTTTTCTCATTTTGGATGACATGGGGAGTAGGGGAGTCTAGGTATCGATTACGTCATCGGTAGTTATTAATTTTTAATCGTCACATCGAGTAGATCCACAAAAAAATACAATTATAACTTTTTTCTGGACTTGTATTAAAAAATATATATAGTAATTGAAAATGTTTACGTAAGCATGGGGGGAGGGGGTAAGAGCTTTGCTTACTTTTGCTGACAAGGGGGATGGAGGGGTAAATAATTTTAATAAATCTGCTTACGTAATACTAGAACGGCCCCTTACATTAAGAATTATTCATAACATGTATGCGAATTGTAAGTACTAAAATATTTTTACAGAGCATTTTCCGATGTAATTAACTTTAGATCGGCTTAGTAAAATAGATGAATAAAAAAATAACATACAATGCTAACCTGACAAGCGAGCCTCAGCAGCAAATTGACGACTACATCAACGTGTTGTCTGTCGAGCGGTTTCGCTGCGTCGGGCTCGAGCCGCGCCACGCTCGCCTGTGGACTGGCCCAGCCTGTGTTCAGAGCTTTGCGGGCCTCGTTACCGCTCTCATCAGACGAGACGCGCTTCATGGCCCCACTAGGGGACGTCGCGACCTAATATATTAACAAACATTTACTTATGAACAAAATACTAAAAATAGGATCACTCTCTTAAAAATGTATTATTAGCCATTATTACAGGCTTATTTTAATGTGGTCAAAGATTTTTGCGAGTCTTATTCGTTTAAACTAATATTTTTCAGATATACTACGCGACGTAATATTTGATAAATACTACTACTCCCGACGTTTCGGCTACTTTTCAGCAACGCTGATCACGCAAACGTGATCACATCTCGTCAACCCGTGTTGTTATCAAAAATAAGGTCGCGTACATAGTATATCCGAAAAATATTAGTTTCAGTTAAAAGGCTAACTTTAAAATTTTACATGTATTATAATATACATATATCTAATATTACAAATGTTTTACACAATATACAATTAGAGATATACCCTGAACACCAATCCTACTAATATTATAATTGCGAAAGTTTGTGAGTGTGTGTGTGTATGTTTGTTACTTGTTTACGCTCAAACGGCTGAACCGATTTTGATAAAAATTTGTATACAGGAAACTGACGTCCAGGAATAACACATAGGCTACTTTACATCCCGAAAATCCCGGAAATCCGCGGGTAACACCGCGGGGCGCAGCTAGTTATGTATAAAGTGACTTACCACGTGGTCTGGCGGTGCGTGATCCCTTATACGTTGAAGGTCCCACTTCAGAGCAACCTCGGCCAGATCTACAGCGAGACGGCGGTGCTCGAGCGAGGCGGTCGCTGAGAATCCCAACCGCTGCATGGCCGCTACCATGTGACCTACCAGAGCATGCCTCACTGGGTAATACACCTGCAGGCAGATCATTTGAAGTTAATTATAATTATATAATATAATGTATTATCCGTTGTATAAAACAGACATATATCGAATCACTTACGCAGAGGTTATAGCTTTTTTTAATAAAAATAATATACTTGATACAATTATCTAAAACGCAAAGTATTGTAATTGTTATCGTTGAAGACTGTTTAATTTAAAGGTCGATCTTTGATAAAATATCGAAGTATCAAGTTTTTGTGAAAAAGAAAAATTAAACTAATTTACATATGTTCTCTTTACAAAAAAAATATATACCTTATAATGGCGCACAACGAGTTGCAGAATGTGGAACAGCTGTTGCACTGAATGTCCGTCTTCTACTATGATCTTCTTGGTCCAGTGTGTGAGCATCGTGTTGCCGTCCTCCATCCGTTGAGGCATGGCTGGAGTGAGGATCTCCAGAGCAGCGCGGACCACCGCCCGCGCTTCAACCGCGTGCGCTTTGAGGAGACTATGAAAAACTAAACAAATTTTATATTACTTACACTGAATATATCAACGTATACTGCGAACTTCAAGTAAAGATTAACAGCAGTACCTTGCAAAACAATCCTTTTGTGTATCGCGAATTTAGCAATAATGTGACTTAACAACAGGTGGCCGTGATATCTGAAACAAACAGATTTGTTAAGTTTCCCTTCTTCTTCTACCTGACAATTTCCCAGCTTTAGCCGTCTGCCTTACATGTTGTGAATAGTTTTGGATAATTGTTAGTTACTAATTTCCATATAATGATTATTATTATAAGTATTGTCAGTTTATGTACCTGGTAGCGGGATCCACGTAGTTCTTGGCCAGTAGACACGGCCAGGCGAAGGTCATGAGTCTCCTCAGCTTGTTGCCTTGCTTCTTATTGTTGGCGTCGTGTATGTGGGGGGACGCCTGCTCCAGCAGAAGACAAGCGAACTGAAGAAGCGAAATACGAACTGCGTCCGAACACGCGAACGGATTCTCGGGGTCGATTACCTGCTTGAAGATATTCATGTCTTATATATTGTAATCATTATTTTTTAATTAAATGAAAATTAACTGTCTCATTTTTCTCGAATAATTAGATATATTATGTTGTTTTTTTAAAATCACATTTTGAAAATGATAAAAAAAGCAATTACCAAACTTGTTAAATATAAGAGAGAATTTTTAATTACCAAAAAGAAATACTAGGATGTAATTTGAAAAAAATATTGAAAATCCATGACTATAGAATTTTTTTTTATGAAATGTTGTCAATTAAGCCAATGAAAATAACATATCAACTCACATTATTAATGAATACCGAGACGACATTATCTGGATTGTCCTGATAGGGCGCTGGTGGGCCGCCTACAATCTTCTGGCCTTTGTCGAAGCTAACAGCGAAGCACGGTATTAGAATCATTTGTAGAACCTTAGCCTTCAACTCCTGCGACATGGCGTCGCTAGCGAAATGTTCCACAAAACGGAAGAACGCTGATCGCTTCCATTCCACCGTGTAATTCTGTGCCACTGTGTTCTCTAAGAAATCTCGTAGGAACTGCAAACACAGAATAATGTGATCATAACAAAACAGTGATTTGAATGGAACTCATATATAAATATACTATTTTGTTATTTATTTTTAAAATAGTTATATATCTCAAAGAAATAAATAATGCTTTTTAAATAACATTTTGATATAAATAGAATATAAACAAAGAAATAATCTGTAACGTACTTGGAAATCCGGTATAAATCTATCACACAAAGCTCGCAACAATTGGAACAATAGATCAATATTGGACGGATGATGACAAAAGTAGTGTAATAATATTTTAACAATAAGTTTTGGTTCCTTCCAGTGGGTGCAGTCGACATTTTCAACTTTCTTATGTACTTCCTGTAAACGAAAAAATACATTATTATTTGTAAACTATTAACTTTATTAATAACGTAAGATTATTGTAAACTTACATGATACTGATCGCTGCACCAAATTCTTTTTAAAAGCTCAATGAGATCGTGTTGTGTTGACAGCCATTGATCGTCATACTTTATCAGAAGTGATATAACTCTAACAGCTTGGAACTGCATTTCAGCTTTATCAGCTTGTGGTATAGCTGCCGTGCCGCTGTTAGCTGCTAATAATTGCATTAGTCTAGCCTTTTTCGTAGTATGCAGAGCTTCCCTGAACGCGGGACCCGCTTCTGAATGCTTCACTAAAAACACTAGGAAACGACTCCATTGCTGGTCTTTAATGTTGTTGTCACTCATTATAAAGTCCAAAGTCTCTTTGGGATACCTAAAATAATAAATACAGTTAGTTACAGTTCGTAAGAATCTACAGGGTTGTTCAAAATGTATTGCCATACTAAAAATTATGGATTTGACAAAATATATATTAAATATCTGACATACCGCAGCAAAAATTTTACAAGTGGCTCTCTAAAGGGAGAACCGGCTTCTATCATAAGCGACTTCTCCGTGTGGAAGATAAGACGACACAGCACGTCGATGAATCGTGGTGAAGCAGCGGGGATTTGGTGGAAAATGCCAATCAGTATTATAATTTTCTGTTCATTTTCCATATTCTTTGATACACTTTGTAAGAAATTGCCCCCTGAGAAATAACACTTCTATAAATAGAGACACTTATGTTATTGATAACATATGAAGATTATACAGACCTCTGTTTGTTTGGATTGAGTAATCAAGGAGTTTTTTCAATAACTGCAGTAATTGCTCGCATAGCTTCTCACTAAAGGTAGAGGGGAAGAGTTGGGTCAGAAAAGATAATCGTTTAGCTCCGTTGACACTAAGGTTCCGATGGTCGCCCAAAGTAAGTAGCAAGGGTCGCATCACAGGATGCACCATCTCCATATCAATTTGGAAGCCTGATAGAAATTTCTGCATACACTCGAATCCCGCCTGAAATATCACCACATTAGTATTAACAAATTGGTACTACGATAACTTACATATGAATGTCATGAAATATGACAACATTCGTTGTTTAAATAAAAGTTGGTACTTCATTAAATTACATTTCAATGTGATATAAGCCTTAATATTATTTGTATTATTATGTACATTTTGTACCATTCGTTTCAAAAATGTTGTCATATACAGGTACAAATATTACACGATTATAGTGTGTCTTGGATATTCAAGAAATATATTTCGTACACAAGAACATGTTTTGACTAACCTGTTGTAATTCCTGGTCGTTTTTCTCTAGACTCTTATAGAGCACCTGGAATATCTTTTCCCGGCAATGCTTCTCCTGTATATAATGGCAGGCGGCAAGTGCTCGTAAAGCGGAGGCCCGTAGAGGCACAAGGTTGACGCCTTTATAGCATGGCAGCTTGCCTAACATAGCGTCCTCAGCCTCACACAGAGATAATAGTTCACGAAAGAATACTTTGTGTTCGTTAATATTCAAATCTGTGACAAAAATTAAAATGTATTAATTATTATAGGTCCTGATGTGCTTGTAATATAATTCTATTACATTATCAAATAACGTGTGAAATAACTTAGTATTTCTATCATTCGAATATTTCATTAGTCTCTACTGTTACTTAAAGAAAAAATTGTGTCTTGAAATAATGGCATGCGTTCATATGGCCAATTTACTTCATCGATTAATTGATTTACTGATTATATTTTGTTAAAATTTGACATACCTATAGTGAAAAGTCTCGGTTTAAGTGTCGTACAGAATGTGGTCCCGTCCATAAGTCCCATTTGAGCATTAGCTGGTTGATGACGAAGTAAATGTTTTTTAGGTGGTATAATGTCTGCCAACACCTCTCTGTGTGGATCCATTACTTCAGTGACCGTTTTATTTTGCAATTCCGCAATTAACTCCAAAGATTTCATCGCCTAAAATAATATTAAATTTAAATAAAGGAAATGATTTATTAAGCTTATTGTTTATTAAGGTAACTTACCTGTTGCCTAACAAGAAGATGTGGACTCGTGACTTGTAAGACAAGTTCCTGTAAGACATCGTGTAGAGCGCGTGCTTTAGCTGCTGCTACTTCCCCTTCCGGTTCAACGCCTTGCCCGCCCGGGCCGGTCACACAAACACGGACCAAACGCTCCAGGTTAACAGTGGCCATATCGATGGCACCCGAAGATACTTCACCGGTGAGATCCATCATAACGAATAATACTGCCTTCAAAAAGGTGAACACGTGCTTGTATACCCATTCCGGAGCCATTTTCTCAAACATGAATTTAACAGCAATACATCCGCCTAGCTTCTCATACCATGCTCTTTCATAACATAGCGCAGACATACGCTCTGCTAAGTATTCCATTAATGGCAATCGACAAGCGCGCTCTTTGCTTCCCAAAACTGTAGCAGCTGTTTCGATCATTAGCACTAAAGCCAAATGACCTGGCTTACATAGTTCCTTCTCTTCATGGCCCATTACTACCGCAATAGCGTCTACTAAAACTAATGCATCGAGGCCTTCTTTAGGTCCGCCTGAACCAGCAAAAGGTCCTGCTTCTTGGGCGATAGCGACTAGTGTGTAATGACGAACAAGAGACACCATCGTAGGGAGAACATGATGTCGTAATTCCTTAATAGCTGCGGCAACAAACATTCCCGTAAGAGCAGTACGATGAGTGTTACGAACAATACTGTTGCTACATTTATAGTAAGGTCCGTTTTGTGCTGGTATCTTTCCTTCCAGGAAACTAGGGTGATTGAACAGTTTTTGAAGAGTTGCCTTGTCGTCGTCAAGATTTAAGGAAGCAGCCAAATAGCAACGAAGGACCTCCCAACATTGACGGCGGTAAAAAGGATCTGTTGTGCTAGACTTGAGCGCGGAAAATGCGGTCTCTATAACTTTATCTACCTCGAAGTCTATGGGTTTTGGTTGATCTTGGAAATATGCTTGGACGGCAGGCGGAGGGGCGTCGGTTTCGCGGTACTCTAGCCTCTGTGGTTCAATCATCATTTTTCTATTCCCTCCTCCAAACTTTCCTAGTACTCTGAATGCTATTCGCGCAACTTCATTATTCTGCAGCGTCCTCCAAAGCGCTTGCATTAGATCTGCTCTAACGGGTTGGATATGCTCATACAAAAAGTCAGGTTGTAAGTTATCCACACATAATTCCAAGGTTCGCAAACCTTGTGAAATTAAGGTGTGAGATCCATTTAGAGCAGATACCAAAGGATCCATCAACATTGGCAAATAAGGCAAAAGACTGCTAAGTCTCACAGGCACAGTCAAGCACAACTCAACAAAAAGATCTTTCATATGTTGTTTATGAAGACCACTCTGTAGACGGTTCAAACCTTCCAGCAAATTAGGTAACAATGGCAAGAATTCTTGATACAGCAAGTCATGACTACCACCACCGATGGAACGGAATAATGCTCTTAAAAGCAAGAAATAATTGTAAGGTTCTTTCGCTGTCATCGCATAGTCCATGGCTTTGTTAACTATGCTGTGTAAATGAGGGCGGAGCATTTGTTCATTTTCAGTCGGAAACAAGCTCACCGAACCAAAAACAAGCTTAAAAAGTCTCAGATATAAATTCGATCTCTCTATATTAGTACCCATTTCTTCCATTCTCTTTAACAGATATTCTACAAGCACCGTAGCGAATATTGGAGATGTTGCCGGATTGGATAAAAATGTGTTTGCAATAATTTGCAAAGTAGGGTTTTTATTAATTCTTTCAACCATATGAGATATCGTCGCCGTGAAAATTTCTTGAAACGTTTGCGGGTTCATCATGGAGAACTGAAAACAAAAAATAGGTAGTAAAAACTAAATAATTTTAAATCAGATTTTTAAATTCATTCATTAGTCAAAACGTTCTGTTGTGATTTTGTAATTTTTTCTTAGATTTTTAAGCCAACTTACTTTAGCCACTTCCTACTTTATAAGGATCCAGTTTATATTACAAAATATCAAGTCATAAGGTACTTACAACCCCACTGAAGTGTTCCAGAACTTCCTTCTCTTCTTTGGAGCGTACGTGTGGTTGTGCGGGCGGCTGTGCGGGTGCTCGAGGCGCCGCCAGCGTGTAGATGTCCAGCGACTGCAAGCCCCATCGCACCAGCCTGATGAATACCAACGTCTCCCGCGCACTGAACTGCTTCTGACCAGTTATAGTCGTTGTTGCTGTACCCTCCGTGTTGGTTGTTGTCTGTACAGATCACAAAATATATTAAATATACACAAAATATATTGAATGTTTTAATCTATATCCTTTTATAGCTACATACAATTGTTATAGGTATTATGTAAAGTGCAAAAAATCAAACGACACCTACTTTACACGAAGCACAGCCCCATGTGATAGTTTTAACACCGCAGACCAGTGTCTTAACGAGAGTTCTGTAATCTCCGACATTTAGGTTGGTCATTTGTGATGTTGGAAATCCGATCTTAGACTTTTCTTCAGTCTTGTTTATGCTATCTAAGAAGTCTGGTGTAGGTTTCTCTTCCTCGACTTTCACTTCCGCGGACGATGTACTAGGAGCCGGGGTTGTAGGCGTACTCGGATTAGGTGTACCATTTGTCCCATTCGGTGTTGTAGGTGTATTTTGTTTGCTAAAATTTAAATATTTACATCCACTGTGATTAAATTATTCATTACAAAACCAACCAAAATTTAAAAAGTATCTAATTACAATAATTACCATTTAGCCATTAATGCAGGCAACTGTAGTTTAGAAATTGTTTTGAACTTTAGTACAAACACTTCAAGTATACGCATTAGCAAGTGTCTTCCCTGGGGTGCACCGGCTTCACTGTCAGAGCGTTGGCGGATGCAGTCAACCAAGTTCAGTAACAGTTTACATGACATAGTCTGGATACTAAAAGTACAATATAAATAATTAAAATATATAAAATAGCTAGATATTTGAATATATGAGTTTTAGTTTTGAACATTTTTATACATATTGTATTTTATTAATTGATATTTATAAGATAAATTAAAAAAACATTTTTGTTCCATATTTTAGATTTCGTCTAAAGTTACAATTTTCGATTAAAAAAAATCCTATATCTCTCTCACCTGGTGGGCAAAGATTCATCATGAACATTTTTAGAAAATAAATGCGCTGCAATGGCGAGATCCGTTAAAGGTAGATGTTGACGAACATGATGCACTAAGTCAGCCAAAGTTGAATAAGCAAGAGGCCGCAAAGATTCATGTACTGTCCAACCTCCACCAAGTAATACTTCCTCATCAAAAAGACGTTCCATATATGGAACAAATTCTAAAACCAATTAATAACCCATTAATAATACATTCTCAATGTCATTATTTAAAAAATATCAATGGACAAATATCGTTTTGATATATAGGCTATGTCATAATAGTCTCAACTAATGTTTTTAAAATATGTAATATCAAATTATTCTTACTTAGCCTTAAATCTGTAGCTAAAATATGGCGGGTGGCAATTACTAATTCTTTTCTCAGATGTGCAACTTCAGGTGGACATAATGTCAGAAGTCCAATTATTCCCTTAACCATTAAATTAGCATGATTTGCAATAGTATCTTGATATATCCTTATAATGTATGCTAAAAAGGCCAATGTTTTGATTTGTGCTCCCATAAAGTCCACAAATACTTCCTTATTGAATGACGATGACTGCCTGCGACCGACATAATAATATAATATAATAATTAAATTATTTTCAAATAGAAAACTCATTTCCAAAATGTTTTAGTGACGTCACCTGTGAGTAGTTGCTGGTTGCAATGTTATAGTTTCCATAATCAAGGGTATAAAGTTGCTAACCTCTTGATGAACATTTTGTTTATATAATTGATACATCAGAACAACTATAATTGGCAGTTCTTGTATTACTTTCAGAGATAATACTGATCTTGGTATGAGATTATACTGAAAATAATTACATCAATTCAGATATGTACATACAACAAATGAAAAACTTTTCTTTAATATGTATGACTATCAGTGGCGGCTGTACCTTAAGTGCACTCATGCGCTGAACCACCAATTCAAAAGATTTAAAAATTACAAAATATTACTTCATCTTTATTTTTAAATTACCATTTTAATGTTTATTTTTTAAACATATAAAAACCTATAAAAAAATTAAATTTCCTAATTATGGTCAAAGAGTTTGAGCGCTTTACTAAACTCATATCTCGTGCGCTTCGGCGAGTGCACGAGGACTGCTAATACATCTTGTATGAGATACGCATTAATACGCCTGACGCGTGAAACAAAAGATAGTTCGTAGAAATGTACCGAGTAATGAGTCGGTTCTCGAGCGCAGCACGGGCGGCCGAAGATTACCTAGAGCACCCGATGTATTACGAATTTGGCCATGATTGACATCTCGTTTATTGTTTTATTGCATTTTCTAAGTTTAATATTTTAGTAAAGTGCACCACCAGTTCGATTACCCACCAGCCGCCACTGATGACTATTAATTTTAATTGCTGTTCACTTGATATTCGGGTCTGAAGGATTGAGCGCTGCAGCACAAAAGTGCTTCTAAGAAGCTAGAATGATCTATTATCTCTGGTTACACTTCAGCAGCACAACACCAAAGCAATGTGCAAAGACAGGGTTCAAATAGTTGAAGTTATTTAAAATAAAAACTTGACCATTACATCTCTTTCTACTAAATAATCATTTGAGATATCTTTTCTCTACTGCTAATATTTTTTGTTCAATGATTAATTGAAACATATTATTTGTGTGTAAAATATTTAAGAGAAATATTTTTACATTGAGGGTAGTATAAAATATTTAATATTACTTACAGTGACCACACTTCCATCCAACAATTTCTTTTCAGTATGTATAGGGGTTGTAGTATAGGTTTCTTGTAAAAGTTGGTCTATATTGACCTCAGATAAGTCTTTAACTCTGATTGTTGGTTTTGGTTCAAATATTTTAGGCAAATGGTTCGGCAAATCTGAGTATATTCCTTTCACCCACTGCAGAAACTTGTGAATCTAAAATTAATAATAAATTAATAACATACACCAAAAAAAATACTTTTAGAAACTGACATTATATATCTTCAGTTACAATAGAATAATGTTTTTAGTAAATATTAAAAAATTTAAGGTAGATTTAAAACAGGTACTTACATCAACATCCGTGGTGTAAGCAGGTCTATATTGCTTATGTAGTTCCATGAAAATTTTTAAGCATACAAGAACATTTTCTTCATTTTCTATTTCCATCAATTTAAGCATAAGTATAAGTATGCTTTTGACATATGGCCTCAAAGTCTCACTGATCGGAAGCCTATGTATCATCTCCAGTATTAGTTTTCTTACTTGCTGTATATTGTACTCGGCTATAAAATGTGGTTCTCCTTCTTGCAATATTTTTAGGAAAATTTTTAAAGAATGATCCAGAAACTGTGGATACTGGGGAGAACTCAAAATAACCTAGACAGACAAAAACAAATTATTTTTAAAATTGTTTAGGATAATGTTATATGTTACAACAGTATTTGAGAAATTATACGTTAATTAATATGTTTATTAATTTTACCTCAAAATTTTCACTAAGCTCCTGCGCAGCTTTTAATTTGATCTCGTCTTTAGCACCGGGGTCTGCTAGCATAGTCACATAGCTTCGATAGGTATTCATCTGTGTGTGCGGGTCCCCGGGCCCGCCGGTCGACATTGAAGCCATCATTTTGTTTTTTTCACACTAATTAACCATTATTTCAACATATTAACAGAATCAGAAAGTTAATTATTACACCGTTACAGTTCGTCCTATCGTATAAGTTATTTCTTACACATGTTATTAACTACATCTAAAATCTAAATATTATTATATACTATTACTATTATTATTAAAAAAAGAAAACGTGTATAATTTTTAAAACCATAAAGTTAAAGTAAATAAAGTATTAGTGAAATACACAACATGAACTCAAAAAACCGAATACGGAGTAGATATTCAGTCCGACAATAGTTTGCTATTTAGTATTTGCACTTGGAGCATTTAGAATTTTTCGTTCAGGAATTGCGAGGTACCTACTTTCTCACAGAACTAAGATTAATATTGTGCAGCTCTGAATGCTATTTTATTGCCATTTAATAAAACAAAAAATACAATACCCTTTTAATTATATATGTATATTTTTCAATTAATTTTTTTTTACTTTATAACTCCAAAATTCATAAATCTAACCGCAATAAATAAAAAATATTGTTATTAAAAGGTACCCCGTATGTTAAACTGAAAGACTAAAAAGTCAAATAGTGTCTATGGCTAAAACACAAATTGAAAAAATAATAATTGTTTATTCTATGTCATTTGCATCGATGAATGCTTTTTTAATATTTTCGTAAGTAAAAATGGGTTGAAAACTAAGTGAAATCAAGTAGTGATTGTGAAAATAAGTGATATATAATTTGTAAAGCAAAATAAAGATGTGATCATGGCAGCTTTTAAGACAGTATTAGTCATAACGTTTTGGCTTCGATGCACAGTAATTTATGGCTACGAGTTCATATCACAATATCCAAAAAATATAAATGAAACTTATCAATTTAACCACCTTGCAGTTGATAAGCAAAGTGGTCAAGTATATGCAGGTTCATTAAACGCCTTGCACCAGTTAAGTCCAGATCTAAAACCTCTTCATGTCGTGCGGACCGGGCCAAAACTAGATAATCCGGTGTGTCATGCCAGTGGGTGTCCTTCTCCCGATACACAGACTGTATGGACAGATAACGTGAATAAAATATTAGTGATTGATCAAGAATCAAGAATTGTCATAGCATGTGGATCTGTAGCTCAGGGTTCATGTACTAAATATAAGTTAGGAGACCTTTCTGCAGAGCCCGAGTTTATTCCGGAGAGTGTCGCAGCTAATGACGCAGAAGCATCTACATACGCCTTCATTGGACCCGAAAGATACAACTCCTGGGATCGTTCAAACGTACTTTACGTGGGTACAACATTCACAAACATTGGAGAGTACAGACATGATGTTCCTGCAATATCCAGTCGTGATCTCATGACCCTGCAACTGGCCCAGTTCACATTTTCCAAGCAGAGTTTAATACAAATAGATGTTAAATACAGGGACAATTTTCTTGTGCAATATTTATATGGATTTAATGCTAGTGACTATGCTTACTTTCTTATTATACAAAAACATTCCCATCTAGCTGGTAATGAAGAGTTAGGATATGTGTCTCGCTTGGCCCGTACTTGTGTTAATGATGATAATTATAATAGTTATACAGAGGTTACACTAGAATGTAATGTGTGTGAAGATACTGGTAATGGTAAGTGTGAAACAGTCAATTATAATTTAGTTCAGGATGCTAAGATTGCAAGGGCTGGAATAAATCTGGCAACCCAGTTAGGTATTGAAACGGGTGACTCAATTCTTGTAGCAGCTTTTAGTCCATCTAAAGGTATTTCTAATGAGCCTACTACTAAATCAGCAATCTGTGTTTACTCATTGCAAGAGATAGAAATTAAGTTTAATGAAAATGTCCACATGTGTTTTAATGGCAGCACTAAAGCTCGCAACATGGGTTATATATCAGGAATGATTTCCGACGGTAAATGTCCAAGTGTTGGTTCTACTGGTAACATCCTTAATTTTTGTGAAGTAGGTCTTAAAATAAGCGGTCTTTATCCTATTAAAGCATCATCGGTAATTTATTGGAATGATACTTTGATTACATCAGTAACAATGTCAGTAACTGGTTTGCACACTGTTGCCTTCCTCGGTACTAATGAAGGTACATTAAAGAAAGTGCTCATTGATGCCGACAAAGCACAACAATATTCAAGTGAGGTTCTACTATCTGGGCAAAAAATACTACCAGATACAACTTTGTCGCCATATGGCAAATCCCTATATATTTTAGCTAAAAATACAATAGTTCAAATTCCGACTGAGAGGTGTGCAGAACATGGAAACTGTTCGTCATGTTTAGAATCCAATGATCCACATTGTGGTTGGTGTTCCCTTGAGAAACGGTGCACAGTTCAAAATATGTGTCAAAAAGGAACTCAAAGTGCACCTCGGTGGCTCTCCCAGTATACAGGTCAACAGTGTATTGACTTTGAACAAATCTTACCTGACAGAATATCTATGTCAGAAATTACTACTGTACAACTTATTATAAGAACATTACCAGAACTTCCCTTTGGTGCAAAATATAAGTGTGTATTTGGTAATGCACCACCAATAGATGCAGCCGTTACATCTAATGGACTAGCATGCCCTACACCAGATATTAAACATAGACCCAAGATACCCCAAAATCAAGATCACATCTATGTTCCACTATCAGTCCATTCCTCTGAGACAAATAAAGATTTTGTTTCTCGTAATTTCGCATTTTTTGATTGTTCTAAACATATAACATGTCAAACTTGTATATTAAGTGAGTGGGCTTGTAACTGGTGTATTTATGACAATAAATGTACTCATGATATATCTGTTTGTCAGCGCACTGTTATTGGTGGTGAAAACAACCCAAACAAATTACTCAACCAAGGTATTGGTCACTGTCCCAGAATAAGGCAATACAAGAAACCAATACTACTCCCCAATAATGTACCAAAAGAATTAGAGCTTGAAGTAGAAAATTTGCCTCACTTACAACCTGGACATACAGGCTTTCAGTGCATTGTCACAATTGAACTGGCTAATATGATTCTACCTGCCAGAGTGGAATCAAATCACTATATTGTATGTGACAAAACTATGTATTCATATGAAGAAGATGTAGGAGAATACAATATTAGTGTTAAAGTGTTTTGGAACCACAAACATTACATAGATACAATAACTATAACTCTATATAAATGTGAGATTCTTGGATCCCACAGAGACCATGCTGATTGTTCACTCTGCATTACTAGAAATTCAGTCTATCAATGTACTTGGTGTGGCAATTCCTGTTCTTACAGTGAATCTTGCTTAGAAAATCCTGTTACTGAATGTCCTAAACCTCGTATTGACATGATAAAGCCTTTAAGTGGTCCTATAGAGGGTGGAACATTGGTCACAATTGAAGGTAGCAATTTAGGGTTAAGAGTTGAAGAGGTAACCGGAAAAGTAAGAATTGGTGAAGTTCTATGTGATATTGTGGATTTTGAAGTATCTGTGAGTATTACATGTAGAACAGGACCGTCAAATGGTTCGGTAATTGCACCCGTGATTGTCGAGAATGATGCAGGTTATACAGAATCAACTGTATTATTCAGTTACAAAAACATTAAATTGCAAGGTATCTATCCAACTCTGGGACCTGTATCCGGCGGAACCCAACTAGCCATTGGTGGTCAACATCTTAACATCGGCTCATCTGTATCTACATATTTAGATGAAATGCCATGTTCTGTTAATAGAACTCAAACATCTAATAGCAGATTAATATGCATCACCCCTAAAGCCAATTCCCCACGGATTATTCATACTTTGCTTGTAATAATCGACAACGCCAATAGAACTTTATACGGAGATTTGTTTAATTATACAGCAGATCCAACTATTATGGAGATAAAGCCTCTTAAAAGTTTTGTATCGGGGGGCAGAATGATAACAGTTCATGGTACCAATTTACATACTATACAGAAACCTCTAATGAAACTTTATTACGCAAATGAAGTGATCCCTGTAAATTCCACTGAATGCGTTGTGTTAAACTCCAATCAAATGGAATGTCCAAGTCCGTCTATAAACAAAAAATATAATGAAATTATACAAGCAACTAAAACTCAGACCAACACTCCTCAGATAGCAATGAAAGTTGGTTTTGTCATGGATAATGTGGAAACTATGCATGATTTAGAAAAATATTTTAATCCACCGAGGACTCATATGGTATTTGTTGAAGATCCACACGTGTACCAGTTTCCGAATAAAATAAAATCGTATAAAGGCGACCCTTTAGTCATAGAAGGTGAAAATTTAATTAGAGCAAGTGATGAAACTGATGTAGTAGTCACTATTGGAACACAATCTTGCAACGTGACAAGTCTTACAATGCAGCAGTTGCTGTGTACTCCTCCTGAAATTCAACCTCCAAATACTGACGAGAATGGTTTCCAATTATCTGATATTAATTTGCCTTTAGTTGTCGTAAAGATAGGTAAAAATTTACGTTTTCCTATAGGATACCTGCATTATGAGTTATTAAGAAATTACAATTTTCCCCCTGAAGCCATAGCGAGCATTGCTGCGGGTACATTTTTCCTTGTACTTATATTTATGATTGTTTTGGTTATGTACAGAAGACGCAGTACTAAAGCGGAAAGGGAATACAAACGAATACAGATACAAATGGATACTCTTGAAAGTAACGTCAGATTAGAGTGCAAACTGGCTTTTGCAGAACTTCAAACTGATATGTCTGATTTGGCAGCTGATTTAGAACACTCTGGAATTCCGACTCTGGATCATGTTAATTATGTTATGAAAGTATTCTTCCCCGGCGTATCAGATCATCCTATATTAAATGTTCAAAGACAATTCATAAATACGCCCCGAACTAATTATGACGCAGCAATGTTTCAGTTTGAACAACTTCTAAACAATAAGTGTTTTCTTCTGTCATTTATAGACACATTAGAAAGCCAGAAAACCTTCAATATAAGAGACAAAGTGAACGTAGCATCTTTATTAATGGTTATTTTAATGGGGAAAATGGAATATGCTACAGACATACTCAAATCATTATTATTACGTCTGATCGACAAATCAGTTTGCGCGAAACATCCCCAATTAATGTTACGAAGGACTGAAAGCGTTGTAGAAAAAATGCTTACTAATTGGATGGCTTTATGCATGTACTATTACTTGAAAGATTATGCTGGTTCATCTTTATTTTTATTATTTAAAGCAATTAAACATCAAATTGAAAAGGGCGTAGTAGATGCTATTACGCATGAAGCAAGGTATTCATTATCAGAAGAAAAACTTTTGAAGGAACAAATAGATCATCAAATTGTAACTTTACATATAGTCCAAGATGATTTTGATGATAAAGTACAATGTAAAGTTTTAGATTGCGATAGTATATCGCAAGTAAAATCAAAAATATTAGATGCTTTATTTAAGAACACTCCATTTAGTATGCGCCCATCCGTCCACGAAGTTGACTTAGAATGGAGACATGGAAGAGGCGGACATGTTACGCTTCAAGATGAAGATCTCACAACGAAAACCTTGAATGGCTGGAGAAGGTTGAACACGTTAGCTCACTATGGCGTCAAAGAGTCTGCTGTTATGTCGTTAATATCGAGACAGAATGACAGCTTCAATACCCCTTATAAAATACCTTGCAAAAATTGTACCGGCATTTATTGCACAAACTCTCACATAAGGGTTTATAAAAGTGACATAAACGAACAAAACGTGCACTATTATCATTTAGTTAAACCAATTGAATATCAACACATTGTAAATAAATCTTCAGAGCATAGCCATAAAGCTATACCGGAAATATTCTTAACTCGACTTCTTTCAACCAAGGGGACAGTTCATAAATTTGTTGATGATTTCTTTAGTACGATATTGACCGTAAATGAAGTGTTGCCACCAGCAGTGAAGTGGTTATTCGATCTTTTCGACGATGCAGCTAGATCACACGGTATAATCAATCCTGAAGTAGTTCATGCTTGGAAATCCAATAGCCTGCCATTAAGATTTTGGGTGAATCTTATCAAAAATCCCGATTTCATTTTCGACATTAACAAAACTGCCACTGTCGATTCATCTCTCTCTGTTATTGCACAAACCTTTATGGACGCTTGTTCTCTTTCCGAACATCGTCTGTGTAAAGATTCCCCTTCGAACAAGCTTCTTTTCGCAAAAGATTTGCCAACTTACAGAGATATGGTAATACAATTCTACCAAGCCGTCTCACAATTACCTCAAGTATCCGACCAAGAGCTAAGTACCTCCATGCAACAACTTTCAGTTGAGCAGCTTAATGAGTTTGACACTCTGTCCGCATTGAAAGAGTTGTATATTTATGTCAGTAAATATAGAGAACAAATTATAGTAGGGCTAGAAAATAAAATGCACTTAGCTCATAAACTAGATAACGTAGCATGCACTTTGGAGGGCGACCCCACAGCTGTGTGCTGACTATATGATACCGAGAGTTACGATTTAATTGCATTTACATAACTTATTATATATTTTGTACAAAGAGCTTTAATTTATTCTGAACAAAAAAAATACTCAGATCTAAACCCGTTTGTAAAAAAGACTGTAAAGTATCGATTCCAATACTAGTTTAACAGTATGATGTTGAATAATACTTATTTCGCAGTGGACTTTGATGATAATTAATATAAGTATTTAAGGTGTTATTTGATGCTACTACTTATTTAATGTTATTAAATGTCATAATTTTTCTAGAGATCGCTACCTTAACATACCTTTTTTTATTAAAAGGCGTCTCCCAGTGGCCATATATTATTACGTTTGTATTGCCATTTCTAATTTGTAAGTAATTTCTCTCTGAACTGTAATTTGTGTTTTGTTTTCGTAACATAGATCTGGCACTGATATTATTGTACATTTATTCGTGTATGCTGCTAAAATACTTAATATTGATGTGTATTATTGTTCTAAGATGTATGTGTAAAGAGAAATATTTTAAGGAAAATGTTGTGATATTTGTATTTGGAATATTTATAACACTATCTTTTTATACTTAATTTAATAGTTATCATTAAAATTAATAGGCATTTAATTATCTTCATATTATAATAAAAACGATGAAAAAACGAATCTTATGTAAAATAAAGCAGCTGGACATTTTTACTTTTTATTTATAGATATATAGGCATATTCGTTTATAAGATTATAAATGTATTTTCTATTTTTCTCAATATGTATTTCGCTGACTCAATTGAATATATGACATTGTAATTGAACAATTTATTAAATATAAATACTTATATGTATAATTTATTGAATTTATATTGATCTCTTTTGTATTGCTCAACTTGCTTCGCGCCTATGTTAAAAATAACAAACACATTGTCAATAGTTTTATTGCAAATATTATATTTATATATAAAGTCATTGAAATATTCCATCTACAACATATTTTAAGTATAGATGTAACTTGTTAGTTTTAAGGCAGCGTAAATTCACCCGTCTCTTAAAAATTTTATATTATTGACTTAGAAATAAACTTATTTATCAATTTTTTTTGTAATGATTAATTTAATTATGAATGGGAAAATCAAAACATGTGTATTATTTCATCACATTTATTATATACGTATGTTTAGTATCCATATGGAAAAACAAAACATCACATCCACTGTAACCACAGTAGAACAATGAACAACTAAGCTATTTAATATTAAACAATTATATTTGTGCAAAAATTCTCATTTAGAACACATTATTTTTTATACAATTTCTACGTTTGTCGTTGTCATCACAGTTATGATAATAATTTATACTATCATAATATTCAACAAAAGAACAATCATATACCATACATACTACATTGTTAAGATGATGTCATATAACAACTGGTTGTCGGAGTACTCACAGTACATAGAACAAAGGAGATTCCAAATTACAAATAGGGATTACATTTATGTATGAACAATCTTATTGTCAATATAAATTACAGATACATTCTTTTTGAAAAAAAAAACTACAATCCTTTAAATAGTTATATATGGACACTGGTTTTAAATATATAGCACAAGAATCTCCTTGAAGGTGTTAAATCTCAATCAATCTCAGTACAATTGAAAAAAATGAAGAAAAAACAAAAAAATTAACAACAATTTTAATACAGAAACTATAGTATAATATCAATTTGTCACACATTGCACTATGTAATAAATACTGATTCTGAATGATACATATATCACAATGATTTATTGATAATGCAAAAATCATATACATTTTTTAAATATGAATCAATAAATTTCTTTCACTACATATTGCTTGTTGAATCAGGCTAAAGGCAGTGTACACTTCAACAAAATGGTAATGTCAATATAGTCTGCTCTTTATATATATTTAAAATTTGATATATAGCAAGTATGTTTTAAATTATTTGTACTATAATAATTGTATATTTCTTCTTGTAGTCAAGATAATTCGAGACACATAATTAGTATTACAGTTTACGTATAAAAACAATTTTAAGCACCACTATATCTGAAAAACAAAAATCTAAATGTATACGAGCTAGTCATTTCTTAAAACTTGTCCATTATAATAAATTTCCTATAAATATACATGGAGTCTACGCATCATATTCAAGCTATAATCTGTTTATAAATGAAAAGGAACATTTCTAAACATGAATACCAATGAGAACATTTACTTCTATCTTTTACATAAAAACCTCAAAAAATATTAAACAATCTTCTCTACAATAACTGGGATTGTTTAACGATCAACAACAAGATGTCTGTAATAACACAGTGATTAATATTGTGCTAAAGAAGATTTATGCAGTAGAAATTAGCACTAATACAACATTAGTGCTATTTGGTAATGGTGTATATATTAAAAACAGCAGTACATAAATAACCAACAACTTCAAACATATATTTCACATTCATCTTAATACACAGCTTAGCCACATCATAGCCATGCATATATTATTTTTAATTATAGATAGCCAACTCATGACCACACTCTGGAAAAAATAAATGCATAAATTTATGGAAATGTATAGACACTTTTGTTTTTTAATTTACCTTCACCTCATATCGTTGTTATAATCTCATTATTTAATTTTAAATATTAAAATGCATAACATTATATTCCTTAATTAATGGAAATTTCAACATTTTAAGTACTTCAGATTCACATGGTCAGAATTGCTGCTGCCCCACAAACATATTCATTATCTCTGTTGACAGAGGCGAATTATTTTGGAAGTTTTTGCAGCAGTTACAACAAATATGAATGCAGTAATTACATGAAACCTCTAAGGCAACATTAATTGACGTGTCGAATAAAATGCGCATCGATAGCCAGCATCTTTGCTCAAACATTCTAAATAATACATATAATTCAAAATCATCTGAACATGTAAAAAGAAAACTAAATAAATTTCCAACAGTCACAATGCAGATAATATGACGTCTACATATAAACATACAACAAAGCTCTCACACATAAATAGAAACATTAATATGTGATCTACTCAAACGTTTTAAATCTCACTAGCCACGGCGGTACAAAGCTATTTAATCTACACTACAAGTGCCTTATCCAGAGGATCTCTATATATGATGGTGGATGATTTTATTAAGTCTGGTTCATCGGCGTTGTCTTGTGGTACACATTTGTGGTGTGCCATCATGAGCCCGCCGACTATGGCAGCTAATGCTCGGTCCAACCACGTGACTGGGTTAGCATACAACAAGCCGCCCTCATAGAAGCCGAGATGACCACCGTGAGATAATTCCAGGTACATCGCTTTGTCGTGGGAACCTGGAAATAATAATAATAACGCTTTCAACCACAAAAATAATATTAAATAATGTAATTATATAGATTGGAATTAACAAATGTGAGTGTATAACAAACTTAATAGAAAAATACTCATTATTAATTATTATAAAGAACGAAAATTAATGACGATTTTACACGAATAAGAAATGCGAAGTTACAAGCAACATTTTACTTTCACAATTGTACCTAATATCTAGCGAATGTAAAAGTAAGGAATATATTACACTAACTAAAACACATACATTAGAACTACAATATAATAACATTTACAATATTTTCTCAAATCAAAGTCTTACGTATAGTTTCACTGATAAATTGTTATTAACTAAGAGAGTGAAGATTATAATAACTGAAAATTTTCAATTCGCCCTTTTTTATATCTAAAACAATATATCATTTATTCATAAAGATTTTTATTTATGCGAATGCGAAAGTTTTGAATGAGCCGTATGACAATTGTAACAGTAAAATTGAATTACAAACATAATGTAATTGTTATATAAATTAGGTTATATATTCAATTAAACTAATTAATTTACGAATGTGTGAATATAAAAACCATTTAATTCTACCTTGAACTCTAACGGCCAAGGTGAAGTTAATAATTAATGACCTACATCAATATTTAATCAAAAATAATCGATTTAATGCAACAAAGAAATTATTTTACTTGTAATAAAGATATTAAGTGTTATTCAATTATATTAAAATTTATATTTGAAGACAAAGTAGGTGAGATTTTCTAGTCAGTGGTTATATGTGGTGAAAAGTAAACACTGTTATTATTGTTTTATACTATGGTAAAAAATTGTATTGAATATGATAAAAATATCAAGTAGATTGAAGTTAATAACATATTTTTTACTATGAAAGTGTTACTCTGTAGTTCCACTTGACTTCTATGTTTAACACACATAGTAATTAATTCAAAGATTACTTACTGACAAATTCTCTGATGAGTGGCAACAATGGTTCTGGCACTATGGGGTCGTCTTTAGCGTTTATAAATATCATAGGCGTCTTTATATTATGAAGATAGAAGGCCGATGAGCTCCACTTATACAACTCAGCTACAGAGTTAAACCCATACACCCTCCTGTTAGAAGAAAACAAAAATAATACCTCTTTATTGGTCGATTGAAAAAGTTGTTATGCATCGACAATAATAACAAAAAGGTTATCTGAGTTTCCGGAAATACTTGCAAGGTTTGTCTGTAGTTTCCTACATACATTATTCAAGCTGTGCAAAATAATCGCAGCTAACACAATTTCTGTGTTTTTTTGTTATAAGCTATTATTATTTTGATATTATGTCAACTTCGGTCAATCGTAGTTTTTAAAACAATGTAAATGATGTTGTATTATAAGTGTAATTGTAATTTTTTTTCTACATTTTATACAATATTATATCATGACTATAACCTTTATAATCAATAAATTATACACTTAAAGGAAATAAACATTACTAAGTGTAATTAGACCCTATTCAGTGTTTACCGTGATATATTCACAAATGAGTAATTCTACTATAAAATATATACTAGTTGACCCGGCAAACGCTACTTTGCCCTGTAAATGAAGGGGTTGTTGATTAAAAAGTAAGTATTTTGGGTTGTATGTACATATTTTTAATGCAACATTATAAAAAAAAAAACAAAAACAATAAATTTCGTTTGTAAATTTAAAAAAAATGAAGGAAGAAGAACCCTTATGACTTAGGGGTATGTAAATTTGATGTTGGCCGATTCTCAGACCTACTCAATATGCTCACAAAATTTTGTGTGAGTTCTGTCTAACACCGCGACACGAGAATTTTATATATAAGATATTTAGTTAGTGTTAGTTACCTTGAGTAAGCTTCATCAAGATCTGGTAATGTACCAGCTGACACTATCATGTTCTCGTCCAGCGAGTATCTGTTCTTCATCTCGTTACTCAGCAGCGTCCTCTTGTGGCGGGTTATAATGTTTCGGTAATTGTCCGTCATTATGTACAAGTAGAAGCGGCGGAAGTTTTGCCACTGAAGAAGATACACCATTGTGCTGAAATGTGAAATTTGAATTTAGAACACTCTAGAATATTCAGATTGGAAATCTTTCGTATTTTCCTAAACAACTACAAATATAATGATGTTGGAGGTTTTATATCGAAAAAAATAATAATTATATTATTTTATTTCTTTACATACTTAGTTATTATCAAGTTTTTTCTATAGACAGATTATTTAAAGCATATTGTACTCTGTTATCCCGGTAAAGGAACTATAGAGTATTGACTATATCCTTATAATGGATGTTTATTAGTATTAGTTGTTATGTTGTTTATATTTATAAGTTTGAAAAGAAATAGAATTTACAAAAAAAGTAACTCTTTAAACACAACTAAGAAGAATCACGCAATTATTTATAATGGTAAATGGACATTTAACGAATACGCTTATGCTATAATCCTATTATATTCGGAATTAAAAAACGAATTACATTACAATTATGCAGCAAAAAGTTTCTAGAATAAATGCATTTCGATAAAGAATAATGACGCAATTTCATTGATTACTGTGGGAACACATTTATGGTTATTGGTTGTCACTGAAGCTAGATATTTAATGAGACGTAGAAAAAGAAATTATGACGGAAATAATAGTCTGCTACTTGGTATCTTATCTAAAATTTATATTTTAAATACTTTTATAACAATAACTTCTATTGTGACATTCAATCATAACTACATATTATAAGTTAAATATTATAATAATATTATTAAATCAAATCCATAATGTACGCCATCTTTGTTTTAGACATTTTTTGTTATCATTACGTATTTTCAATGACTGTATTTTCATTATACTCACTCTATGGCATTGTATCCCTGGCATATTGATATTCCACCTATAATATTATCAGGCCTTTTCCTGTCTTCACCTAAATATTTAGTAATCAAATTGCCGCCGAGGCTGAAACCGACTAGAATCAACTTCGTATTCGGATATCTCTCCATTAAATTATCTATCATATAATTAAAGTCGTCCGTGTGACCTGCGAATAAAAAAAAACAAAATAAACAAAGATAAAAAAAATTATTCACACAATTTATTGATAGAACGTTGACCTTGTAGACGAAGATAACTTTCGACATGACTAACTTGCGTGACAGCAAACTAAAACCGACTCCAAATTCATTACCGGTTATTACCAAATCACTGATCTACCTTCGAATTAACCCACTCTCCTTACGATACTTTAACACTTGTAACACATTTAAAATAATCTGTTGTAGGGTTTTATTATCACTTTTAACATCAAATTATACCTTTATGTATAATTCATTTGCGTCTTCAATATTATTTTTGTTTTTTTAAATATTTCTAGTTTAATATATTTAAGAAGAATAACCAAGACATTAAGCCAGTTTGAATAATTGTCATGAAGTAGGAATGGAATATTAACGTATTGAATATGACATCAGAGGCTTTATTTGAGAACTAATACTAACCTCCGTGTGATTCATTAATGAAATCATCGACATACTAATTTACTACCACCTATTATGTACCTGCACGAATAGAATTTTTAACCATTAATTTATTAATCCTTAATATCTAAATGGTTGCTTCAGAATAATACTCATATCCTCATAGATATTGAGAACTACTAAGTAGATATAATAAGAAAAAAAATAATGATTCTCGCATGAATCAACCGTCTAAACCTTATATGGTGATTATATACCTGCTATAACTACAATTGTAAACAAAGCAAATATTTAAAATTACAAGGTCAAATCTATTTTTTAATTACAAACAAACTAATACGGTTTCAATACTTTATTGTATTCAGGAGAAGGGCAAAGGGCCCTTTGAGGCGGTCGATTAACCTTCTTTAACATAAATATTTATCATAATTAAGCAATTTCAATAAAGCCAAGGGCCCTTTGAATTCCAAAAGATCAACAAATCTATAAACGAATTATGTATCATGATGTCATCTATGACCAATATAATAAGGCTCAAATGAAATATTTATTTGACTTTTAATGTATCTTTTTCGGCTTCTAGCCGATAAGTAGCATCGTTTTGCAATGAAATAATGTAAACAAGACCCAAATAGAGATTTTATCTTTATTATAACCTAAAATTCATTTATTTCTAGCCACGTTTTTTTTAAATATTTAGACAAGACCGCCTTTGGATATTTTAAAACGTTACAACTGTGTAATTAAAATATGTTATTTTGATTAACTTCATAATTATTGATTATATATGTTTACAAACATAAAAATGACAACAACCTACATGCGAGAACTTATAAAACAATAAGTGTAGCAAAAAATTATCTGTAATTTTTTTTTCTTTTTATTACTTATCTACCTAGTCCCGCAACATCGTCTGTTTTCATATACAAATTTTAATGCAAATTCCAAAGCTGCACTTACATAATCATTTTTAATTAATAATCAATTGAAATACAGTGTAAATTTTAAGTAACTCAGTTATGTAAGGGCAAATCTATCATTAGTTATCAAACTTACCGTACGAGAATATTCTAGCGCCTGTCACAGGCACGCTGTTCAGGGCGCCGATATGATTCAGTACCGCGCACCGGTAGCCGTGGCGCTGCGAATAGTGTACATATGTACGGATGTACACACTCTCCGATGTATTACCGATGCCGGGACAAATGGCCACCGTGACATCATCTAAACAAACATCATGTTGCAATATTCCAAGCAATGGTTTATTACAGTCAAGGTCAAGTTGTATAAACAAAAAGCAACTTTTTACACGAGCTACACTAATGAAGACAATTGAGTAGATTGTTTGAAGGATTGAATCAATATTAGCATCGACAAGCAAATGATCGAACGGCATAGAATGTATGTTTAACAAAATCATGATATTTTAGATATCAAGATATCCAAACCGAAAGTTAGATATAGATAATCATTTTTTACGCATTTTACGTGTTAATAATAATTTGTGATCAACATGATTCATACACGAATTATTTTTATCTATTGCAAACTTATTTAAAATCAGATTTAAACAGGGTAAATTTTTACATATGGTTTATGTAAAAAAGCATATCTGATGTACCTAGTTCACCTTGCAAAATTGTAAGTTTAATTAGAATTGCTCTTAATGGTGTTAGACTTAATAGGAGTTAGAAATAAATTAATAAAGTCGGTTGAATAGTTTTTCATGTAACACAAGGTGTTCTTACCCTCATGTTCTGCTCCTAGTGGCTCATAGAGATCATATGTCAGTGTTGACTTATCAGGCAAGATGAGAGATATTCGTCCACCAATAGGCCAAGGACAACGCACCCGACCTATCAAACTATGAAGTATTGTCTGGACATGACCACTAAAACCCCATAATCGTGTCGGTATATATCTGAAACATAGGATCAGTTTAGAATGACATAACTTCTATGTAATGGAATCAAATATTGGACATTTAATTTGAGCTTCAAATTTAAACTTGGAAATTAATAATTATATAAATGAGTAATTTTATCAATCAAGTTTGGTATTGTTTTCTAACTTGTTCTTATAGCTATTTTAAGCCAATAGGTAAACTTGTTTATCTTTAAATATATGAGCTGGCTTCCTTTATTAATAAAATATTGTATACATATAATGTTTTTATTTAATATTAAGATTTTTGTAACTCATTTTTCATTTTTTATAGTGAAATTTATTTAAATTACTATTTGATTTATATGTAAAATAGATAATTATTTTGCTAATATTTGTAAACAATTTCAGGTTGGTAATGATTGTTTAAAGCAGGTATAAATCCACAATTTGAAATTTGAAAAAGCAAATTGTAAATAATAGAAAAGCTTGCCATTTATCAAAAACTAGATAGATAGACATGATTCAAACTGTAAATAGGTCTGTAATTTATGTACCTTTCAAACAGAATAATATTTTTTAATATAAGTTTCTAAACCTAAGAAATTATAACTTTTAACCCTTTTTATAAATAATATAGAATGAACCAAACTTAAAAATGAAATAACAAACAAATATAACAATATATATACCTATTGCACACAAGTTTCAATAAAACTAATAGAAAAGGATTAATTCATTTAATTATTTCCTAACATTTATACACTAGGAAATGGTTAAGGTTTCACAGAAATCACTAGGTATTTGATAGGCAGAACAATTAAAAGTTTTTGAAATAATTTGTATGTAAATTGGAAGTTTTTTGTTATTATAAAATATGGCTTATCTTTTCCTATATAATTTCCAGTGACTATAATAGTAAAATGAGAAAAGTGTTGTAGAAAAAGAATGACATTTTCAAACCTTTCTAATAAACTGGAATTATACAGCAACAGAATACATTCACAATTAGAACAAATTATAAAATTAAGACGTTAAAAACCAATCTTAGTTAACCATCTATCATGACATCATCATCTTAACAGCATGGAAACGTTCTTCTTACATGATGTTTACACATCTAAGTGGAAAATTATTATGTGAATTATTATAAAAGTATAACTTACGGTTCACTCAGAAATGGTGCGACGAAAAGTATATTTTCGATGAAATTTCTATCCCTGCCATATATTACGGGCTTGTGAGGTTGGCTGTTAACATTCAGAATTCGGAAAAGAACGCACAAAATTACGGCGATGACAGCAAGAAGAACAGTAGACATTTTTTCTCAATGTAAATATCACTATATAAAATCTACATAATATCGTTAAAAAGGACTAAAATCAATTAAGTGAATGAATGCATTAAACCCACAAACATCAGAGCCACCACTCACACTCAAAACCAAAATAAAACTGAATAAATTACTAAGTCAAGTTTCAAGGCAGTACAATGACAGCGGTTGTCAAATATATTTCTAGAACTTTTGAATAATACAGAAAGTTTTGTATTTTTTCATAGAATATTTTGGATGTTTATATTTGATTTGAATTAACACAAATAATATTATATTTAATATAATACTACTATTTTATAATTATTTCCTGAATTTTTAAGCTATAAGTGTTGCTAGATAAATTAAGATTTTAAAATGCATATATCAGACATAAATTAGATATTACTTATTATATGTAATAAAACTTTCTAATAATAATGGAAATAATAACAAAACATTATAAGCTATCAGCCTACACTTTTGAATATCGTAAATTCTGAAATCCATATAAGAATTAATAATAATAACACAATAGGTTTTTAGAATTTTGAGTCATCACTATAAATTCTAAAATAACGATTAATTTTTTTTTTCAATTCAAAAGCAACAAAATAAGTTGTTTGATCATTAACTTCGCTATAATAATATTTGTAGACTTAGATTTCCCGAAATTATCTGTTTTCATAGCCATAAATTAAAATCGCGCTACATGGCAAATTAATAGTTTTGTTGTCACCCAACAGATAACAGCGAAATAGAGCTCGAACCAACTTGCCTGAGAACAACATACTGTTAATTTAATATGAAGTTTTATTTATAGCAACATTGCAAGGTTAATTTAGTAAGTGAAGGTAAAGGAAACCACCGAAAGAGTATTAATAGGAAACAAACATTTGATTAAGAACATAATTTATTAGAAGAAATGTTCAAATACTTAAGAAAAAAACTAATTACCAATAAATAACAATCGTGTGAAAATTGCAAATTATTTTCAAACATAAAACACACCAGTCTTAGTAAATAGATTTACTTGAATATAATTCTTTCATTGTCATTCTTTCAAAATATTACAAATGTAGATTTTTAATGTCCTTATTTAATCAAGATCATCTTAAATATTCGTATAACTATAAACGTCATTGTACACATCCATAAAATAAATTATATAAATACGGTCAATTCTCTTACGCCTTGAGATAAAAGGTGGCAGCACCGTCAGTACTATCAGTCGTTGTACTTTTACATGGATTAAAAAAAAAATAAAGACCGCATCTAGGGCAACGAAAGTACTGAAAATAAATTCTGACTTCTGAAATCTACACATAAGTTAGTTACACATAAGAAATATAAAATAATAATTCAGAAGAAATACACAATTTATGATTAATTTCAGATTGATTATCACAAGATTTAATCTGCAATCTTGTCAATATGACTTTTTAGTACGTTACGTTATTCAGACACTTTTTATTATAAACATGTTCAGAAGAAAAAAATAATAAAATATAATTGCAGAATTCTTCTCTCGTAAGAAATGTAACAGTTTATCTTCTATTTATTGATTACTTGTGTATACAAAATATTAGTAAACTTAGTTGTGATTGGAAGTGAGCAAAACGTTTCTTATTAAATATTATATAGTATACACTAACTTCTGATATAAACAAAAAAATTGTTAAGATGATTCTTATGAAATGTATCAAGCAAAAAGATTTTTTTGCTTGTTATTACAATATTATCAAAGCCATATAATTATTATATGTTAAAGCGAACTCACTCAATCACAGGGGCTCTGTGCATTAGCTCTGGAAGAAAAATGTGTTACATCATGAATACGATTTATAATTAAAGTCAAAACATACACTTAAAAACGAAAACAAAAATTAAATCTACAGTTAATGTTTTTTACAATGACATTTGTATGAGTAATAAATCAATAAATTAGCTATTTTAATTATATAAATAAGAACTGTTTTAATGGATTTAACGTTACAGGAAGACAATCACGAGAACTGCAGAGATAGATGTGTGAGATTAATATATAAAAAATGTGATAGTTAAATCCATTTAAATAGTTTCGTCTAAATGTATTGAGAGTTACAAAATCATGTTATTATAATTGTTTTTTATTTATTATAAAATGTGATGTGATTTATATACTTTAAGTGGTTTTAAATTTATCCATATATATATTTTTTGTGATCTGATGATTTTGCATCCAACTTTGATTCAATAAATATCTGTACATAATCTTAACATAAAATTAATATTACAGCAAACAATACCAAACTAACTCCTAAACCTATACAATACTAAACTATCTAGCTCAGAAAACATAATAGCTAAAAGTATAACAAGACAATGTGATGGCATCCTTAATATTAGTTAAAATTATACCAAAAATTGATGGCAAATAAAAACAATCAAGTATGTATGTTTTGTGATGATAAAATATTACAATTGCCATACTTTAAATATAAAGTAACTACATAAAAATGTGTAAAACATTCTTCAAAATGTTTATTTTTACAAATTATACATTTTTAACTATTGACCAATAAATGATTATAAATTCAGTCAAAAGTAAAAAATATATCATTCTATTTTTTTTTAACTTTAGTAATATTAAACATTAAGTTTGCAGATTATGAAATAATTTGCTTTAATTTATACTGAAAAAAATATAGCAATGATAAATTTTTAACTTTCAATTTATCTAGAAGAAAATGTTTCATATATTAAATGTTTTTCATAATAAGAACTATTAACATAGCCAATATAAAATTGATACAGAATTAAACTTGTGCCAGTCTATATACTATGAGTTTGGATTATATAACATTAAAATTTATATTCAATAAATTGTTGTAATTTATATTAACACATTATTAATTATTGTATTGCTAGAATGGAGGTACAAATATTTTCTAAAGTTATAAATGTATCCTGTATAAATATAGTATCTATTGATATACCTAGGCAATTAATACTTTATCATATGGAGCACATTTCTTTCCCTAGACATATCCAATATATATATACAAAATTACACAAATACATTTTGTCTTAGAGACTGACAATTGATTCACAGTGAAAGTTATAAATAAAATCATGTCATTGAACATGTAATAGATAGCACCACCGTTCCTACAACCACATTCCAATGCTCGCTCACTAGAATAATCACAAAAATACTATCTGTAGGAAACACCGCTTTTATTGGAGACTTAGTAGGCATGAGCTGTGAGACGTGTGAGGAGGGTCAGCGGATGAGGCACGTGAGGCACAGCTCTGCGGAGCCGATGCAGTCATCATGGCAGAAGGCGCCGCATTTCTTACACAGTATCATAGCCCGAAGGTTGCACACACATGAGTCATCGGCACCCACACTCCGGCAGCGGGTGACATTCTGCAATTATTTATAGTAAAATTAAATAATATTAAATTACATTTATATATGAACTTAAATGTAGGTACCCAAATTTAGTAAATCTTTATTCACATTGAACAATCATTGAAATAATATCCATGTTGATAAAAAAAAAGCACAAGTCATTAAGTTGAAACATAGAAAGTGCTGCTTAATATAAAAAATAGTAATGCATATATATAAACTATACTTCTAGACTGCATACCACATTAGAGTTAGGATTAGACGGAGGTGCACTGGACGCTCTTGGTGCCACATTCGGTGTTCTTTGAACAAGTATGTACTGTCCCATATTGTTAGATCTATTTTCATTAATCTGAAAGTTTAAGAGTAAAATATTACAACCTTATATTAAAGTAACTTTATATTAACCTATGAGTGATTTGTATATAAGAAGCTGAAGCTATTGTAGGACACTTATTAACCTCAGGGTGTGGTATAACAGTTGGTAGCTGTCTAACAAGTACCGGTGGAGGTGGTCGAGGTGGTCTCGGTGCTCGGGTCAGTAGTGCTGGTGGAGGTCGCAGCTGTCCGCGGAGTGCGTCTCTATTGGGACTGTTCTGGATCACAGCTTGACAGATCTGGTAGCTGCGCTCCAAGTTCACAGCCCCCGGTGGCACCTTGTTTGAACTGCGACTCCTGGAAATATTAGTAAAGTGGTCATTTAGATGTGCTACATGTTGTTAGATTATATTTTTTTGGGTACATATTTATATTTAATTGAGTTTTGGATATACTACGAGACTATATTATCTTACATTTTACCCAATAGTTTTCTTGCTTTTGATAATAGTGATCATAGTATATCTGAAAATGATAATTAAATGTGCAACATGTTATAATTAATAAAAAATTTAATTACATGTCATACTTTTTTAGATTGGACATAACACAATTTAGCTAATTAAAAAAAATCAAAACAATAGACATACCTGTTGGAATCTTTTCCTGATTTTGATTTCTTTACATTAGTTCTAATGCTCTGTGTCATAGTGGCTGAATTAATTGATGACATTGTGACTGTTGTGCTAGATACAAGATTGGTGGCTGGGTCCATCTCTTGCTTTATCAACACATCTTTCATGGACTGACAGCTCTCCGATGAATTAGATGACTCCATGTTAAAGTTTGTATCTCTGTCGGTCTTGTACATACAATTCTCATCATTGATATTCGCATCCTCCATACTAGTTTTTGAATCTTCACTTACATATTTAGTGCTATCATTATTAATATTGGAAAAATTTTGAATATTGATCACATTTTCATTCTGAGTCCAATCACTGTCATTTTTCCATAAAACAGCTGAATTTTTCGGTTTGGCTGGATCTTGTAAGTGGTCATCTGGATAAGAGACAACCTGAGAAAAAGAGTGATATTAAAAAATTTAATTTAAATAAAAATCATTCTCATTTATTATAATTATTAAAAAAAGGATAAAATATTATATAGTGCATTAACATTAAAACTTACTGATGTATTAGTAACTTCCATCATCGGTATAGATGTGTTTTGAGGCATTGGCATTGTAACAACAGCGGTTACATCTATAATTGTAGAAAAACATAGTATGAACTTTCTACATAGTATTTTTATAAAACTTTTAAATGATTTGAAGTGTCAAAATGTTGTCATGCTCTTAATAAATCTACCCTTATAAAAAAATTATTAAAAACTTACTAGTTTCACTCATATATGAAGTTAGCTCCATCATGTTTGTCTGTGGTGCATATTTCACAACTTCACTTTCTACAACATCAACAGAAGGTTCTTATATTAAACTTTTGTTATATCTTAGATATATATCATAATGTTTCGCCCAACATATTATAATACTTACGAGGAGCCATTGTTGGTAATCCACTTTCTAATATAAAAGATTCCGCATCTTTAAAGTGTTCATCATAAAAGTTAGGAACAACACTTTCAGTCTCTTTCAATTTTTGATCACATTTGCTTTCAATATTAGATTCGTTTTTTATGAGAGCCTCTTCAGATTTACCCGAGTAGTGAATTTCATCCATAACATCCATCTTTTCAAAGGATTTTTCATTTGTTACATCAGCCATTTTATCACATTGGTGAGAATCTATATTATTTGCAGCGTATGCATCTATATTTTCATTTAAAACAGGTACAAATTCTGCCTGATTATCATGTATCAGAGATTCTGTGACAACTTCTTCATTATTTAAAGTATTTTCTTGAATTTCTGGTTCTGTATTTTCATATTCATTTACCACAACATCAGTAGATTCAGCCATAAGGGAGACATTGTTCAGGTTATTTTCAATTTTCAAGCTGGATATAGAAGATACACTTTGTTCATCATATTCATAGACAGAAGCTGTAGCTTTGCTATCTTCACTATTGGTGTCTCCTTGGTCCTGTACTGTGTAGGAATTAATTTCTTCAACTTGACTTATATGTTCATTGGTATAATGAGGCTCTTCATCGACATTGTTGCTTTCAGAATTGCATATATTGTGGTTCATGAAAGTTGTATGATCAACAGCATAATCATCTTCATATCTTACTCTCTTTGAGAACCTATATTCTTCAATATCATTACTCAATCTCTTAGTCGTCTCAGCTAAATTACTCTCTGAGTCTGTTGTTTTATCCTCATCACAGTCCTTTGATACACTAGATTCTTCAATTTTTACAACACTCATATCCAAGTCTTGTTTCACTTCATTTGCCGAGTCCTCTGGCAACAAAAGAGGATCTATAGGGGTTGTAGCTACAGAATCTTCTATTCTTGTAATGGATGAAGAATCAGAGAAACTGAAGTCCATTTGACAATCAACATAGCCTTGGCTCTTAGAATGTTTGAGTGGCAGTAATGCAGGTACCGGTGCTGAAGATTTATTACTACTAGCCATTGAATCATCCTCGGCTTCCTCAGCCTCTTTTGCTGAAGATCTAGTCACTGCACCAACTGAACGCAATCTTTTACTGGAGCTTGAGGATTTACTCTTTTTAATTTTAGGAACAGTACTGCTGCTGGTAATAGAAGCTGTGGGTCTCAGTTTTATAGTCGTCTTCAGAGATGGTCTCTCAGAATTTAAATTGATTGATGATTTTTCTCTCTGAGATTTCTCACCCCAAAATGGTTCAAAATGTTTTAATTTCCATGGGTCAATTCGGCTTTTCTCTTTTTCAGCTTCAGTCTTCATTTTTTGTTGATTTTCAGGTGTAAATTCTCCTCCAGATAAAGATTCTTGCCACTCTAAACAGGCTCGGGCAAAAAACTCATTATTAAGACTAGATGAACTTAGACGTCCCGAAGTACTTGGTCTATCAACATTTGGGAGTAGCTGCCCTAGTTTATACTGATAAAGTGGAGGAAGGAGGGAATATGTATGCTTATTAAGGAGAGCTCTAATATTTGTATTAACAAGTATGGAATCTGGAGTTTCTAGATCTATGCACCCTTCTCTAGTTTGTTGCAACTGAGCAGCTGTTGATAATTTCTTACCATTGCGTTTTCTTGGTTTGATACAAAAACCTGGTATGCTAGCTAACACTTCTCGCATGGTTGATGGTCTACTACTAGAAGTGGAACTTGATTCTGAACATGACGAAGCTGCTGTCCATTCTCGATTTTCTGGTGGTGGAGGAGGTGGTAATGGCTTTACTATTATTCTAGGCAGAGGTCTAGAATGGCTTGAACTCTTTTTTCTTCGTTTTGACTGTTTTCTGGAGGAGTGCTTGTTAGGTTTTTCACCGTCTTGAGGAATACGAATTACGGTATATTGGTCATTATTATTACATGATAAGTATTTATTTTCGGATGAGTTTTCGGGGTATTCCATATCGTTGCTAACAGATTCCATTGGCGATACATCTAACTCCATTGTACATTACAACGTGCCTAGATCCTTTTATTCAGTGTATATGAAAAACGAAGAATGCCGCAATCAAATACTATTTCAACCCATCATGTATTATTTCACGGTAACACATGTGAAATATTTTCTATAGTTAGTTAAAAACAAATAATAATCAATCATCACTTATTTCAAATCATTCAAGGTTAAACAACATAGTATTCATTGGTTTTCACAACAGAAGAGCAAAATCAAAATGTCACAACAACGCAGAAAATGGATTCCGCTATAATGCGTTCCGTTTTATGGCATAATAGGATATTACGTTTATTATACACAATTTTATCTAATGCCCTTTTTTAATTATATTAATTTCCAGATTATTTGTGAAGGCCTACATAAATTATAAAGAGTAAAACTAAATGATATTCAGAGGCTTTCATTTAAAAAAATCCTTATATAAATATTTTCTTTATTGATATAAATAGTAATGTTATATTTACAATAACCATTTTGATATTTTATGTTTTAAACTTTGAAGATATATATAAATCCTATTTTATCACGCCAAAGTTATATACTACCCTACCCAGAATAATGATTTACACAAACGAAAGAATATATTGTATCTACTTCTATCGAAATCACACACAGATTATGTGTAAGGGTATGATGATAAATGGCAACATTCTGTAATTTGTGAGAAAAATTGTCGTTCGATTAAGATGATGCGCTTTGAAGCTGTTACCGCCATTTTGTTTCTTTCATGCGATAAACCAAATTAAAAGTTAGGGTTAATTTTCTTGGAAGTATATTGATTTTTAAAAGTTGTTATAGAAAATAAAAGAAATAAGATTGTTAAAGAAAGTGTGTTAAACAATGGGACGTGGAAGGTAAAATAAACACGTTCAATATTTGTAGCATGGATGTTTTTATATTCTAACTTGTAGTTTTAAATTCGTGTATGTTTTTTATAAAGGGATCGCAGTCGAGATAGACGTCGGAGCCGTAGTCGTAGCCGGAGCAGGAGTCGCAGCCGAAGTCCTCGCTACGGTCTCGGTGGAGGTGGCGGTGGTGGATATAGCGGAGGCGGACGCAGAAGTAATCCCGGAGCCAACCTTCGAAAACCGAAATGGGACCTAAACCGGCTTAAGCCTTTTAAGAAAGATTTCTACGTGCCTCACCCAGATGTTGAAAATAGACTCGAATCAGAAGTCGAGGCTTGGAGGAGTGAAAATGAAATAACGTTGAAAGGTCGTAATATACCAAAACCCACATTAACTTTCGATGAAGCCGGTTTTCCTGATTATGTTATGGATGAAATTGATAAAATGGGTTTTTCTAAACCGACGCCAATTCAGGCACAAGGTTGGCCTATTGCCTTAAGTGGATGTGACATGGTGGGAATTGCTTCTACGGGCTCAGGAAAAACTTTGTCTTATATTTTACCTGCAATAGTTCACATTAATAATCAGCCCAAATCAAGTAGAGGAGATGGACCAATTGCTTTAGTATTGGCTCCAACAAGAGAACTAGCCCAACAAATTCAAGAAGTATGTGATAAGTTTGCTAACACTTCAAAAATTCACAACACATGCTTGTTTGGTGGCGCTCCCAAAGGTCCACAAGCTAGAGATTTGGATGCTGGGGTTGAAATTGTAATTGCAACACCCGGACGGCTATTAGACTTCTTAGAGAGTGGTCGGACAAACCTTAAAAGATGCACATACTTGGTACTTGATGAAGCTGATCGTATGTTGGATATGGGATTTGAACCGCAGATTAGAAAAATTATAGAACAAATACGACCTGACAGACAAACACTCATGTGGTCCGCTACATGGCCTAGAGAAGTACAGAGTTTGGCTGCGGAATTTTTAAAAGATTATTTACAAATTAATGTCGGTTCATTACAATTAGCAGCCAACCATAACATCCTTCAGATCATTGATGTTTGTATGGAATATGAAAAAGAAACTAAACTAAGTACTTTGTTAAAAGAAATTATGGCTGAAAAGGAAAATAAGACTATCATATTCATTGAAACAAAACGTAGAGTTGATGATATTACAAGAAAAATGAAACGAGATGGGTTAGTACAGCAGTGTTGTGTGTAGCTTTATAGCAAATAGATTAAATTAATATTTTGCTATTTCATTTACAGATGGCCCGCTGTGTGTATTCATGGTGATAAGTCACAAAATGAACGTGACTGGGTATTACAAGGTAAGAGACACTATGCAAATGAAATTATGTGGTTTTGTTTATTTGATACTATATAAATATTGAAATAATAACATTATCATGTCACATAGAAGAAAATAACTTTTAATTTGAGGCATATGTACTCCGATGTGATAGTCCAAGTCGCGAGAAGCGGTGTCGGACTGTAGCCACGGCAGTATACGGTATTGAAGACGTGTCTGCATGTGCAGGCTGGGCGAGCTGCGGCCGGGCGGGAGGGCGGCGGCCCGCGCGCGCTGCCTCCGCTAAGCGCCCGGCGTCGCACCGCTCCGCCCCTATTGACGGGGCTAAGCCCTAAGCACTCAGAGTAGCCTCCGCGGCTAGTCTGCGCCGCTTCTCGAGCTCGGCGGCGCTCGCCGTTCACGTCTGTTTGCGCCTCTCGCGCTCTCGGACGTCTTCCTATTTGCTAGTTGCTATTTCGAATGCCCTATCCGAGGGGATCATTGATATTAGTAAGTGTTTCGAGGATAACATTGAAACCTTTACACCTGAGATTGCATTCGATTCACTTTAGCTACAGCTGGTTGGCCTTCAAAATTTTTTTGATGTTGTAGTTTATAATCTTATTGTGATGTATCTATATGTGACTTTTATATTTCCTGTTTCTTTTCTACTAATTTATTATTAATTGATTTTGTTTTAAAAAGATTTGTACTTAGGATTAATAAAAAAAACAGAGAAGTAGTCCTATTTTATTTAAGACACATGGTTTAAACAAAATACATAAGTATATTTATATATTTGTAGAGAATGTTATATTTATTATTGTTAAATATTAATAATGTTGTGTCATAGTTGTTAAAAATATACCAACTACTTTTATTTTTTCTGTTTCTCTTAATGAAGGTCATAAAATTGTTTAGTGAACCATAGTAACTCTTGTTATTATTTCAGATTTCCGTAGTGGAAAAGCACCTATTCTTGTAGCTACGGATGTTGCTGCTAGGGGTTTAGGTACGTTGGATAAGTTTTTTCTAAAAATTACATTTGCAAAAAAACATGTAATCCAAACAATAATATACCTAAATTCTTTTACAGATGTCGATGATGTAAAGTTTGTTATTAATTTTGACTATCCTAGCAACTCTGAAGATTATGTGCACAGAATTGGAAGAACAGGTCGAACTAATAAAACCGGAACTGCTTATACGTTTTTCACACCATCGAATGCGGCAAAGGCGGCAGATTTGGTTTCGGTGTTAAAAGAAGCCAAACAGGTCGTGAATCCTAAATTACAAGAGTTAGCCGAACGCGGCGGTGGCGGTGGACGAAGTAAGTAGAATAATTTTCATATTGTGCATCCCTACTACTAGTGTTAATCGTCAAAGTAAATATGAACTTAATCCATTTGTTCATTATTAATTGAAAATATTAATTGGTATGTTATTTGTCTCGTATGCTTAGAGTTTTGTGTGCCTTTATGAAACAATGTTGTATCACTAGGACACCGTGGTCGTGGCGCCAGATATCGCCGAGGCGGTCGTCGTTCGAGGTCCCGGTCCCGCTCGCGTGAACGTCGCCGTCGTTCACGTTCACGGTCCCGTTCCCGAGAGCGCCGTCGTCGCAGACACAGCTCGTCGCGTTCATCACGCAGCAGGTCGTCGAGATCTTCGAGAAGCCATTCACGCTCGCGCTCCAGATCAAGAAGCCGTTCTCGCTCAGGCAAGTGCAGCCCACTGAAGGATAATACTGTTGGGCCTCAGCCAGCACCCCAGGCACTTTTACCGACGCCGAAACCACTTCTGCCTACCCCGATTGGTCCGCAGCTACCTCCCCCACATTTCGATAAACACACCAGTAAAAATTCTTTACCGCCTTCCAATGGTAACGACGAATCTCGCTTAAATAAAGATCTTTCCCAATGTTATAATAAAACTAACAGTCTCAGTAGCAGTAATAACAAACAAACCCACAACGATAACAGGTTACAGCAACAGCAACCTGTCAATTCAATTCCGCCTCTGATGGCCATAAATCCTCAGATGAATGTATGTGTTCCACCCCCACCTCTCAATGGACAGGGCTTCGTTATGCCTCCCTATTTTCCTTCTGACCAATATGGAATGATGATGCCTAATTTCGGTCCAAATCCTATGCTCAATGGACACAGTTGGGGAGCTCCGCCTCCTCCGCCTCCACCCCCTCCTCCGTCTTCAGATCCCTCTAATGGGCCTCAAAATAACTATAATTATGGTCAAAGCGGCTCGGGACAAAGTAGCCTGGAGTCAGATTCCAGAAAGCGTGGTGGCCGTTCTGGTGGCCTCGGAAGTTCGAGTTCATACGGCTTGGGCTCTGGAAGTGGTGGCCTTAGCTCAGCTGGAGGCGCCGGTTCCTGCGGCGGGGGCCTCGGCACCGGCGGCCTAGGGTCCGATAGCCTCTACGGAGGAGGCGGTGGGCTCGGCTCCGAGGACGGTCAAGGCGGCCAGCGGTCGCGCGGCGGCCGCGATCGGCGGCGACGAGGCAGAGGACGGGACTACGACGACCACAACTCGGATAATCCGAGCGGTGGTCTCGGCTCTTACGGCTCGGGCGGCTTCGAAGGAGGCCTGGGCCAGTCCTCTGGCGGTCCCGGTGTGCCCCATGGGAGCCTATTGCCGCGCATGCTGCCGCAGAATACTGGTGACTTCGACGGACAACAAAACGCCAACTTTACAGCTTTCGGTTCTTATGGTCCTAAGTATAAAAAGAATCAGGGTGGATACGACAACGGAGACTACGACGAGGGTCCCGTCAACGGGGTCGAATATTACGGCCATCAAAATATGGGACCAGGCCGACCGATAAGCTCTAACATGGATCGAGGTGTTTTTAACGATGCGCAGGCATACGGCTCCATGGGGTACAGAAATGACCGCCAGGGCAATCGCCAACGGCGGTGAATAGCATTGAGGTTTGTTATATTCAAACCAATGAAAGATCAACCTCCCTAACAATATCTATTGATAAACATACATAAACATATGTCACATCCATATACTTATATATTTTAACTTATTTTACTTATCAATTTCAAACTGCATTTTATTTGTTTGAACTACTAATACACTATGTTTCAATGAACTGTGCAATGTTATATTATAATGATGGTGTATTGTGAACACAGGTACGACTAAGACTGGCTTTATCAGAATGTACGGTACTAATAAGCTAAGGATATATTTTCTTTTTTTACAGAAAACGGCTATAACGGTGATTCTCGTCGACGAAGAAGGCGATAAATCTCAGAGGAATCTAAAATAAAAGAAGAATTTGATTAATCAAAAACTGTTGGTTGTCATTCCAAAGGTGTTTCGTTCGTGTTTTCTTGTGTATTGAAATTAATTACCTTTAATTTTAACATAAACTTACTTTTAACCCCTCAATTATGTTATAAACATTGTCCTGCATGAAACGAGTGATATTTGCACGTGTGTTACAAATTTGAAGTAATTCTGTTGGGTTTAAAAAAAACCTTTTTTTAAAGTAAGCAATATACATATTTGACCACAATGACTATCCATTCAACAGAAACGGTTCCCTAATTATACTGAAATCCTTATAGAATTGTGCTTGTTTTATATAAAGCCCTTTTTGTAAGTTATTTATATAATGCACAGTACACTAGGTACATACATTTTAACTCATTGTATAGTATTAAAATATGGTATAGTTGTAATTAAGTTTTAGTGTCAATAGTACTGCAACTATTACTAAGATTATTTTAAGCCTTTAACTGTATCTTAAGAACAATGTATTTTTGTTGTATTCTACTATTATGCGCTGAACATTCGCGTTCGTTAATTATTATAAATAATACATAGATCCACAGAGCTAGTATTGAAGGCAATTTCGACAGTTATAGAATATGTTTGTTTCAATAAATATTATCGACTGATTATAACTATAATCTGGAGCATTTTTTACTTGTAAAGAAAACGTGTAAAACATGTAACCTATAATAAGTCCGTGTATGAAATAAAAATTTTTTATTATGAGGATTTTCATTATCATTAAACCTGATTTGAAAATTGTTTTATGCATAAAATGCATTTTTGCAAAATAACAACTCAGAAGACTTCATATTTATTATAAAGAAACCCAGGAATAATTAATGGCTTTTAAGTTTTTTCATATCTTAATTGGGAAAGATATATTTGAAAGTTTTATATAACGACTAGCTTCCGCCCGCGGCTTCGCTCGCGTGGAGTTTTGTTAAAAAGTAGCTTATGTTCTTTTTCAGATTTCAGACTATCCATATCCAATATTGTAACAAACGCCTCAGCATATTAGCCGTGAAACAAATATTTACACAGTTATAGTAAATTTATTTGAATATTAAGGATTATAATAAAGGAACGGTATAGCATTTGGTTAAAACTTAAAAGAGAGTAGATATGTTTAAAAAAAAATAAAAATATCTGTTTACAGTAGGTAATAAGTATAAGGTATGTATTCCATTAAGTGGCAGAAAGTTCCCAGGAAAATCTAGTAGTCCCTTATGTCCAAGAAACACTTCCCGGGGCCAGTTAATCCACTGTTAATAAGTTAATCCTCTGTTAAAACATTAATCAACTGTTAGTAAATCCACTGTTAATAAATTAATCAACTGTTAATAAATAAATGCTTTGTTAATAAATTAATCCACTGCTTACTAATAAACTAATTAATAATTATTAACTTGTTCTTAGAAGTTGGAAAGACAAATGACAATATTTAATAATAATAAAATAGCGAAAAAATTATATGCACAGTTTAACGACCAATCAGTGAGCCCCGTTTCATTAGTTAGTTGTCAAACCTAATGTCAAAAAAAAAACGTTTGTAAAAAAACAACTACTAATAAATTAAAATTAATTTTTAATTAAAAAAAAACATCTCCAGCGGTTAAAATTGTGAATCTAAACCATTCCCAGATCCCCTTGAACACACACAAAAAATTTCATCAAAATCGGTCCAGTCGTTTGAGAGAAGTTTGGTGACATACACACTCACAGAAGAATTATATATATATTTATAAAGATATTACTATCCTATTAGTTACTTTTTTTACTTCATTTAGAATAACTTAATTCTTTTGAATAAAAATTGTTACACCGGGTACTGTAATATGCAAATAATAATTGTCTGAACCTTATTGTTCAGAACAAGAGTATATTTTAAAGAAAAGGAACACAATGTTTCCATGGCAATGAGTTATTATTGATAAATCATATATTTGATTGATTTTTAAGAAAATTTTCTATATAAGTGTTTGTATTAACCATGAGCTTCTGTGTAGATTTAGTTTCTGAAGATTCATTTTATGAGAATATTACATTGGGGGTAACAAAACTCCTAGGTATATTTGTAAATTTTTATTTTCAACAATTTAATAGTTGTCAAATAATGACAAATATTAATAGGAATTAGCTTTATGTTTAGGTAGAAATTTAAATCCATCAGGTACTGGACCAAGTACCATTTCACTTATTTTTACCCAGTCAGCACAATTTCCAGATGCCATTAAAGTTTCTAAGTCATTACGGCCAAAGTATAAAGGAGGCCGTTCATTAATTTTTTGTGGTGGTCTTTCAAGTAATCCAACTGGTATATATCTGTATAAAAATGAAAGCCATTCTAAAAGAAATCTACGTGTATTCTCGACACCTTGCGTATCAGAGCCCCAATGCTCCAAACCAAATTTTGTAAATTTTTTAATAATTTCAAATCTTTCATGACTACTTATGTCATAAAGCTTTTGTTCTTTTATTTCATTGAATATCCATGGTTTTATGAGGGCACCCCTACCTATCATGACTCCTTGGATACTTGGAGCTGTCTTTCTACTGTTTACATAATCTTCATAACTAAGAATATCTCCATTTCCATAAACTGGGCATGGCGAGGCAGCTTTTGCACAAGTTTCTATATATTCCCAATCAGCTAATCTGGTATATCTAGCTTCTCTAGATCGACCATGCAATGTTATAAGAGAAGCACCCCAATCTACTACTTTTGGAATAATAGTGTGAGCAATTTTTTTATCCTGGTAAACTCCAGTTCTCATTTTTATAGTAAATGGAATATCAAGGATTTGTGAGGCACTTTTAACTGATAATTCTAAAGCTGGAATTCTATGCATCATCCCACTTCCACCTCCTTTTTTATACACCAAATCTATCGGGCAACCTAAATTTAGATCAATGAAATCAAGTTCAGTGTTTTCCTTTAGTAACTGTGAAACTTTGGCAATCGCATAAGCATTATTACCACATATTTGGGCTCCAAATAAATCCTCAGACTCATGTCGCTTCACTAAAGCCCATTCCTGTTTCATGCCTTTAAGAAGTGATTCACATAATGCCATTTCACCACATGTGATGTCTGCTCCATATTCTTTGCAAATTCTTCGAAAAGGTAGATTACCTACCGTTGTTAAGGGACTTAGATATAATTTATCTGTCCAGTCAATTTTTTTTCTTTCTCTAGGTAATAATTTCACTATATCTTCATCAAGAACTGGCCCAATTTTGTGATTGTCTTCATTTAATTCCTCTGAATTTATAGAATCATTACTGGGATTATTTATTTGCTTTTTTTTCCTAATGTCCAAAGATTTGACTAGATTTTCTGAAAGAGAGAAGTCATATTTTCGTTTTTGTAAGAGAATTTGTGTGCTGTGTTGTAATGTATTTTTGGTATCTTCTTTCCATTTTGAGGCCTTTTCTTCATCAACTATATTAAAACCCTCTTCTGTAATGTGAGAGGAACCAAAGCGACAAGATATCCCTCTGGGACATCTACCTCTAGTATTATACAAATGACAATCTTTTTCCAAATCAGGTAATTTTGATTTGATGTAATCTAGGGGATCATGGATATATTTACAATTATTAAACTGACATGGCTTAAGCTCATCTTTGGATATTAAATTGACTATGCTAGGACATGGTTTATTTTGTTTATCATCTTGAAAAGTTTTCGGTCTGGCTTTATTTTGTCCTTTTCTCTTACATCTACTCCCTTCTTCTTTATTATTTTCAGTTCGAGTTTTCTTGGCTTCAAACTCATCGTTTTCGCTTATTTTTCTTTTATTCACACCATCTTCACTAACAATTTTTTCTTCCTTCTTGAGAACGTATTCTTTTTTAATGTCACAAACGCCGGCGTTAACACTAGTCATCCTATTGAATGCTAATTTTTAATCATTTTCAAAGAAGCAATAAGGGTTATGTTTCTTATTTACACGTGATGTGAATTGTCAGAATGATAAATAATCTTAGTTGTCATTTGTCAACAAATTTTCGTATCTGTAGCTTCATTTACGATTTCATTCACATACTAATATTAACATATAAATATGTATTTTGTACATTTTAGTAGGTCATTTTAATGTATAATGTAATGCGGGGAATAATCCCCCGTATTTCAAATAGTTTTTATTACTTTGACTTCAGAAATTCAGTCTTGTATCTTTCGATAAGTAAAAGAAATGGAATCTTTTCCCTAGCGTTAGTCACGTACAGTTAATTTTTTTCCATTTTCTTTCCATAAAATCCCAGATTATTGTTCATAATGCCCATGTTACATGTAATGCAATAGGAAAAATATATTATAAAAATAATATTTTGTATCTAGGTGGTAGAGCCTAGTTGTGGTCAATAACTACAGCTTAAACATGGGCTGGCTCGACCAGGGAAGTACCACCCTCTCATAGAAGATCGGCGTAAAGTAGCCTTAATGATGCGGCCACACTAACGGGAAATGCCATTAATTATCGCGATAATGGGTATTGACGTTAAACGGTAGCGTGGCCGCAGCATAAATGGCAGCGTTTCGTCCGATGAGTGAGAGAGCCGGTTGCCCTTTCCCTATTTCCCACCCTTTCCTACCATTTCCTTATTCCCACCCCTCCCTATTCCTAAAAAAACAACAAACATGTTGCGGATGTCCATGGGCGACGGGACTACCTTACATCTAGTAGGCCGTCTTCTCGTTTGCCACCTTTCACATAAAAAAATAATAATATCTTCAAATGTTTCCAGAATCAGACCCTCGAATTTCCAATGTAGAAGTGGAGCGCCGACAGCCTTGTGATCGAATAGCCCTTTCTAATTGGGAACAAAAACATTCTACTGTACTACCTGAAGACTTACGAAATTTTTATGCATCTACAGATGGATTTCTATTAACATGGCATTACAAATATTCAGGAAAGCATTGACACAACCATAGATCATTATTACTAGCAATCAGCTTATGTTTTATTGATTTGAACTTATATTTCTGATATTAATTGCTTATTTTATTAATTTGAAAATATTGTTACAGCTGATGAAATTTTACCGGTGGGGTCTATTAGGGTTAATACTTTGAACGACTTGTGTTTGACTCCTGTCCTTAAAGATTTGCTTGATTTTGCGGCTACCCGTCAAAATGAGGGCCCTAAACCGGTCCTCAATACAAAAAGTAAAGTTTTTGAGCTGGACAATTGTAGAAATATTGGAAAGGTACATAATATTATTATGCTAGCTTATTAATATTCTTAAAAAATTGTTTTGGCTGTTATTTTTTATATTCATTGTACCAATAGCATTTTTACATTCATAATCAACAAATGTAAAAAATGCAATTTTTTACATAAATTTGCGTGTTTATTTAAAATATTACTTAATTTTATGATCGTATTTGACAAGAGACAAAAATAGTGTTAAATTTATTGATCACAATTTCATTCAGAGACTTCGTTTCTGCTTTAAAAAATGAATTTGCCATGGTAAATCTAACTTTTGGTGAAAATATTTTTGTTAGCCAACAGTGTTTGAGTAATTATGGTTATATAATATGCTATTATTTAAAGGTGTGTCTTATTTGCACTGACGGGTCATGGTCGGTGTGGCTGGTGACCCGCGAGGGTGGCTGGGGCTGGCTCTCAGATTCGTTCACACAATACTTCAGAATGGCGCTCGTGCATCTTGGATTACCTGGATGGCAGGCGACCTTTGCTGACCTGCCACTTATACCTTGGGCTGAGGTATCTATAAAATATACTCATTGGAGTGTAATTATATGTAATAATATGGGAACAATGCGTCCATTTATAGTTACTGCTGTTATTACCAACGATAAAAAGAACTAATTTCGTGAAGGAAATATCACTTAAAACAAAGTTTTCAAGTCTTCTTTAATTTTTGGTAATTTGTATCAATCAACTCGATTTTTAAATAACGTTTTTGTCTGGTATTTATAACTGGCAAGCTTTGATTATTTCTTTTATTAATATAGCAACTCTTCTTACTACTGGCACCTCATCTCTTGGAAAAATCCGAGTCGGATAGTAACGCGATGGCAGTAACCAGAGAGACGAGCCTCAACCACATTGATCCCAACATATTTAAGACTTCCGTTCGCCAGCACAAGAATACAAGACAAGCAAACCAATGAAAACATGTCGTTTGGAATAAAAAATCAGTTTATTTCTTCAAATTATTTAATGCATTTTCAATTAAATACAGAAGTGAAAGGCGAAATAAAAAGAGAATAATATTACATAATGTATATTAAAAAAATAATTGAGACAATAAAATTTACAGCTAAATAACAAAATAAAAAATATGGACGGAATGTAAAATACTACAAGCTAATATTACATTGCCATTTTATATCTATAGCACAAAAGCACTTACAGATACAACTCCGTTAACAGTTATAAGCTGCACATAATAATAGAGATACAAAAAAATCATAATATATAGAAAAATATGTGATTTTCGTGAGTGATGTCTTTCTAATTTAAATTCTTATATCTAAAAAGCAACTTATCACAAGCTAAATTACTTTGAAAACTTTATATAAAAATATTCGAGGCTTAATTATTCTAGATTATGATATTTTCTACTTTAAATGCACACGGTTATAATTAAAGTAGGCATTAATGTTAACTTATTTTAACTTTAAAATTAAATGTTCTATAACCTAACCAATACATAGTTTGGTGGGATATTTAATTTTAAATGTTGTGATTTTATATGTGAATAGCGGGTATATTGTAATGGTAACACTTGTTGGAATGATTACAATGATATTTTAATATAGACATTAGAGATTCAGCTTACAAACAAATTGAGATTACTTGGTATACCTTAAAATACTATGTGAAGCAAAATGAACTTTATACACTTTTTGTTATGTACTAATTTTTGTTGTAATAAAGTTTATATCATTGTTGTAAAAGTGTGATTTAAATTTGTAAGGGCAATTTAAGCTATTTTCAAAAGCTTATACATTTAATTTGTCATTTCTAGACATTTTGCCAAGCAGATAGTTAATAAGAACAGGCATTAAACAGAGATTCAAGAAAAAACCATTAATATTTTCCCTTTAAAAAAATTGTGATTAGTAAGGCATAATAATACTTTTTGTGTTATTTCAAAGTTAACTTTAAATCTTTAAAGTTTTTTGGAGATTAAATGTATCAGTGTTCAACACTACATCTCACTTACTTATTTTATATAAGTTCAAGCAACGTGATTGGCCGACAGATCAAGGCCTATTAAGTGTTATTCAAAGTCAAGTGTCAGTCAAGTCATAAATATTTCAGCAATACACAATAATAAATGTGATATAGTTTAGGATAACAGACAAACTTAAAGTGTGAAAATTCCTGACAAAAAACATTAGTTACTCAATTATTATTGATGTGTATTACTAATTTCATTCATTTATCATTTTGAGGGTATGTGGATATTCTAGTAATAGTAGACAGATAGGGAATCAAAAGTTATTCCTGCACTGACTCTACAACATTGGGTTTCTGTTGATACAGAGGTAAGTATTAATAGTTTTATGAATATATATCCATAGTATATCCACTTCAGTAGGTCAGCTTTTGGAGATTATGTTATGTTATTAGTGGAAGTAGTTCTTAGATAGGTATTTAGTTACACCCATACTGGTTGGTCAAGTTTTGGGTTTATATGGTGGTGGATGGTGATAGGTGTTGGTCAGTAAATCCATGTAACAGGTACCCACTGGTGGTCGGTGGCTAGGGCGTGCAGCGCGTCTAAAAGTCTAGCGTACGTTGTGTCAGCATTATGGTTGGTCAAACTGAGATCAATGTACTTTTCGTATTGTCGCTGAATGCGCGCGCTCTCCTCTAGTGTCTGTTTTAAATCTTCCTCCTGGAAATATTAAGATGAAATGTAGCTGAATAACACGAGTACTGATAAAACTATTTATTTTGTTTTAAATAAAGGTAATGAAAAGAGATTAACAATAGAACTAAGTGAACATTTCGGCTTCTCTTTGACTTATAGTTATACATAGCACAAAAAATATCAGATCAAGGAGTCATTTTTTGAATTTTACCAAAAAAGCGAGCAGTGTATTCTTAAAATATGAGACTTAATTACATAGGACAACTTATCTATTGTGGCCTTCACACTGGTTTTAATTTCTAAATTAACTATACTAAAATTAACAATGTATAAAATACAATGATCAAATTATTATAACAATAAAGTATTCTCTTCAAAGATCTCAATGATACTTCTTATTCTACACTAAATAAAATTGTAGAACAGTAAGAAAATTAAAACGATTGTTAATAGACTCTACAAAATCTACAGTCTGGGTGAGGCAAAATTAAAAAATATATAGTCCTATATGTATTTATTATAATATTATAACTTCTATATATAAACTTAAAACATTACCTCATATAGCGACGCTAGCGACTCCAACGTGCGCGCTCGGCGCGAACTGTAGCGGATGGAGCTCTGCCGGTCGAACTACGCATGCACAACACATTACAACATACTCCTAGTGACTAACAACCTAATATAACAACTAATAAAATAAAAAAACATTACACTGATATGTTCTAATTCATCACACATACATTTTCTTCTCAGCTTCTTTATGGATTTTACCATAAAGGAAATACTATTACTAAAAATGCTTTATCACTAATGTTATGTAATATAACAAATCATACAGCAACATAGGGTCAAGGCACTATCATGCAAGGGAATCTATAGTTGTATTTCTCCTTATAAAATAAACACAATACACTTATTTCTTTAAGCAGTACTTTTATTGGTGATAAGTATTTAATTACCGTAAGGTTTCTATTGGAGGCATATGTCAGGTTCCTAAGTTGTTCTATGCCAGGGGAGGCGATCATCACAACATATGGCAGGAACTCACTACTGTTGTGTAAAAGCTTCAGCGACTGTGGCGCACAATCCAAAATGCACATTTTACCTATAAAATATATAGGAGAATTTGTTAATTTATGCTCCAAGCATTTATAAGGGAGTTTGATTTAAATGGTGAACGAAAATTTATGATAAAATTATGCTAAGCTTGATAATGCTCTTTAAACTATTCATTCTATAGAAATGAAATGTAACATAATTAAAGTGGGATAAGGATATTTGTTTGGGTTCCTATGATCGATAAACAAGTTGTTTTCTACCTGGCAATTTCCCAGCTTAACCAGGGTCGGCCTTACATGTTGTGAATAGTTTTGGCTTATTTTTTTTCGACCGGCCGCCTGCCTGACATCAACTCAACTCTTTGGAAATGCATTAATCAGTGATGTCTAAATACTCTTAGAAAGTACATGTGATTCGGAAAAATCACATTGGTACTTGCCAGGGTCAGGATCGAACCCGCGCCCTTGTGCATGAGGCGGGCCCTAAACAAGTTATTTTCCAAAAATAACTAAGTTTTATTATGTAACAAGGATAAGAAGAACCAGAAGGCAATGTTATCATTTTTATATTATAGCTGGCTATATCATCAAGTAATTAACTATAATTTCCTTATTATACGAACCGGCAGGTCAGTATTATTATTGCCATCTATTCCAACATTTCTAGTCATATACGATACTGGAGAAATGTACTACAAGCAATTATACTGAAATAATCTCTTCACCTTCTTTGATAACAGCTCTAATGGAGTCTAAATGTGTTCCGTACAAGTGTCCATTGTGTTCTCCGTATTCAAGGAAGCGACCGGCGTGAGCGTCACGTTCCATCTCCTCTCGAGACACGAACCAGTACGACAAACCGTTCTCTTCTAATGGACGAGGTGGACGAGATGTATCTGGAAATAGATAGATATAGATAGATATGGAAAACTCAATCTACTAGATGAGATACAGATGTTAATGCTGCAATGTTGCTAGACTTGAGAGTAATTTAGTTTTAAGTTACACTGATGTCACTTCATTATGATATTTGTTTATTAGAAAGAAATTATAATATTTATAATTTGATGGGACTGAGCAGAACATAATTCTTGATTATGTCATGTTGAATCATCATAAAAACATTATGACTTTGAATCACAACACATATGCTGACATCTAACATGCAAATCAGAACATGGTATTATCAACTAGACCATATTGCTTATACAGAACATTACATATTAAAATTTAGAACACTTAATCACATATAATTAATATTAGCAGTAACAAGGCAACTATGTTTATTCATTTTACTTTATCTATAAGGGCAAAATCAATATTTAAAAATATACTGAAGAATGCTATAGATAGTATGGTCTAAGATCTTAGTCTATTCATAGTAATGAACATAAAACCAAACTAACGAGGCACAACAGCTCCGAATCTATCAGGTTGTTCCTGTATGAGCCTGTTCTTAAGAGCAAATGTAATATTTAAAAATATACTGAAGAATGCTATAGATAGTATGGTCTAAGATCTTAGTCTATTCGTAGTAATGAACATAAAACCAAACTAACGAGGCACAACAGCTCCGAATCTATCAGGTTGTTCCTGTATGAGCCTGTTCTTAAGAGCAAATGTAATATTTAAAAATATACTGAAGAATGCTATAGATAGTATGGTCTAAGATCTTAGTCTATTCATAGTAATGAACATAAAACCAAACTAACGAGGAACAACAGCTCCGAATCTATCAGGTTGTTCCTGTATGAGCCTGTTCTTAAGAGTCCTTCGCCCCACTCCCCGGGTGCCCACTAGCGCCAGTACTCGTCTTAGGAAGGGCGGAGTTCGAGCCACTTCCTCATACAACGTCAACTCAGCTCCCTCCAACTGAACACTCGACCGAGACTCGTATACGAACTTCTTTTTCTTCTTTGATATCTGAAAACAGATTGTACATATTAAATATAGGATTTTGTTGAGAGCATTTATTGACCAATCAGTTATATTTAATGGATCAAGATTGGTCTAGAATTGATAGAAAACTTTATTTTAAACTAGTTTTTGCCCGCGACTTCGTCCGCGTTAATTTCTTCATTGGTAATATATGTATATCTGACCGGGCGAAATCTGTTCCATCTTAGAGGCCATAAATAACCAGGTATTGGTATTTATAAAATTTTTTTCAATCGAAGAGAATGATTGACATATTAGTTAGTTATCAAATCTAATGTAAAAAAAATGTTTGTATGAAAAACAGAAAAGGGCTGGGATTACACAGGAATGCTGTCGGACGGGATAAAAAGTATCCTATGTCATTTTCCTGGCTCTAAACTACCTTCCTGCCAATTTTCAGCTAAATCAGTTCAGCCGTTCTTGAGTTATAAGTGGAGTAACTAACACGAATTTCTTTTATATATATAGATAATAATAATTTTTATGAGCTATATATAGAAATATGTACTTATTATTTATCTTCCTGGCAAATACCTGTGATAGTTGTATATTTTAGTTATATATTGAAGCATACTACACTCACCCTCGCTCCACATATACTAATTTTGTGAACAAAATCTGCTTCCGGTGGCACATAAGCCTTACGCCTCTCTTCCAGCTCCGGTGAGGGTATTAAGCCAACTTCCTCCGGTTTCTCTACATGACTTGCTTGCCACCAATTGGGATCTTTTCTATCTGAAACCTAAATTATTGGTCTTAAATATAAAATGACCACTAATAATGAGTAGAATTGATATGATATGAAGACCTTACTTGTAAAATATCACCCTTTTTGAATTCTAAGCCAATTTCTTTGCACGGTAACAAAGTGTCCTCTGATGGGTTGTAATCAAACAGAGCTCTCATGTAACACTGAAATTAAACACACAAAAATTTACAGAATCAATATAAGTGAATTTATTTATTTAAAATGCTTTATTGCACAACACATGGAAAAAAAGGGTAAATACAAATCATAAAATAAGTACATGGTGCGCAAAGGCGGTCTTATCCTTTGGTGATAGGAGCTTAGAACGAAAACAGGTAAGTGAAGAAAAAGATCAGAAAAAATAAGTGAATTTAAAATATTTTAACACCAAAAGTTAACCTACACTAAGTTTATTAGGTAATTGAGCATTCTTTTCTTTAAGGTTTGGTCCCACTTTAAGAGTGACTCTGTCGTTGGGCTTTGAAACAGCTTCTTTGAGCTGTTCCTCTGTATCTATTTGGACTCCATCAACTTCAAGCAGAACATCTCCAACAGTTAATAGAGCTTGTTTAGCAGCGGCACTGCCGGCAAGAATTCTAGCAACAATCAACTGCCCATGTTCATCAGTTGTTACCTACAAAAATAGAAACATATTTCATTTATTTTCTTTTATACAAAACCTCATCTGTATGCAAGTTTCAAACATGTTTTTTACATAAAGTATATAAGGTAACAGAAATATTTATTATATATGTTTATATGAAAGACTATTGAGATTACATTAATATGGATAAACTACTTCAATTATATATAATTTTTCATTTATAGTCAGAAAATGTGTTAATAATATTATATAGTAATAAAATACTGCTCTATTATCACTTACAGTTAATCCTAATGGTTGGCCAGGTACTTTCCTAAGACCCACAACCTTCACAGTTTCGACAGGCATATTTGGATTTTGAGTGGGACTCAAATCTGTTGCTTGTGCAATGTCTTTTTCCGCTTCTTTCACTACTGTTATCTCATCTACACCCGAGCCTCGTTCCAGCCAAATCTTTCCAATTTGATCATGAGCAGAAATCAGCGCCTTAAAAATAAATTATTGAATGCCTAAACTTTGCAAAACGTTTTTATTTAGTTTTGTCAATAATTGTTGCTCTCTAAGTATTTTCTACATAATCATATTATATAGTTACCTTAAAGTGTACTCGAGACAGCAATATAGCTAGTTCTGCTTGTTCGATAGTACGTATGTTGTTGCCTCGATACTCGCTCAAACTTCTTATTATGTTTACATTATCCAAGGAGACAGGTTTCACATACAAATCCTCCTCAGAGTTTATCGACTGGAACACCAACACATATAATTTACTTCGATTTTAATATACACTGACCAACTCAAATTTATAACGAAACAAAAACCTGCTTCTTAGGCGTGGCACTTGTTTTTATGAATGAAAATATGTATGAAATATAATAAATTTATAATTTGTTTATATCTTCGTATGATTTTATGAATTTAATTAATAATTGTTGTATATACTATTTATTTACATGAAAAACAAATGTATTTATAGCTGTACACACCCTCCTAATCGGTTTCGTTTAACGTTATTTAGTTTCCTGCTACGTGTTTTTATGACCGTACAAATATTAATTTCAGGTCTTATAACAAATAGCATAAAGTTGAAATTAACATCACAATAATAACAAAGACTTGACGCAAGTCAAGTTAGAATTCGCTTCAATGTTTGATATCTGTCAAACATTGTACAGATAAAATATTATGTATTTACTACGTATAAAAAAATATTTTAAAGAAATTTAGTAAATGGCTTTTACATTTTTCGCGTCTTATAGATGCTTATAGCAAAGTTAATATTCAAATAGATTAGAATTTTTGTCATCATAAAAGAAACACGTACATGAAAACTTTCACAGTAAATATAATAGAAAATAAAATAACAGTATCCTTATTGGATTAAAATATAAACTCACGACAGATTTTCTGCAAAAGTCTGGACTTTCAACAATACTTTTCAAAAAGATCACTTCATGGTTTGATAAATCCTCAGGTTGTTCTTCCGGCTTTTCTGTAACATACATATATATACACGTTTATATTTTCTACAACAATAATTATAATTTTATAATCAGTAATTTTTTTATGGGATTGTTAATTTGTCAAGTTATGTTTGATATCACAACCGATGTGGTAGCACTAATAAATTTTACGATTATTAATAAGTCAATATTTTTGGATTTAGTAAGGTAAATAAAAATATAACGATCGCTTTTACTTTTAAGTTATACAGATTTTAATGATAAAGATAAAAAAGATAGAAACATTGCAAATTACTTTTTGCCAAAATGTATTATTTAACTAATGTGAGACTACGGATCGATCTTAGGAACTTACGGATAAAGTATGTACTTTACCGTACCGTGTAAAAAAATATAGCAAATCATTTTATCGAATACTCTTTCAATATCGCTATAAATATTGAACAATAAAAGAATATAATAATATTTTATTATAATTTTAAATTTTAACTTGGATGGACGACTAAATAGGTTTATAATTTAAATGTTTAATAATTTATTTATTTTATACAAAACGACATTTTATATAGTGACGGTAGATATTATGCTTATGGATTGTAATCAAGTTTAATAATTTTGTAATAAAAGATCTTTAATATAAACAAATGATACTTGAGTTGCGGCAGATTACATTTTTACATTTACATTTTATACTTGTCCAAGTTGCACTACTTGAACCACAGATCTTACCAACCAGGGGTTCGTATCCCTACTAATATTATAAATGCGAAAGTAACTCTGTCTGTCTGTTACGCTTTCACGCCTAATCCACTGAACTGATTTTAATGAAATTTGGTACAGAGATAGAGTTGACCTTGAGAAAGAACATAGGATAGTTTTTATCCCAGACTTTTGAAAAGTTCTCTTGGAAACGCGATATAACCGAACTCCACGCGGGCGTAGCTGCGGGCGGAAAGCTAGTATTTTTATAATATGGATATTGACGAATATTAGTTTAATTAATAAATTGTTTAATATTGGTTTTGACGGCGTCACTTGGTAGGGTTGATTGTTCGAATGGGCAGGCCTGAAAATGTGGCCTGAAAGGCCGGGATTGCCGTCAGCTCCAGGGATATAAGAGACTGGACCTCCTCCTATGACGTCATTGAACTGAAAATGGCATGGGGGAATGACAACATGCTATCCTTACATCCGGAACACCAGGCGGGGGCGGAATGCCAACAAAGGCGTTCTGTGTGTGTTTATGTATTTCCAATCGTTATTTTGTAGTCAGGGTTTAAAAATGATTACGTCTCTTGCCTATAGGGGAGTTGGTAACTAGGAGTTAATAGTGTTTTTACTGGATCGGGTTTGCATACAATATCGCGCTCTGGAAATTTCTATTTGAGACCGTCTTAAAATGTATGGCAATCCTAGAAGGTTGGTAATGACTATGGAGATCGGACTTCGAATTTTTGAATAGAAGAAACCTATTCAATATGTATAAATAAACTCCTATAATTAACATTCGATATCTATCTATCAAGACAAAAAATTATAAGCCTATTGAATTTTTACTTTAACTGCGGGAATTTTTTTTTTTAAAGAAAAAATCTTTTTGTTTAACAATCATAAGAGATCGCATGAAAATATCTATCATTACTTATGGTTCGGAGAGATTTTACGAAACTGTTTGGAAAACCCTGCCCTTTGCATATCACTCGGCCAGAACGAGCGTGCGACGATATCAAGATAGATAGTTGTGTCCTCGAATATAAAGATGTATATCAATTACCACTCAAGCCTGGAGTAGCCATTAAGATTGAAGCTTCATCGATTTATTAATAAAAAATCTATAGTATGGGAGTACACAAAAAGAATAAATAAAAAATATATTTTATAAATTATAACGATACATAAGATAAGTTTAGAGTACACATTTATTTTGGTTATAGAAACAAATATGATTTTTCCAACGTAGTTTGTACATTGTAAGTTTAAACACATTTCTCATTTTATTTTTTTTATTATCTTTATTGAATATATATAAAATTCATGTCCTTAAAGCTATGAAATTATATTTGCATAATGTTTTCATAAATACGCGTTACTCAGCTCTGAAAGGGCAACCTAGTTCTAGTTTATTTGTCTCAAAACTTGGCAGCCGCACTGCTCTGTAGTCTAGACAATATAAAGTAATTAATAGAAAGTAGACATTAAATGTCCAAATATATTTTTTAGTACAAAATCTGCAATAATCTGTTTAGCTTTGTTTTTGTACTTTATAAATGCAGTTTAAAGATCTTTCCACAGACTATGGTTACGCGTAACGATCTACTTTCGAGTGTTTTTTAAACAAAGCGAAAGACCTTAATAATGAAGTTCTACATATTATGAAAGCTTTCAAATAACTGTGATTTTTATTTATGATACTAGAATTCAAATCTATAAATAATGCGAACTTTATAATAGATAATCATTGACATTTGTTAGAACAGTTTAAATAAAGCGAACCGGCTATACTCGTAGCACGCGGTGTAAAAACGCAAGGAAAAAAATTTTTGAATTAAGAATACTTATGCCGATATCAATTAAGGAATTTATAGAATTTACAGTTTATTACTATTATCAGTAACTATCGTTATCAAGAAATAGTAATTTAAATATATTTTCCTTATATTTTCATTTAACACCACAATTCCTCTCCTACATATTATTATAGTTTCTTTATTTCTATGTATTTGTAAACAAATAGATATATTTATTGTATTAGAAACATTGTATTAACATCATAAGATCTCCCTCAGACTTGAATAAAGCGTATTGATTTTTATGACATTTAAATTTCTATAGTGATCCTAAAGACGTATTATAAGACTATTGTTTTAATGTTGTTCTTACATTTTAATTCAACAAATATTTCACCTTTAAATCGAAAGTCTAGCGGAGGTCAACAATGTGTTCTGCTCAAAATTTGCTAAAGATACTACCTCTATGAAGATACTAGAAACAACAAATCATCGAGGAAATTTGATTAATTTAGACTTTTACATTGTATATTGATAAATCTACTCTGAACAAATGGTTACAACGTTCGGCTGGCACGGATTAATGATGTTTGAGGTTAACCGTCGACTTACCGTCATCGGGTGGTTTATTGTTAACGTAGTCTCTGAATCCTCTCCAGTTAACAGTGTATCGTCCACTTCGACGTACCATCATCACTACGAGTAACTATCACGTAAGTATTCACGCACGGGTTCGCATCACCCGCGGATGTTCGTACTTCGTTCACTGCAAACGTCACGCGACCGAACCGTCAGCCGGCCGCTGAACGCGAGTCGCGACACGTCACGGCGCCCTCGCGCCTGCGCAGAACGCGCGCCGCAGCCGAATAGAGATGCCCCTCATTATTTATATCGATATCCTCATATTGCATTACCCACGTTGGCAGCTCTCGAACTTATTCCAAGAAAATATTTGACATAATCACTATTAATGTGCACTGACGCTGGTGTGGGCAGCAAATATTGGCAAGGAGCTTTTACGAATTCGGTAATAATATGAGACTTTAAACAACTTTTCCTTAACTTTGTATTGTTCATAATCATTTGTATAGAAAATAAAAATCACTTAAATCAGTTAAGTATCCAATATTAACTTTCATAGATATTAAAAAATGTAACAACAAGTTTATATGAATAAGTGTATTGGAGCAGTATATTATAAATATATGTAACAATTACTAAATGTCAAAATTCTAGTCCTAACTTAATATATCTACGCTATCATGAAATACCCTTGATGTGTTTCATAAATCTTTCACGAATATTTCAGTTAAAATGAATGAACGCGATCTATAAATATACAATAACACATAAATCATCAAATTAGTTTTTGTTGAAACGTTTCATGTAAACATAACTTTATGATATCTCGATAAAATATTACATATGTTGGAATCACTATAAACTCCCGCCCGCCGCAGTCGGCTGGAGTCGCCCGACCCCATTATGATTCGTATTTCGCAATGATTTTCACTCCTACTGATTTACTTTCGAGAATAAAAATAAGTGCGAATGATGAAATTTAAAATATTTATTAACAGATTATTGATTTCTGTTTATTTATAGATATGCTTTTAAAATGTTATTTTTAAAATGAAATATTTATGAGACAATTGAATTTTGTTTATCAATGTCATGAGTGTGATGTAGAGTCGATGTTCAGTTAGGAATGTTTTTAAGCAGTACGTGAAAAACTGAAACGCTCTTTGTAACAAATTTATTTGTGGTTTGATTGAATTGAAGACAGAATTATTTGTTGCAAATAATTCAAAGAAAATATGTGTATTATATTTTATTGAATTTGCAATCCCCACATGCATTTCAAATTTCAATAAGATAAATCGTTGTTTTCAATATATTTTTTTTATTTAACGTTTAAAACTGCAATTAATTAAATAGCTTAATATAAATATATTTTTCCATAACGTTTTCTTCTTTACAAGATTTTCACATATTATAATTGGCTTTGTACTTTTTTTTAAATAATTTTTCCCATATTGTATTCTGCCACTGTTTAATTTAAACATTTAATAAAATGATTTAGATTATGATTCCATAATATCCATTGTACTTATTTTTCTTTTAACTTCTCTATGTCTACTTATTTAGTATCAAATTTTTAGATACCCACACAAACTTGTATTTCTACAGTTGTTAAGAACAGAACCTTTTTTGAATTTACAGTCAAGCGTAAATCAAAGCTTAAATACTCTAATACAATCAAACAATAAAAAAAAGTGTCAGCTAAACTATTTCGCTTTTTAATGTCATATGAAATTGACATCAGGATTTGGAAAAAGTATTTTGGGGGTTTTTAACCTAGTTCCTATTTAATTTGTATAACTATACAATCGGTAATATTATTATTTATTATAGATTATATAAAATCACATTCCTATACCTACAAGTAAAATTATCTGCGATCGATGCATTTCTCTGTTGGTATGCTAATATCAGTCAATATGAAAAGCTATAAAATGTTACGATATGACTATAAAAACAGTTGCTCTTATTCAGAATGTACGAAATGGTGTTATTTATGTACCATGTTATAAACCATAAGATACACTTACGAACTCTGTATTTTTTTTGCGGCTGTATAATTTTTACACCCCTCACTTTGTGTGTCGAAATTTTATTCCAATTTCAAATACGCCAATATGTTCGAATTTTAAAAAAGTGTTGCCAGCCATAACTATTAAGTATGGCGATTTAATTTTAATTATTTAAAAGCAGTTTGTTTTAATACATGACTACGTGTCTGGTATAAGATAAATTGTAATAAATGCAGTTAAAGACTGTAAACTGTCTTATCTGTTACATGCTATATTAATATAATAGATACACGAGTAATTTAACAAGTTCTTTGACATGAGAAAACATTTATTTTATCAAAAACTTTAATTAACTAATTACACATTATTGACCGATTAAAAATATTCAGTTTGTACTTATTAATAATAGAAATTTCTGTTACAATTGTAAATAAATCGTCACGGTGAGTGTACGTTTAAATGGTACTATTCTATTGAATAACAATAAAAAAATATTTTGACGTTTATGTTTTATGATATATAAGAACTTCTTGGAATGTATAAAATTTATTTTCGAGTTACGTCATTTATTCCAAAATATTTTGTTATTGTTGTTTCGTTTGGTCTTACCCGAAAGTCCAATAATTTTTATTCTCATTTCGATAAACTATAACCTTGTTTGTTAAATGTTTGTGGGGGGACGTCATCGAATGTCATGTTTGCTGATGTTTTGTACTACATATCAGCTATTAGTATGACAAATAATATTTTAATTTGCATAAGAGGCCGGGTTAATATATTTTTTGATAAAAAAATTAAACAAAATATTTAATATTTTAATAAATATATGAATGAAAACGAAAAAAGCTTTTTTTGGCTATAGTTCGGCCTTTTATAAATAATTTTTAGTCGATTCATTCATAGTTTTTTAAATTATTTTAATTTCACAAAAAAAATGAAATAAAGATGAATACAATAATTTAATATTTTACTAAAACTTACATATTGTATACTTACGTAATGTAGCAGTTTTAAAAAACATAATATCATGCACTATCCTAAACCACATCTCTGGATTTCTTATCTATAGAAAAAAAAAATAATTACTTGGCCATTATGCAGTTGGATCTCAATTTAGACATTATCACTTAAAAACAACCTGTTTTTAATGTTCATTTAAATTAACTGTACTTTCTATTCACTAATATAGGTTTTCCCTGTTTATTTACCCGTCATTCTGATTATTTATTATGGATATGATATTAGGGAAATAAGTTAATGTAGACGATAAGGTCCAGTGTGCGCATTAGGCGCGTGCTCGTCAGTGATAATGAGGGTCACAGGGAGCCATTATAAATAAGGCCGAGAGCCGCTCAGACGCACAGTGTATCAGATACTAAAATAACACAGCTGTTTCTTACTTAACGATTATAATTATATTTAATTAAATCATATAAAAATGCCGTGGACTAGCACCAACAGGTAATATAACTGGCAGATAGAATTATACATATCTTTAGTATGGATTAAAAATAATAAAGTTTTTGTTCTAATTACAGAATATATGCCAAACCATCGAATACGGGTTCCGGGGATATAACATCGTATGCATCGTCAGGTGCTAAGGCGGCTGCTACGGCTGCCGCTGACTCAGGAGGCCGCTTCGAATTGAGCGACCACGGATATGGAAAGAATTCCATCAAACTTTTACACGTACACCGCGACGGGGAGTACCACGTGATCAGGGAGTTCGAAGTGTCCACGGAGTTAAAACTTACCTCGGAATCAGCATACGTTATAGGAGATAACAAAGAAGTTGTTGCTACCGACTCTCAGAAGAACACAGTATATTTACTGGCGAAGAAACACGGAATCAAAACACCAGAAGAATTCGGAGCGGTTGTAGTGAATCATTTTCTGTATACCTACAGACAAGTGGTGGAAGCGAAGTGTCATATCGTAGAGTATCCTTGGGAGAGATTGCAAGCGGGAATCCCACATAATCACGCTTTTATTTTTGCACCAACGGCGACGAGATGGTGTGAAGTTTTCCAAGCAAGACATGGTACTATTCATTAACGTATAAATGAGTTTGAAGTTTTGAAACGAAAAAGGGTTCTGTTATAGATAATATCGTGTTTTCAGATGCTGTTACTGTGAAATCTGGCTTAAAGGGTCTTCGCGTTCTTAAAACAACTCAATCAGCTTTTGTTGACTTTGTACAGGACGAATATACGACACTCGCCGATGCTCCTGAGAGAATATTCAGGTAAATAAACGATTTAAACAAGAAATGAAATACTAAAATATATTCCTCATAATTTCCGAATGAGTTATAGATTGGTTATTGGAATAGTGAACAAAATATAAGACTTGAAAACAAAGTAGAAAAAATTGTGTATTGAAAATAATCTGAATGGAAAAAATTCTCCTTGTGTCGCGATCAAAATTCATCTTTGTTTATAAATATCTGATGAAAATTATAACTTAATTTGGATACCTTTTTTAAAAACTATACTAATGAAAAGCGGTTTTCACGTAAAAAATCATTTACCAGTGAAATATCGCAATACTTTGCAAAAAAAAAAAAAAATACCTAAACAGCAACGGGTAGTGAAATATTTTTTGTGATTTGTTTTTTAATAAGTTCGTTTGCGTTACAGTACTATAGTGGAAGCTGAGTGGACCTACGACAACATGAAATCCGCTGATTTTGATAACGCGTGGTTGACCGTGAAGGAAGCTATTCTGGAGAAGTTCGCCGGCCCTCCAGAGACCGGCGTGTACTCGCCCTCAGTTCAACATACATTATACCAAGCTGAAAAAACTGTACTAGAGAAAGTAGCGGAGGTAATGTTATACAAAATCTTATTTAAAATACCAAAAAATTATACGTATGAATTTTTGGTGCCTCATAAATCTGACCTAAGACCTATTTATACGTATTTTCATGAATATATACTAAAATTGTTTACATTATTATCTATCCTATAATAAATAACTTCGCCGTAATATCTCTTGATCAAAACAAAGATCCCTCTTCGAAGTACTTAAATGTTTCGTATTTATATATTTTGATAGTGCTGGGGTTATCTTAGTAAATTGTTGTTCAGCACATATCACATATTGATTGGGTGAATAAATCAGTTTATAATATTTATGAGTACAACGGGCGCGCGCCATTTATACGTTCTTATTAAAACGAAATACTTTCGACCCGCTTATTTATATTGCTTTGGAATCTTATTCTGAGTTCTTAAGATCAAAGTCTTCAGTTTTGTTACTCTATAGTTCTTTCATTTCAAAATTATTGCAAGAGCGTTTGCAGATAATCCTAATTTACGATGATTAGGAAATTTTCATAGAAAAGTTTTGTTTGTCGTCCATATAACATATTTTCAGTGAGGATCGTGTGTACTATGATCAGCTTTATAAATAACGAGCTAGTATGGCAATAATATCGTCTTTTTAATTTACGACGTGACTTCATACATACATATGTTTATCAGTTGCTGAGTCACGTGACGCTCGATCACGAGCCCCAGTGTCGGTCAAAAGTTTATCGATACTTCCCTATAATTTAACGCATCTCTAAATATAATTCGTAAAACCTATCAATAAAATGATAATTTTATTTTGATAACTGTTGCCATAATAACATTTTGTTTTTTTTTTTTTTATAGATTTCGTGGATCCGAATGACGATGCCGAACAGGCATTACCTCAACATCGACGTCTCCAAATTCCCAGCCAACGTAACGAAGGGAGATCCCCGTCATTATATTTACCAGCCCATAGACAAACCGGCGGGTGTGATTTACGCTCAGCTAAGAAGACGACCTAAAAGCCATTTGTGACCGTGACTTACCAATTATTTATACGCGTTATAGATATTTATGAAATGCTTACATGACTGCATTTTGCATTGTCTTGTAGAGTGATTAATTCGAGTAACAAAGTTCTCCTGTTTTCCTTTGTTATCGATAAAGAATTATTTTTATCCCTTTGTTATCGATAGAGAATTTTTATAATTATACGTATCTCGAAGGACTTTGCACTTTGTATGACGGAGAATGTAAAGAAATGTCTAGTCAAGGATTGTCACAAGTACTGTGTCTGATGGAGTGGTTTATGTTAAAGGAATGTTTATATTAAATAATTTACAAATTGATGTTAATTAGTTTATAATTTTTATATTAATATTACTGTATGAATAAATGGAATAAGTATTAATTGATTTTATTTATTTACCTTGTGGTCCAATAGATAGTTTGCCTTAGGTAATTCAAATAGTGTGTGGATAATAAAATAAAGCAAATATTTTATATTAATTTTATTTTATTTAATACGTTTATTTAACACCAAGTATACACTTATATTATAAACTAAATGATTATTGTAAAAAATAGATATTAAACAATGTATTTAAATTGATAATGGGACAAGAGTTCGCACGAGAGAAGTTTGGAAATTTTATATGTGATAATTTTGCTTACAAAAAGCAGTACACCATAATAATATTCCACGACACCGTTCATGGAATACCAAACATATTTTAAAATTTCAGTTTCATGAAATAAAAAGCCTTCAAACGAAATTAACATAAGCGTTGGCTTTTTATCTTTTTTACTAAGTATGGTTTGTTAGGAGTGATTTTAAAGAAATACATATATGCTTTACAGAAATACTAAGATTTTGTGTTAATATATTCTGACTCTTGATCTCATAATGAGTTAAGTGTAAGAAGAGCACTTCGGATAAAATAACGAAAAGGTGCGTGTGTAATTTTATTTTAAACGACTTCAAAAGAGAGTTTTATCATCGACATTAATTATACAATATTATAGCATACAAGTTCGGTTGTGTATATATTATAACGTTTAGTTTTCTTAAAAATATTTTTACAGTTCAGATAAGGTTTTTTTTTATAAAAGATCAGAAATTACAAATCAGTTAAGTCGGTATTTTATACAATCGCCTACAATTTTTCTAGACAATAAGAATATTTTGAAATAGATTACATTAACATATATTATGATTACATGAACCAAATAATACCAGAAGTTGTTTATTAAGATAATTTAAATTAAAATGACATTGTTGCTTAAAACCACTAATAATACTTTTACCGTGTCATTCTGCTTAATATTACAGTGAATTAGAATAAAAAGAGAGTTATGTAAAAATATAAATCCACACAAAAAAATATACATATATGATTATATAAATAATTGATGACAGTATGGTTATAAACGTTTTGATCCAATGATTTTATCTGCTAACGCGTAAAGCTCCTCCACAGTCTGTAACAGAATAATATAATTATTAATTAGAAATCAACGATTATAACGTTTAAAAGAGGTAGAGCCTAGCTGTAGTCAAGTTACTACAGCTCGAACGTGGGCTGGCTCGACCGGGGAAGTACCACCCTCTCACAGAAGATCGGCAAGAAGTAGCCTTTAATGGTTGCATTTCATCCGATGATTGAGAATGCCAGTTGCTTTTTCCCTATTCCCACCCTTTCCTGCTGTTTTCTTATTCCCATCCCTTCCTTTTCCTCAAAACAGTGTTAATTTTTTATTCTCATTGACAAAGGTTGACTTTTATTATTTGTACTTGAACCAATGTTCACATTGTTTGTTAAGACAGATAACATTAAAAACTAAACATTATTGAAATCTGGTTTTTAAGAATACATAACGATAAAGATGTTACTTAATTTTTTATTAATGTCCCATATATTGGGAACGATTTGATAGCACTTGCCAAATACTTATATTAAGGTTATCTAATTGAATAATTAATTTATAACAGTCATTTTTAACTTAGTAAAAATATTCTACTATCATTCGAGTTTATATTAATAATTTATTAATGTACCTCATTTGGTTATTTACATTTACTTTTATCCCTATTAATATTATAAATGCGAAAGTAACTCTGTCTGTCTGTCTGTTACGCTTTCACGCCTAAACCACTGAACTAAATTTAATGAAATTTGGTACAGACAGAGTTGACCTTGAGCAAGAGCATAGGTTAGTTTTTATCTCAGACTTTTGAAAGGTTCTCTTGGAAACGCGATATAACTGAATTCCACGCGGGCGAAACTGCGGGCGAGCAGTTTAAAGTTACCTATAAAGTAGCTACTTTCAACGGATTCATCTGTGATTTTTTACCATAGGGTACGTGGTATAAAAACAGATATTATACATTTTGAATTAGAAGAGTTTGAAATAATATCCTTATATTAGCCTGGAAAAAAATAGGATTTTTAGGACTAGAATTTTTTTTACGTAATTACATTACACCTACATATACATATTTTAACTTATCATATTGTTCGATACATGTTGCCAACTAATATATTTAAGGTTTATTAATGTGTTTATTTATATTAAAAAGTATTTATGAATAGTTATTACAAGATAATATATGTTAATATGCTTTAAAATAACTAAGTCTAAAGTGATAACATACATACATATAACCATTATATTCTTAGGATTTCGAAATTTTATATTTCAGTAAGTAATATATATTATTATATATATTTAATATAAAATGATTATAATGTGTGGTAACCATACTCGACTGACTCAAGAAACGAAAGTCAAATGTCACAAAGTGGTTTAGATAGAGATTCGAGTAAAAACTAGTTCAAATTAATTGAGGATGTTTACAGTTATAAAATGTAGTAACGAGATATTAATATTTAATAGGCACGTGAGATACCTCGCTACTGATGATATATTTGAATGAATAAATAGTTTTAAATTGTTTAAAACATTTGCTAGTTATAGTTATATAGTCTAGACATGACTCGATATTTTGTTAGAAGTTTAAAGAAAAAGAATCATAATAAATATTTTTATTGTTTCTAGATATACTAAGGATATATGCTGAAAGGATAAATTTTATAAAAAATACCTTTAGTAAAAAGTTATCCGATAGTTTTTTATATTCACTTTCAATAAAATAGCGTCACAGATCTAGAACATGACTTTAGCATGAAAGATGTGTTAGTTGATAGAATACACGAGTACAATGCTGAAGATGTTTGTAGAATATTTTGTTTATATAATCTCGTTACAAAGGGTCAGTCTAAGTTAGGCTTTATCTGGATACAACCGGTTTGTCACGAGCCCTGTATATATATACATTTGTGGAGCCATCGTAATGTGTTACCGATAGTACAACACTGTATCTCTAGTTACTCGATCAAAGGTCATTTTTTATAGTCTGACGTATCCAGATAAGGGCTTAGAGATATTCTAAATCCAGTAATCAAGTTGACGTTATATCGCAGTTTAGAATATTCTAGAAAGTTGTGAAGGATGATAAACTTACGGTTAAACTTTTTAATGTTTTGACTTCGTTGGTTTCATATTTGAGGACGGCGAACTGTTCATCTGTGAATCTAAAGCCTTTATCTATGTCTTGTTGTTTAAGTTCCTGTAGTTCTTTGGCGCACTTCACAAGGAGCTGTTCGGGTGTTAGCTGCTCCCCTTCTTCATCAGCTGGTTCATCTTCCACTTCTTCCTCAATTGCCTTTTGAGAAATATGAGATATATTATAAAGTTTAATATATACTTATGTAAAATGAATAACTTATATTAGGGACGTTCAGGTTAAGAGTACATTGACTGCAGAAAATAATGTTGAAGGTGTTATCAGATTGATATTTTTACTTTAAATTAAATTTATTCTAGTGTTTATTTTAGTGTTTCTAGATATCATTTTATTGTCATTTCAATGCACGCTTTATGCACTTTTCTCTTAAATATATTAAATATGTATATAAAAATTGTTACACAGACTGCTTTATTAGAAAGGATATTTTAATAATGTTACTGAAATTACAAGCTACTGCTATTCATAACACTGTATTAACATTTAAATTTAGACTTGTATACAATATATATTTTGACTAACCTGATCGAACTTTTGCGATGCCTTCAACTTTCTGTAATACGCATCAGCTCTTTTCTTCGATGCTTTAGCGACTTCCCTGTTCACCATCCTCCAGAAGACGAACACTGGATGATGGAACAGTTCCGGCGGACATTCTTTGAGAGGAGTTTTCCCAACCAGTATTAATCTCTTTAGTCTTTCCATTTCATCGAGCTGATGGAGGATAATATTATAGAATTTATAATATGTAGATATAAATTTGATGCGTAAAAATGCTCCTTTTCAATACAAATTTCATAGTTTAATATTGGATATTATAATTGGCTAATAAATTTGATTACTAACACTATGTCATTCAATAAATAATCTACTCAATTACTTACAAAATTATTTTCAGATATAAGAATAACTTGCTAACTGCGATTTGTCTTTTTAAGCATAAATATACTCACAACTCTAGAAGAGATCCTCTTGTTGAGATTCTCTTCATTGACGGCGCGTATTCTTTCTTCAAGCTGGGTCATGTAGGTCTTGTCTGTAAGTCGGACCAGATTCGAGCCCATATGCTTTTCAAGACGGGCCCGCACATGAGGATGCGTAAAGCTGTGGGATGAGGTATATATAAATAACAATGAAATTAAGAGAAAATCTCTTAAGAATAAGGGTTTTTGCGTTTAAAACACGAACCATTTGGAGCGAGATACTGCGTTTTGATTCGTTTTGAAGGACAGCACGTTGGATGTCGATCGAAGGACTATGGTCTAATGACACAATGTACGGTAAGGATGAGTAGTTTTGACGCCGGGTGCCAGTGTCATAGTTGAGACCTTTATCGCGGTGAGCGGTTGGGTTGGCACGGTATGGCACGGCTACAACCGATATCACATACCTATAGGCTATATGTTACTATGTAACGTGCTGTTCATACTTGATCGCTTTCACAAAGCTTAAATTAACGTGAATACAAAAATGTTTGATCGTTTTCATATATATGTATCATAATTTAAACATAATAAATATTAAATCATTGACCAGACGTGTGTTATGTATATGTAAGTGAAGTCTAACAAATGTTATTTATCCAAAGCCTAAAAAAACTTCAAAGTAAATAAATAACATAACTATATAATGAAGATTAAACGAGTAAAAAAATTAAATATTTTGATTCCATAGTTCGTCCACATCTTTATGTTTCGTGACAAAAAGTTTTTGTTATTCGTCATACATGGCTTCGGAATGACTCTTCAGTTGGTAGCGGTTTGAATGTATAAATTGACGATCTTATCGCTTAGCTCTAAGATTGAAAATCGAAATTAGTTCATAATAATAGTAGAGTACTTGAATAGTTACCATTTAATATCAATATCTATGAAATAAAATTAATTTACGTAGTTAATCGGTCATGTTGTCGACATGCGAAATTTATGCTCTAAAAATATTTTTATACTTCGTACCAAAATTATCTTAATTAAATGGGAGTTAAATGTTATCGTTTAGTTTATATTATTGAAGAAAATTGCGTCAGTCCAGACCCCTCTGTAAGTAGGTATTTACTTTGTAATTGATCTTAAATATTATGTCATTCAGGTCGCGTTTCGATGGTAGGAAATGCTTTTGTCACACATAAAACAGGCGACTTTTATTGTATACTTTCGTGCCACAGTTGGGTTACTATTATTGGCACTTAAAATGTACTATTATGTGTACTCTACCTTTAATGACCCCCAGATAAAATAGGGGTAGGTACGGTTGACGCCAATGCCAGACAGACGTTTAAATGTATGTAGTTAGTTAAATCGTTCCTGTTTACGTTTAAAACTAGCATGTAATTCTTTAACCGGCACCTTCTGCTTTATATCAAAACGATTAAAATAAAATCTATAGAGAGACTAATAGTTCTCATTAAGTTCAAGATTATAATTATTAATAAACTAGAGAAAAGTTTTATTAATGTGTTATTATTTCAATTGTTTTTTAACTTTTTGTAAAATCTGTTTACACCGCTAAATGACGCTATATTATTGAATGAAACGTAATCAACTCTATGATTTGATAAGTATCATTATATTTTTTATATTGACGTATCAATTCTATTTTTTATAATGTTTATGTTAAATGGGAAACTAGTTTTTGAACGCTGTTTTGCGTACCAAAAATTGACCTCATTCTTCTTAAAAGAAAATTGTATAAGAAGTTAATTAAGATTAGACTGAAATTCTATTTTACTATGGCTTTTAAAACACTTGTATGTATTATTACATTGTTATGTGCTCCAAAAAATACCATCTCAAAATATCTTATAAGATAAACATATAGTTATTAGCACTGTGTCAATAAATTAAAAATCTTTAAGTAACTAACACATTTATATTTTCCTAGTAATCTGAGTTTAGAAAAACAATGACTACGTTTCTAATACAAAAATAGTACCAGTGAATATTTACATAGGCTCTTATCATTTATTATAAAAAGTGCTAACACAAATGGTTAGGAAGAATAATCTTTATTATGTTCCTGTTTTGTCTCATATTACTTAAATGGAATGGAATCCTTTTTTCTAACGGAATTCTACCTTCTGGAAGTAGTTAGGTATTAATATGCAAAGTGAATGGCATAAACTCAACGCAATCTACAATAACAATAAAGACGAGCCAATTAATTTGTTCTTTTAATAGTCACAGTATTTATATACATCGATTTGCAAGACAAAAAGGAATGCTCCTTTGAACAACGATAAAATTCCGTCTGAATCACGAGCGATAAATAGCTCACATTTTTATGGGCCATTACATCGATGCGAAAGTGTTTTCGACTGTTATATTTGATAACGATTGGGACAGGCAGGAAGAGGAAGTCTAAGTGGACACGAAATTTATTTAATTTTATTGGGTTATAAAGGTTTGCGGTACTTAAATATTTAGAGATGAGATTCTTATTGAAAGTAATATCTGTATTATATTTATATGAATATATATATTATTGTAATATTTATTTTCATTGAAGCTTCAGTGTGCATAATCTCAAATACAATAATATATTTATCCATTCCAAGAAGGAGTTAGATCAATGAATCACATGAATTAGAGTGGGCATCGGGTTATAAATAATAAAAATAAATTTTATGATTATTCTGAAAGCATACATCAAATTTAAGTACGTTTGAATGGAAACGTTTAGAAAATGGGCAATGAGTTAGAAGTTCGGTTGTAAAATATAACAGTTTGTGATATTTTTAAAATGTATAAAACGAACGGGTCAAACTCTTAAATACTCCGATCTATTTGCTGCATTAGCATCACATTCAAGGAAGTTTACGCACACACGAGTCGTTGCTACAATGTGGCAATGTATCTCGATAAATTTAAAATAGACTATTCTCCAAGGAGCCACTGAGAGCTGTTTCTAAAATAGAACGATAATAGTTATTTTCTTATAAAGCAAATAAAGCTTCCGTAAATAAAAATAGCATAATAATGGCTAATTTCAGTCTAAGTTAGCTTGAGATTAGTTTTCAATAACATAATTTTCAATAACAAACTCGTGAATTTTATTGATAACAGCATCTTGATACGAAACACGTTTATCTCAACGTGTACAGTCTGTACGGATGGGAGTGTGAATGACGTAGAATGTTTTCTCAGTTATTATCTCCAAAACTCTTTGAACCAGAACAAAGAGCGTTCCGATGTTGTAAACTGACTCGTATATCGGATCGCTGAAGGAAATTCATTGCTGATTTACGAGCCTTTTAAGTAATGTGCATACTTCGAAATACATTGCTTTGATTTTAAATGTAAACATAATGACAGGTACTGTCTTCAAAGCCATTTAATGTGCTGAACAGAATAACTACAAAGTATACAAATAAAAAAAAATTGCTTAGTGGTGAAAATTTGTTGATGGGTCAGTTGTTTAATGATTGGTGTATTTTTCATATATTTTTTTCTGTATAGTTTTGATATAATGTAAAGTTACTAGTTAGTAATAGACAGCTTAAGTTGTTTACATTTTGTGAATTGGTACTAACTGTCCAAATTGCTACGGGTAATGAACTTTCAGGTTGAAATTTATTCACTATCCAATACTTTAAATGAACTCGGCATAGAATAATAATACATAAAAACAGTATAACTATAAATTCAATGAAGTTTTTAATTATGTTGTTTAAATCCGTTTTGTTTACGTGTAATGTAGCTTTTAAAACTACATATGTCAAATGTGCATTATCGAAATATTTATTGTCAAACAGCACCTGGACACCGATTTAGTTCTCGGTGATTCAACCGGTGTGCAGTCATCGTGATCTCTAGCAGAATATCTTCTACCTCGGTCAGCCAGCAATTCTATGGTCGTCCAAAAGGAACCCTCGGAAGCGTTCGACGACGTCCGCTGCATCTTCACTATTGTCTATGCATGTTGCTTCAAGCGCGGCCTCAAGTGCAATGACTCTGCCCATTACCGCCGCTATGAACCGACCCCACCAACAAGCCCCACACCCCACGTGTCACACGCGAACATTAATCTAACGCCCGAAAACCATCACTCATTATTTTTTTTACTAACACTACGTACAAAAGTCACTGTTTGATTTTCTGTTTCAATTAATTCAATATAACATTAAATACAAGCATTAAAGTATTTTAATTTAATTATAGGCTTAAACTGAACTGTTAATGATTATACGAGTAGTAAAAGAATATCTCGTATAAATATTAAAGTTTTGTACTTTAAGAACAATTAAATTTAATTACATATACCTAATTGTGTTTGATTAAAAGTAAATTGTAGGTCAAGAAAACGCATAGTCCTAGTTAAACATTGGAGAAGTGACCCAGATGGCGCCAACGTCGCCAGTCGCCAACTGGGTCATCTGGATGGCTACGACCTTCGCTTCATGAAAATGATGTACTTTTTTATTTGGACTCGCTGACAGTTACTTATTGTATTACATTCGAAATATCTTAATCGGTACTCCTGTTGATACAGTTGGCATAACTGCTAAGAATGATTTATTGGTCTTTGAAATTAATTTAGTGAAATATTAGATCGTGCCTATTATCATAAGTCACGGGGTCTAATGATAAACGAAACACAACAAATTATTTTTATTGCTAATAATTTTTCGGACACGTAAGTAGCCGAAAGATAAAATATTATTTAATAATATTCGAGCGAATTTTTAATGTTCACTTTATCTTAAATTTAAACACGTGACTGATGTAAATTGTTTTAAAACATATTATTGCGGAAAAAATGATACGGGTCACATGACTTTATCTTTAATTACCAACGCTAAGGTTATTAAAACATGATATTAAATTCAAGAATATATAAATTAAAAGATTTATAGAAATTGAAGACATTTTAAAAAACTGCAGTTTTTTTTTATTGTTTGTTTGCTTGTTGAATTAGACAACAACAAGGGACAAAGTAACATAGCCTGTTTTTCTTTTTTCTATGACAACAGCAATCAAAAATTACCACGCTTACGCGACTGCTTTTTATTTTTGAATGACCTTTATAATCGAACACTTCTAACACTCTGCAACTTAAGTTGAACGGATATTTCATTTCACATATAGAAGACAATGATCTTCTAAGTGACCGGGAGACCGCAATTTCATCTGACGTCTGGGAAGTTTCGACACATCTAGCATGAAAGCCTTACTTGTAACATTTCTGGTTACTACTTCTATTAACTACATATGTATTTCTACTTCTTCATTCCGACAGCAAAGTATTGTAACAACAACAACAATTGGGTTTTTATTTCATTGCAAATACAAGTATAATTTAAGTGTCTTTAAGGCTAGAGCGAATAGACTGTTACTCAAATGTTGCGTTCACATTCTACGAATGCATTTCCATAGCATCAAAAGGTGAAAATGAGTAAACACAACTGATTGCTCGAAAAAAAAAATTCGAGTACTTTTTAACTGATAATAATTAATAATGCTTAGTAAGAAAACTTTTTACTCGTCCGAAATTAATTAACGTATAAAATTCTTATGTCATGTTTGTGAGAGAGTAGTTCTAATTACGCCTTACAAACCCGAAGAACAAGATAACTAGGATATGCACCGTCGTTGTTTTTTCTCGCTTCGCTAGAAAAAAAGTTTTTGATGCAAGTTGATTGAAGCGACCTCATAATATAGGTACCGAACTGATTTTTTGGACACGACAAAACAACAGTTAAGGTCGGATAATAGAAACCTAGCATCTTCAAAAAATATCAAGAAGTTTATTAGCTTGTTCCGGTCTGTTTGCGTGCTTAGCAGAGTTTTATTTGAAGATAGAAATGTTGAATTAATTTTTACTTACGCATATTGAATAATCATTGCCTGCCACCACCGAGGGAGGTCTGGTAGTTGAAATCTTTTCATTTTTTTTCTTGTTGTCTCTCCTTCTCCTCCTTCATCTTCGCCCTCCACCTATTTAGTAGAGAAAATACATTATTTAAACAATTTTTTATGTTTTATCTAATGCAAACATTCTGTTATTAAAATCACCTAAAATTAATCTCCTAGATGATACTAAGGTAGACGAGATATGCCCGTGATCAAAATGGCTGAATTGTAACCGAAACTTCAGGTGCATGTAATTTTTAAAATATTACAATACAGTTTCATAAAAATGAATATTCGCGAAAGTCTTAGATCTCAATTATATCCTAAAATTTAGTCACTGTTTATTATACCTATGTATATACTTATACAAATATCATTGATTCTTTAAAAAATTTCAAAATTTTCCACTTCACTAATTCTGTAATATCGTATGAACAATAAGAATGAATCATTTAGGCAGGCTTTAGGCAGACCCTGGCTAAATCTGGGAAATTGCCAGGTAGAAGAAGAATAAGAATGGATCATCATTTTTAACACAAAGCAAGTCATTTCTTTTTAATTTAATCTTTTTTAGTTATTGTCCTATTTACCTGTAATCCTAAAATATTTTCATATTGATATTAAAATTGAGTAACAAATGAAAAGAAAATGGATATATCATATAGGGAAAACAAAAGCAGGTTTTAGGATTTAACGAAAGTATAAGAATATATAACATTTATATTGTATATGGATTTAATATTTTTTTATATCGCAAAATAATTGGAGCCAACATTAAATCATTCAGATTAAAAGTAATAAAAAATATATAAGTGGGTATTTGGGTAAAATATTATTAAGTCTTAGTGTATATCGAATAGCATTGAGATATTTTAAAAATCTTAATCCATACTAATAATATAAATGCGAAAGTAACTCTGTCTGTCTGTCTGTCTGTCTGTCTGTCTGTCTGTCTGCTACGCTTTCACGCCTAAACCACTGAACTGATTTTAATGAAATTCGGTACAGAGATAGAGTTGACCTTGAGAAAGAACATAGGATAGTTTTTATCCCAGACTTTTGAAAGGTTCTCTTGGAAACGCGATATAACCGAACTCCACGCGGCGAAGCTGCGGGCGGAAAGCTAGTATAAGAATAATAATTTGCAATTAGAACATTAAGTTGAAAATTTTACAAATGTTAGGTATAACGAATAACATCTTAATGAAACATATTTACATGATGCAATAAAATATTATTCAATAATATTTCAAATATAAATTGAAGTATTGAAAAAAAAAGTTGCAAAAAATCTACATCAATTGTCAACAATAATTTCAAGGATTTCTAAGTAATAGTCACGACAAACAAACAGACAGATAACATTGTGATTTAAATGTGTTATTGAATGTTGAATGACTTTATTTGTTCATAACAGCTTATATAAGTTTTTATCAACCAATGTGTTTTTATTACGATCACCTCTGTACATAATGCAATGATGTAACAATAATAACATATTTGTACCTGTATTTTGACCCTTTTGTCTTTGTCGTCCGTCTGCCCATCGTCGTTACCGGTTTTGTTGTCAGTCATTTTAATTTTATTTGTATAAAATTATCACTTAGAATTTAAACATTTAAGTTACAAAAAATTTTGATCCGAAAGATGGAATATAATTTTGTTGGACCTAAAGTAAATGCACTAAAATTTTAATTAAGCCAAATTGATTAGTGTCATTTTTAATATTTTGAAGTTTATGTTATAATCAGTGGCCAGAATCTAAAAATGACAGCTTCTCAATTTTATATTAGTATATATTTTTAACATAAAAGTAATTTTTCGTTTGTTAATTCTAATAATCATGGTTTTTATACGAAGTTAGGAGTCGAAATATACTTGTAGAGATTTCGTAGCAATCGAATAATGAAAGAGGTTTTTCTCTGAAATTGGAAAGTCATAGCTTCGAAGAAAAGGCAATATTCATGCGAGGTGTATGAACTGATTACTAAGGTTGAAATAATTAGTTTAGGCTTTATAAGGATTGATTCATATTACTCGTAATTGGAAATACTACTACTACATTATAATCGTGAGCTGTATAAAAGGTCATACACCAGTATTTTTCCGTGGCAGTACAAAAAAATATGTAAGGCTACCCTACCACTTTCTTCTTTTACAAGTTTATGTATTATTTTAACGAATTTTATTGAAATATTTATGATGGAGGAGATGTCTTAATGTTGAAATATTTTGTGTTTGTTGCAAATGATCTGTCAGTTACTTTATCAGTATTTTTTAAATAGTTCTTGCGACCTCTCACAATTGCTCTGTAGATGCTTTTCGGCTAAATAGTTAGAATGCCTTTTTTATAAAAAAACAATCAAAACCTCTTATAATAATCAATATACGAGTAGATCTGTTTCTTTTTTAGATACATATTTAAAAGTTAAACAACCAAATATCTTTTTAAGAAGAATATTAGCGAAATATATATAGATTTATTTTATTGTTAATTTAATGGAAATAGTAAAATTATTTAATTAAACTGACGTCATCAATTATATTATTTAAAATTTTGTTACAGAGTTTATCTCACATTAAAGAATGATCAAATAAAATTTTCAAAATAAATCATCAACTGATAAATGGCTGTTCAATTGACAGGAAATTAAAAGAAATGCCTATGTTTTAAAAATAGACATAGTGTTCTATTGGCGTGAAATTTTTAAAACAATTAATATGATCTTATTTAAATATTATCTTATAAATATCTTTAAGGGGCAATCAAACGAAATAATTGTAAAAAATATATTTTTTTTATTACAAAATACATATTATTTAAGAAATATTCAAAAATTTTTCCTTATTTAGTTACGTTGAGCGGTATATCAGATACATTGTGAAGGTTCTGGAAGGCTTTCCACTGTTCCCTTATTACAGGTTCAACGGGACCCCAATTCTTACTCGGCTTACAACTGTCTCGTATCCTCTAAAACAATCAATTATTTTAGCTAATTAAACCTTTGTAATAATTTACGTCATACATTATACAGCTTGATAAATAAAAATATATTGAATAAAAAGAAATGAAACAATAAGAATATTAATAATTTGAAATACGACGTTATTAATTACAAATAATGTATGATTTGAAACGAAGTTTTTTATAAGAAGTCATCTCATCCTTGTGTAAAGAACTTTATTAGTATACAAAATTTGAGTAAACGTACTTCAAAATTATATAAAAAAAATCCTAGTCGAGCTATAGCTTTTTAGACAGTAGTGAATATACACATATAAAACAAAAATAATTGTTGGTGTTGGTTAATAAATATATATATATTGTAAGTTTTGACACTGATAACAGAGTAGTAAATTCAAAATTGCAAAAAATGCGAAACATGCATATCTTAACACTTACCATTTATGTGTAATATGATCATAATAAATAAATATCATTGACAAACCTTTATAAAATTCCCCTTTCCCCTCAACAGTACTTTAGCAGCGTGAATAGGAACGCATATAACTGATATAAAAGCAACGATCCATCCCGGTATGCCATTCACTTCGCGAAGAGAGTATATTGTTATTATCTGTAATAATTGACGAAGCTTTATATATTTAATTTAATTTTGCTTAGATATATTTTATAATTATGTATTAAATGTTAAACTTAATAATAATAGTTAGAATCAGTTATTTAAAACATTGAATAACGTTCCATTATCGTATTTAAGCGTCCGACCAATATCTTTGACATGAATAAAATATATATTCCATTTGTCAATGTCATCACTAATCTAGTAGTGTAATAATAAAATGAAATTGAAACAAGAAAATAATCTCAATGTAGCTAAATTTTAACAAAATTAAGTTTAAAATGTAATTGTGTGTTTCGTATAGGTATAGTTACTACGCGGTACAGCTCTGACTGCTGTTTGGATTAAGAAATCTTTGGCGGTAGATGAATTAAAACAAGAATAACTGACAGACACAATCATCTCGTCTATCCATATGTTTGCTGTAAAATAATCGGAACATCCGAAATATACAGTTATTTTTTAATTGTGTACTCCCAAAAAACTAAGATATCATCAAAATGTAATTGAAAACTTTGACTTTGTAAAGCTTAATACTCACCACAAGCAGAACTGGTACTATATACCTCCACATTATCAACCAGAATCGCATCAACGGTTTCCCGGTCATGAATAAAACATCGATACTAAACTTCCTCGGTCCATATGTGTACACAGTCCCTAATATTTCCATTCCGCATACTACCGGCACGGCTGCTATCGCGACATGACCGTCTAATAGAGTTATTATATGCAATCCGCCCTGAAAATGATCTTATAATGAACACTACTCTTAATACAAGCGTTCGTCATCAAACAATTCAAAGTTTCAATCAATTTTATTGTATTAATATTGATAAATTATTACTATCGAAATATCTCTTTCTATAGTAAAAATTTAAAGTAAACTAATTTTTTAAATGCCACGGTTCGATTCACACTGATTGCAAAGGTTTTAAAACCAATCAACGAAAGGCATTAATGATGTGGTGTCAGAAACTAATAGTGTCATTATGGTTCACGGTCAGAAGCAAAACATTTAAATGAAATTATAGAATTTATAAACACATTTACGATTAATATAGAAATTAAATACAATATTTCCGATTCGATTTTTATAGATTCAGAAGTTAAACAAAATCCATAAATGTTTAAAGCTTACGTATTATTAGCGCTAATAACGAGTTCTTTACGTGTTTAATATAAATGTATGTATATTTATTTACTTAAAAGTTTTACGAGTGTAAAAAGATCTTAATTCTTTATAAACCACGTCTATATCAGACAATAACTTGGAATATTAGTTTCTATTTCCGTCTGTGTACTGCGTGATGTATGAAATTCGTTTAACCGCGATGTTCGTTTGATGGGATTTCAATTTCGTTGCAATACAATCTGAAATGAACACACTCATTGCAATCGTGCTAAGTGACAATACAATTGTTTGATCTACTCCTGTCATTTTGACGTAATATTTATTATCATTTATGTAATAATAATGGGATATTTTTTGTTGATAAGTTTAGCAAAAAATTACAGGTAAAGGGTAGAATACAGGTGAATGAACTGTGGTAATTAGTAGGTTGTTAGTATACGTGTCATGGTATAGCGTGACAGAGGTCGTTCAACCCCGTTGCAGCAAAACAGGAATGCTGGTAACATGTAAATTGGGTACATTGTTCTAGAATTGCATTTCCAAACTGAACCATTTTTGAATGGAATTTCAGTGACACGGTATAGCTTCAATGTTGTGAGACATGCGAGCATGATAAACCATTACAAATCGTATAATTTTAGTAAAATACACTATACATTCAGTAATATCCGAAATAAAATATATGTGGATATTACATTCGAAATTCAAAAATGGAATGTTTTTTCAACATGATTAATCCTTTTTGGATAAAATAACAATCAAAGATTTAGGAAACAATTAAATAAAATCTATATGGACATTACGTTCGAAATTCAAAAAACGAATGTTTTGTCAATAGTAATAATACTTTTTGGACAAAATAACCATAGAAGGGACTTCTTCAGAATATAACACTTAAATGAGGGATAGTTCGTATTATAGGATCTTTAACTTGAACGTAAAACTGATCCTTGAGAAGTTGCTAAAAATAGCTATTAAAATACATACAATAATCTTCTACCTGGCAATTTTCCCAGCTATAGCCAGGGTCTGCCTTTCATGTTGTGAATAGTTTTTGGCTATTTGTTTTTACGACCGACCTGACATCAACCCTCTTTTTGGGAATCAACATTAATCAGTGATGTCTAAATACTCTTAGAAAGTACATATGATTCGGAAAATCACATTGGTACTTGCCCGGGCCAGGATCGAACCCGCGCTCTCGGCGACGAGAGGCGAGCCCTTGAACCACTGAGCCACCACTGACTTCATACAATCATCTCAATATCTAATTAAATTAAACACAGTTTAAAGTAAGGAAAATTTACCTCAGTGTTGCAAATGATTGACAAACAGAAGAGACACAGACAGGTCATCAGAGTAATGAATCTCTTACGACGCCGCAGCTGAGGGAACTCGTCCAAGACACCGGCTATCACTGATTCTATTGTAACGAACTGAAACCAATTATATCTTCAACATATAGACGTTACATTTAATTCATTAAAAACATATGTATTTAAATATAATATTAAATATTAGTATATTTTGTTGTGATTAGATTTTTATACCAATATTTGAAACATTTTTCATACTTACAATGTACGTTTACATTATAAAATCAATATATTAAAATCATGTTATTGTTATTCGTTGGTATTTTTTGTTTTATTATATACTGTTATTTAACAATATTATTTGTGTCATTTGTATTACCATTGAGTCGATACCGAGAAAGAAAAGCATAACGAAGAATGTTATAGCCCAAAAATTCGGAGCCGGCATCATGGAGACAGCGGCTGGGTAGGTTACAAAAGCAAGCCCGGGCCCAGCAGTCGCTACTCGACCCACTGGCACACCAGCACGCTCAGCTACGAAACCAAGCACAGAAAACACAACAAACCCAGCCCAGATACTTGTACCACTGTTAACTAATGGAATTATTATTGATGATCTGCAAAAAAAAAACTTTTGAATATTATATATTAGAGTTTACGTGTTGTTATTTTAATGTTTGTTGCAAACCTTAAGTTATTATAATGGAATTTATTGAAACTGGCCATGCTGACGAGTCCCCCCCATCCAGGACCCAGCGAATAGAAGATTTGGGTTGCCGCATCAGCCCACACCTGAAAGTAAAAGAAATACGACTCTAATAAAAGGACTAATAATGTTATTTTTATTTGACACCAATCGTTAGTACCTTTGGGTTCAATAATTGTTTCCAATCTGGCAGCACAAAGTAAAGTATGCCTTGCCAAGAGCCGGGCAATGTTATGCCTCTTATGAACAAAGCTGTCAGCACGACATAAGGAAATATGACGGTGAAGTAAACAATCTGGAAATATTCATCAAATTAAATCAAGTTATTTTGTTAAAGAAACGAAAGCCATTATTATGTAACCTACTTTTCCGACGCTCTTAACTCCATTGCAGATGCAGAGATAGATTAGAACCCACGAGATGAAATTACACCAGAAAACTGGCCAAACTATACCACCGATCTGACTCAAGCCTGAAGACATGTGTAATAGACGTATACTGTGGAGAAGAATATTGTTAAATATACACAAAATTCTCCATAAAATCAAATAAAAATATAAGAACTATCAAATGAAAATAGTTTCTATATTGACTATAAACATACATGATCCTTACTGGAAAAATTCGTCCTCGGGCGTAGTGATTGATGTACTATTCATAAATAAACTCGAGTTCACAGTAATCTGGAATTTATTATAATATAAATATGAATTCCTAAAATGTACATAGCGTAAATAATTATACATTTATTACCTCCGTACACTTATCAGTGTTCCATGAATTGGAACAAGTTTGCCAAGGTAGTGGCGAACTGAAGGAGTGATATATGTATAGTATTGGATAAGCCATTATAGACGAGAAGTATATTACGGCTATAACATTCAGCATTACAGCGGCATAACCGGCCCCTGCTCAAACAAACGGACATATACTGTGAAGTCATAAAACGTTTTGCACTATATACATAAATCATTCATACCCTTCAGCAACGGATTTATGTTGAAAACTGAAATGCATCCAGCGTTTGAGAACTGTCCTAACAGAGTTTCCAAGTAAACCAAAGGGATGCCGCACACGATTAACGTTAAAAAGTATGGAACTAGAAATGCGCCTGGAAAAAATAATATATATATAAGAATCGGGTATTATTATTATTGGTAGAATATTTGTATACCTACCGCCTCCGTTCCTGTAACACAGATAAGGAAACCTCCATATGTTCCCAATACCGACCGCGTATCCCAGACATGACAACAGGTACTCGGCCTGACTGGCCCACCGCTCGTGTGTAGCATCCGACATTCTCAAACAAATGATCTTTACATATCCCTATCATCGCTTAAACTAAACGATCGCTCGAATTGAGGATACGGCCAATTTGTTTTTATTTATATAACGGCCCTAAAACACAATGGTCAACGTACCATCAAGATGTTTGTAATTTAAAATAAACTAATATTTTTCTTGAACACGGTTGCTGAGAAGTAAGCGAAACGTCGGGAGTACGTAGTTTTTTCAATTATAAAATACGAAAAATAAGAGTTTCATTAAAATGAATCCTCGCGAAAGTCTTACATCTCATTATTCCTGTAATATATTTGAAAAACACTACAAACTAATTTATGTATTGTAGAAATATTTATTTGTAAAACAATATAAATCAAACTGCAAATTAAAAAATATTCATTTATAAAAATAATCTTCATGTCTACGCTTTCAAAGTGTCTATACCGAATCCAAAGTGACATGTGAAATTATCTGGTGGGTACTGTTTGGTAGAACCGGGGTCCGAATCAGGTTTCCCTTTTGTAGTTTTCACAGCCGCCAAAGTATATTGTAGGACCTGTTATATGTATTTATTAAACATAATGAAACTAGCTTAAACAATAGCATACAGAAATACAAACTGATAAATAAATATAGTTTTTAGAACGAATATTTTTATTTAAAAACACTCGATTTATTATAACACCATAGACTACGATCGTATTTTTTATTAAAAATGAATTGATGTTTAACATACTGGCTGAATAGACTGGCTATATAGAAAAAAAAAAAGAAATAAGAAATCATAGACAATAATATTGTATATAATTACAGAGAGGTCCCCATCTCCCCAGTGTATAGCCTCGTCGGTCCCCAGTGAGTCGTCCCAGTGGAAGTGTTGGCTGGGCTGGCTCCAGTCCACTCTCTTCAAAGAGCACCTCACCGTAGCGAGGGTCACACGCTGCTCGCCCGGCGGCTTCAGACTTTGAGCGCTCTTTTTGTCTGGCTTGCTTTGTTTGCCAGTGGTTGTCTATGGATTTAGTTATCATGGTGCTAAGAAAATTATGTGTGGATTTCTGCTAATAAAGGATTGCTATATTATATAAAAAAATTGATACTGATACCATGAAATACTTCTAAGTTTAAGAAAAAAATCCTTTTTATTCTTAATCATTCTCGTAACTAACATTATTATACGATTTGTACTTAATATAATATTTTATAGAAATAAATAAATTATGATAAATTTTTAAAATATAATCAAATCAAAAACTATTTAATAAAATCTGATATATAATTTCAAAACGTTATAATTAAATGGAACTCCCATGAAAAGTACAAAAGTAGATAATAACTAAAAGACTTTGAAAGTAAAGTTCAAAACTACTTATAAATCAGTGGTAGCAACACATTATTTCTATTTACCACAGAATAAATGACTCTCAAGGTGATGGTAGTGCGAAACGTATCTCTCAAAGCTCTGAGGTTCGGACAGAAGATTCTTATGGTTGGTTCTTGGAAATTCATGAGTTTGTTCCATTGTACCTTGTTGCTCTCAAATATCGTGTAATGGATGATTTCACGGGAGTTCTTTGTCGTCAATTTGTTATAAATATCTGATTCGTGGGATGACGTTTCATGTTCTAGAAAGTTAAAACTCTTAAAAGACCGAGTATTATTATCGATTAAGTAAATGAATTGATCTTTAGAATTAAAAGGACTTTTTTTATTTTTATTTTATAAAGTGAATACTTATGTGTTGGATATCTAAATTTTGTCAATACAGGTTCAAGGGATCTAAAAATATAATTCAATAATTCCAACCACTTCATGCAAGGAATTTCCTATATAAATAAAATCCATCAATATGCATTAAATACTGAAGTTGGTTGAATTATTAAGAAAATTTTAAACAAACCTACTGCCGATTTACTCTCAATCAATTTAATCAATGATCTAGAAAACTTAGTCGACGGCCATTCTTCGTCCTCGGGAGGTGGCAACATTTCTATTAAGGACTCATTATTTCTGAACATCAAGAACTGTCTTCTAGAAGAATCCAGTAACGGCAGTTCCAGTTCTACGTGGAAAGCTGTGACAGCACCCTAGTGATATTAACGAAATCTTAAAAAAGTAAATTTATTTACAACTAGCTGTGCCCCGCGGTGTCACCAGCGGATTTCCGGGATTTCCGGAATGTAAAGTAACCCATGTGTTATTCCTGGATATCAACTTCCTGTATACAAAATTTTATCAAAATCGGTTCAGCCGTTTGAGCGTGAAGAAGTAACAAACATACACACACTCACAAACTTTCGCAATTATAATATTAGTAGGATTCAGAAGTAAGTTTGACATAAAATTGCTACAGAGAAAAACCTATTATACAGGGTGACTGGTGAATTACTATCAATGTTTAAGGAGAATACTCGGTACATGATTCTCGTTCGAATTATGTAAAAAAAATAGGTGCTTAATTTTTGACCAAATTTCCGTATAAATAAATAAAGTGTGGATACGTTCCAAGTGTTCCAAGTGTGGACGCGTTCGGCGGCGTGCTGATACAACACCACGCCGCCGCACGCGTGTGTGTGTTTGTGTATACCTAATCTTTAGGGTGTTCACACGATGCGTAATTAATTACATAACTTTTGGTTAATTTTACTTAGAAGTTTATTAATATTTATGTTATATTAATTTTTATTTTGTCATATATGATCGTCAAATATCACGTCCTCAAGTATCGATAGTAATTCACCAGTCACCCTGTATACTAAAGCTAGAGTAGACGACAAATAAATGGTATACAATAATTAAACCTTGTCAGGCTTCGGTGGTTGAGGAGCTGATATAATTCTGAAGACGGTGAATGTGAAGTAAGCTGATCGCAAGTCATCGGGGTGAGGCTCCACAGGTTCCAAAGGACGATCTGTCACTAACACCTCTCTATAGTCTAGCCATTGAAGACGGGGTAGCTTGGTCAGTGTTGATCGTGCATACGCTGCGCACACCTGACCAATACAAAATAATACTAGCATCTATTGATGATTTAACTCCGGTCATATTAACAGGCGTAAAAAATACCATGTGGTACTTCAATGCTTCATATTAAATTTCATTTATTTGTACAACTGTTTGCTTATAACTGTTCCTACTTTCGGATTTATAATATTTGTAAGCTTTAGTATTGCCGCTCTATAGAGACTTGAACTTAAGTGCAGGTATATAACATTTTGAAAAGTTTTAAAGGGAATAAATATTTAAATATTAATTTGTTGTCATTTGTCTAGTTGAGTACATTTAAAGGACTATAGATGAGTATATATGATTTAACATAAATCCAATACCTATCAAGCCAAACGTGTAAATTATAAACCTCTATAAGTAAAATAATATAATTTTCAATTTTACAGCGCCATCTATTGATACGAGTGTTAATTAAACAGAAAGATTACAGAGCATGGATTCCCGGCAAGGTGGAGTCCGGTTAGACTTGGCAAAGTCGATAAAGCATCTAGTACCATCTCGAGATCACAGATGTCGTTGTCTGAGATATCCAAAACAGTAAGGTAGTGAGGCACCTTGCTTATTCCTTCAACACTAGCTGTGGAAAATTTTGGAGCTTCGTTAAAAAGTCTACATGAAAAAAATTCCACTACTATAATATTATATTCTAAGCGATCATTCAAGTTTAGTTAGAGGACATCTAATAAAAATAAAAATACAAACACCTTGCAATTAAATTATTGAAATATTTAAGATATTTTATATATTTGTATTTTATTTAAAAATAACATACCGTTGTCCAAAAAATTCCTTGCTAGCCCTAAGTAAATCAAATTTGTAGGCAAATTTTCAACAAATGGTATTAAATTGCTTATATGATTCGCCTGTAACTCAAGCATCCGTAGTCCTTGAGGGAATGTACAAGCATCTATTTCAGTGAGATAGTTACCACATAAGTTGAGTGTGACGAGATTATCAAATTCCATCAATGATTTATCTAATTCTGTCATCTGTAAAATTTTGATTTCTAATTTTATCTAAGCTATTGAAACCGTTTTATGTTTTATTTATCAAATTTATCGTAAACTCATCTACCTCAGAATCCGTCACTCTCAATACGTTGACCTTTCTAAGGTCCCGTCTAAGTGTTTTCTTATCACCATACAGTACTGATTTTTTGATTAATTTAAACATATCATCGGTAAGGTTGTTGGAGCTCTTAAAGCATATTCTTCCTTCGTCGTTCGCAAACTTTTCGATGTCCCACATTTTCATAGGTACAAAAACTTCCCATTGTTCTTGTAAATTGGCGTCGGGTTCCATGAATCCATTGAGGATGCTGTGCTTAATTTTATTTTTAAGAGCTATAGAAAACGTTATCTCGGGAATGTTATCTCTAGTGCATTTCTGTTTATGTCGACGGACTGCATCTTCCAGTAGAGTCCATTCTATACCGGTTTCTATACGTTCTTGGTAGCCTACATACATATTATAGAACTATAGATATTACATAACTATCAAGTATCAATGACCTTCAATTTTATTTTGTACTAGCTTTCCGTCCGCAGCTTCGCCGCGTGGAGTTCGGTTATATCGCGTTTCCAAGAGAACCTTTCAAAAGTCTGGGATAAAAACTATCCTATGTTCTTTCTCAAGGTCAACTCTATCTCTGTACCGAATTTCATTAAAATCAGTTCAGTGGTTTAGGCGTGAAAGCGTAGCAGACAGACAGACAGACAGACAGACAGAGTTACTTTCGCATTTATAATATTAGTAGGGATAAAGCGTAAACTAGATATAAATTATATTTTGACGAACACCTACAAGTGTGCTCATACATAGTATGTGTTAAGTTCGTGAACAACATTTTCTGTATAAGTACTTCCATTTAAAGGGAATTTAATGCAACTGTATGAAATTCAATTTAAGTCATAACAATTCTTAAAACGATTTTAATATGAAAGAACCTTCAATCGCATCATCGGGTACTTGATTAAGACTGGAATCGCTAATACTGGGACGGAGAACTTGAGGAACTGGCTTTTTTGTTTGAGACTCTTTTGCCTTCGGAGGCATTATTTCTTTCAGTTATTAAAAATACATTTTACAATCAAAAAATAAAATATCAAAATCGACATTCAGTTTGACATGTTATGATCTTACATATAGATTGATAATAAATGAATTGTAAAATGCAAAAAGGTTATATACTTGTTAACATATATCTGATTGGAAAAACTTCCTTCCTAATCACCTTGTTTTGATTGGTTTAGTCGATAAAACAGTTCTGCTGAAATGTTTTTATAGAATACCGATAGAATGCGCTGAAGTCGGTCTAAATATGGAACCGCTCGCCGTAGTATTTGCGACATATGGGTGCCAATGTGTGCTCCTTGTATTAATAATGTGTTACTAATTCCGTACAGTATACGTAAGTCAAATCATTCATTCGTACGAAACAGCCGCCGACGCATGTCGATTGTATAATGTTATTTAACATGATCACTCGCGGTGTAAAATGATTTTTTCGCGGACAATGTTTTCTAGTGCCACTACGTAAGTGATTCGCTGTCGGCAGGTTGTGTTCAAATTGACAATGACATTAGTTACTAGTGACGTTATGGCGCGGCAAATTTGAATCTGTGAATGTGTTAGAAGTTGTGTTAGTTTCATTATTTTATTGAGTGTTTTATATTGTAGTAAGTTGTTGGTAGTGATGGTGAGTGAAAGTTGTCAGGACCGGATGACTCGTTGACATTGATAATCTGCGCTTACGTCGATGCCCTTGCGTCATTGGCATTATACCATATATGCGAAGAATTCCTAATAATACTTCCTATATAAAACGTCATTAAATTTTATAAAACAGGTAAATGATATTAGCTTTGCTGTTATTTAATAATGTATTCAATAAATATTTAAATATTTATTAGTCGGATATTATTCAGAATTAATAGAATTGTTCAATGTTATACATCATAATATTGTTTAATGAATGTTCTTATCACATGAATATGAGGAAGATGTTATTTTAATTTGTTTTTATATTAATTATTAGTAATAGGAATAAGTTTTAAATTAATATTTAATTATTGAAAATAGATTAGTTACAGATATTCATATTATTATTATAAGATATATTTCTATTATTTAAATTCAAAATTTTATAAATAATGAATCAAGTTTATGGCTAGGCTCTTCGCGGAAGTGCCGCTGTTTCTAATCTGTGTTAAATTTTGTTAGTTTTGGGAGATACAACTATGCTGGATACACACATGTAGAAATTATCTTTTTATGTTTATACTCGTATAATATGTGCTATAGAGTTTTTTGTATGACTAAATGTTTGAAAAATTACCTATCAGCACATTTAATGTTAACTTTACATGTCAAGGTTTATTTTATTCGATAATGTATCACTTTTTTGTGACAAAAATTTTCTGATTCAGGCCTTCATACATATATTATGTAAAACAATAATAATTAAAAAAATAACTTAATTGCGTAAACAATGTGACGAAAAATCAATTTACAAACATATCGTGTATTTTTCATTTAAATGAAATTCCAATTAATATTGACATACTTTTTTATACATCGTTAATGAATTTTAATATCTTAATAGTTTGATGCGTTCATAAAGTTGATAATTGGATATATTATGTTATAAAATATGTGACTTGTACGTACTATTAAATGAGACAATATTTTTTTTATATATTGAAATTAGGGTATCTGTTTCACACAGAACAACTGGTAGAATAATAATCTAAGTCAGTGGTGGCCTAGTGGTTAAAAGGCCCGTCTCTCATGCACGAGGGCGCGGGTTCGATCCTGGCCCTGGCAAGTACCAATGTGATTTTTCCAAGTCGCTTTGTGCTTTCTAAGAGTATTTAGATATCACTGATTAATGCATTCCCAAAGAGGGTTGATGTCAGACGGCCGGTCGTGAAAACAATTAGCCAAAACTATTCACAACATGTAAGGCAGACCCTGGCTAAAGCTGGGAAATTACTAGGTAGAAGAAGAACTGGTAGAATAAGTTGTACTTAAAATATGTCAATAGAAACTATCAAGACCTAAGTATTTGTGTTAATAATAAAAAGACAATTAAATTTCTAAATTATAATGACAGTGTGATGTAATACTATTGTTTATTACTAGAATAATGATTTTATTATGAAATAAAATCTGAGTGTTTTTATTCGTATACTGGTAAAAAAAAAATAAAGACAACGCTCAACAAATGCATTTTCATCAAGACAGTTTCATTGAAAAACTGAGGTTTTAAGAAGTAGTTATAAAGATAAGAGAATTGTAATATTTTAACGATAAAACATCTTTCATAATTAAGAGTTTTCTTGATGTTAAAAAAAGTCAATATAAATACTCTTAAATTAAAAAAAAAATAGAACATTAATTCTAAATCTTATTGTAATTTACAAAAATGAAAATTTTTACAAAAACAAGATTTATGTCTGTCAAAAATATAAAATTTATTTAGGATTCTGACTTTATTCAATGTTATGAAATTAAAAAAAAGCAGTGGGTATATGTATCTGTATAACAATACGCCTATGTTTTTTCAAGTACATATATAATGCGAATGCCATGGAACTAGAAATATGTTTCGATTTTAGTCCTATTTCGTTCTAACAAATGACTAATTTTTCAGGCAGGTGATCGACCTTGCACTTTGTCTCTAATATCTCTACGTGATTTGTTATCAGACGCCACCTCGTAACTTCGTTATCGTTATCTCAATTGCTTTTACAAATGACATCTCAATATTTCCTCGTACGCATTGTTTTATTCATCCAATGTTAATGTTATTTTGTTTTGTCATGAATTAATTAAAAATAACTAATTTCTGAGGTTCTGATTGATCGTTATTAAATTTATTTATGATAAAGGGGTAGGTTCTTTAAAATGTGAAGTCTAGCCGTTAATATTTTTGACTCGTTTTGCTGAATCAAATATAATTAGTTACTAATCAATCGTTGACAGCCCTAATTCCATTCTTTTTCCATTTCTTTTGAATTCCATCGCTTCTAACTACAATACGTGTGAATGAATGATGGAAATAAATTCCTGTTAAGTTTATTTCTCCAATCAAATTTTCGTGGAAATAAATTGAAGTTCGTTGCATTAAAATATACATAAAAAAGTGTCGATTCTCACAAGTATATATGTATATTAAATATTATACTTTTTGTCATAATTTTCTATCAAACGTGTTTTCATAAGATGTATAACCATGTTATTCTTTTAAGGAACAAGATGTCGTTCACTATGAAAGAAGGTGGTTTTGGCGTGGGGGATTATGTGGCTTTTGGGGTGTTATGTGCGTCTTCATGCGCTGGAGGCGTTTGGTACAGCGCCGTGGGCTCCAGGAGTAAGGCTGTAGTGGATTTAAAGGACTACCTCCTCGGAGGAAAGGCTATGTCCACTTTTCCAGTCGCCATGTCACTCATCGCCAGGTAAACGGAAAAATAGTTTATAATTAGGATTGTATAAAAAAGTCCCAATGTAAAGTATTTTTCTTTACATTTTATATTGAATATAGAGATTAGAAAGTAATGTATGAATAAAATGTTTATTTTACAATATAAAAAACTAATTGTAAGACTGGATTTTAAATATAATGATATTACAAAGTTCTAAGAATTAAATGTATAGATATTAAAAAACAATCATAACTATCCCATCCATGAATATAATAAAATGAATTATAGATATTATTTGAATCGCTGTATAAATAAAGTTGAACTGTTTCACGATCTTTAACTAATTGGAGCAATGAATCTTTATCAGTTACGTGTCAGGCGTGACGATACTTGGCACTCCAGCTGAGATTTACAATTACGGCTCCGAGTATTGGTTGGTGGTGGTGGGTGTGACTCTAAGCTGCTTGATCGTGGCCACCGTCTACCTACCAGTGTTCTGTACTCTGAGACTTTCTTCCTCATATGAGGTTAGTGGAATTTCTCATGCCACTTTCAACATGGTTGCGTTAAACATTTAACGTTCCGGGGGGTGGGGATGAATGAGGCAGAGCGAACGAATGCGTATCGCACGAACATATCAGGCAATCAATTGAGACTTGTAAGTAATGATAATAAAGTTTTTCTTAAAGGAAGACTCAAAATTCCTTAAAAATCTATTTCTGCGAGGAGGGATTCCACACACAATAATTTTTGTTTTATTCTGTCATCCCCAAAATAGTTTCAGTAGGCAGATGTTATAATACCACGACCTCAGAACAAAGTTTGACCAATATAAAAATCAATTCAACAAGGTCGCTGTGTGGACTAATAAACTCAATATAAAATATATTGAATTTCAATAAATATACTAAAAATATTCGCATACGTTTAAAACCTGATTATTAAGCATTACGTCACTCAAAATGTGGAGCATTCGAGTGTAGATAATATTGAAGAAATAATCAAAATAGCTCTTTGATTGTGTCTGATTGAATCGGCTTTTAAGATGTCTTTATATTATCAAAACGGATTTCATTTTATCTCTATTAGGTAATCTATCTTGGGGGAACTGACAGTCATGGACTTTGTACCTCAATAAAGTCGAGAAACGAGATATGTATGACATTAGTATTGCAGTTCTGGTTTATAAGAACCATTAAGATATCGAGTTTTTAATTTTATACTAACTTTAGTGTGTGTCGAAATATTTTGTTTACACTTTAAGAAACATTTGTTATTTATATTGTGAAGAAAATAAAAGAGTATTTAGTAGGAAACCTGTACAATATTGGCTATTTTAATATCAAGCAGCAACTAAATCGATTATCGGAACTACATTATCAATGAAAATCAGCATTTGCTGTGCCAATAATATGATGTATAAAGATTGATTTTAAGAAATATCTGCTTGAGACTTTTCTATTAGCAAAACTCTGTATATTATATTATATAATTAGGGTACATTTCCAAATTATTACCAATTAGTATGGAGATAATAATTTCCATTGTCTTTATTAAGACTTTCATATAATTGTATTTATTTCAGTATCTTGAACTTCGTTTCAATCGACACGTGCGGGCAGTGGCGTCTGTGCTTTTTTTATTGGACGAAGTGAGTACTTGATTTTAATTTACTATTGTTTACAACTCAATGAGGATTTATCGAAAGGTGATAAATCAAATTTTAGATATACTCTGTAAGAAGATTAAAAAGAAATCGAATGTATTGATTGTAACTTTAAACAAAACTAACATTTCATTACCTAGTACTTGACCTTATGGATGACGAAAATGTTTTTTTTTCAATGACAAAGTTTGTAGACTCTATGACACAAATTAATAGAATCTATGGCACTATATTTAGTCATTTTACTATTAAAAAGTGTCAAAGTAATAACGAATAATAAATATTTATTTGATTGTCATTTCAAGTAGAATTCGTTATATAAGCGTGACAGTTACAACAATTAATAAGAAATAATCATTGTATGAATTAAAAATTGTTAATAATGAGCTGTTTTAATATGAATAAAAAATACGAAGAGAGATTTATAATTTGTACATAGAAAAATATAAGAAGTTTTATATATGATAAACTAAATTATAGGTGAGTGTTAATATACTAGTTTTGATACCTAATTAAGACTAGTAATTATCTTTCCATGAATTTCCATTACATCATCAGTACTGAATATCAAATCCCTATCAACCAATATTTGATTTGAATGTTTAATTGATGTCTATCACGAACATAGGTATTAGGTAGTAAAGATCTCGAGATAATCCTCGCTGTTCCTATATAAACAGTACGAGTATGTAGACCGTTAGCGTATTGAAATCAGCAATTCATATTGAGGTAAAATATCTGTATGATATGGACTTTGATCTTAGCATTGCTTGTAGAAATGTAAACATCAATTGTCCGACGCCACGTGATCAAATTATTATTAGAATATTGGATATTCTTTAACTACAGTTACACGTTAAACAATGACATACATATTTAAACTGTGTCATAACTGTTCACATTGTGATCGTTTTATCATAGATTGTTTTATAATTAATCTATTAAAACTATGTTTCTTATTATGTTTGACATCTACACGTATCTCCTATTAAACATCGTACCTATATTGTATTAAATAATGTATTGTTCGCATTTTAAGTTGTATATTACAATATAAATTAAGGCAGAATCAGAGATTTAGAATTGACTAGAAAAAAAGGTTAATAAACCACATATTGGCAGATACTGGATTTGTTCATATAAGTATTTATTAATGAAGTATATATGTAAATATAATTTATATTATATAATATATGTATGTATATGTAAACATGTCAAACCATCAAAGTGTGTTAACAATGCGGTAGTTAATATATTTTTAGAATATAATTGGTGGCCAAGGATGGCTTGAAATCCGGACTTTAGACGCTTTACTGTATGCGTGGACGAAGATCAATTAATCAATTAAACGGAAACCCTATTAACTGTTGATTCGTCGGGGCTGTTGATATGTGTGTACAAAGATTAAAAAAAATAAATTAGGCAGAAAAATGGGTAACACGTCGAAAGAAAATACTTATAATGCATCAAATATATTTAAATAATAATAAAATTGTCACCATTAGAATAAAAATTACTGGCTGTTTTTTTAGTCTTATTTTTCATGTTTTTTTTTCATTTTTTAAGGTATTATTTCTACCTATGGTGGTATACGTTCCTGCATTAGCATTTAATCAGTGTAAGTCAATATTTGTTTTTATTTGTATATATTTTTAATATGAAACATTATGTACGAAAAACATGTGTCATGTTTTGCTTTTATTCAAATTAATTTTTTGTCATTTTGTTTTCAGTGACTGGTTTTAATGTGTTCGCGGTTGGTGGTGTTATGGTCCTCATATGTGGACTTTATACAGTATTAGTGAGTTTTTATTTTATTTTTAAATATGTATATATACATATATTTTCTTACATGTATAAAAATGATCTATGAATATGACATACCTATAAATGTACTCGTCACTAACTGTTTCAGTTAAATGGATCCTCAAATTATGCCAGTACCTCTAATTTTATTTTAAGTATAAAATAAAATAATACACATGTAATAAGGTTTAGAAACTTCTATGTTTTTGGACGTATAACCACTAATATCTTTATCCAATTTTAATGAGGTATACTCTTCTTCTTCTTCTACCTGGCAATTTCCCAGCTATAACCAGGGTGTGCCTTACATGTTGTGAATAGTTTTGTCTATTTGTTTTTACGACCGGCCGCCTGCCTGACATCAAACCTCTTTGGGAATCAACATTAATCAGTGATGTCTAAATACTCTTAGAAAGTAAATAGACTCAGTAATGTGACGATGGGTGACTATGATTTAATGAGGTATACTATAATAATAAAGAATAAACATCATGTATAATGTGTAGGGTATTTACAGGGTGGTCTTCGAGCGGTTGTATGGACGGATTCCGTTCAGACAGGAGTCATGTTTATTGGTGTGTTACTTGTGGCTGCGGCTGGCACGCTCGCGGTTGGAGGCGTTGGCAATGTAGTGAGCATCGCTGACGAATCCGGGAGACTTGAAATCTCCAAGTAAGTATGGAGAATGATATGGATAATTCACTTGGAAGTAGTCTGAAAAAATATGGAAAGTTTGAAGTCCAAGCAAGTATGATCACTGTTCTGAATGTTTCGACGGATTGAGTTAAATAAAACAGCTTAAATAGAAAAGTATTTGACACCTAAATAAACTCCAAGTAAGCCAATGAACGTCACCGGCGACTTGTGTTAAACAATTACATAATTAATAAACAGATTACGAAACTTTCCCTGTCTTTCACTAGTATATAAACACAAATTCAGTCGAAATATTTTTTTTAAATCGATTCTTAATTCTTATGGTTCCACAAATATATTTTTTTACTAATAATGATATAAACCATTTTAGTTGGAGCTTCTCTCCGTATGAACGTCAAACTGGTTGGGGTGCGATATTCGGTGGTTTCCTATACTGGACTTGCTTCAACTCAGTCAACCAGACCATGGTTCAGCGTTACATAGCTTTACCATCAAAACGGAAGGCAATTACGTAAGTTGAATAAACATTATTTTATATGTAATAAAATATTGCATAATTCTATTTACAGTGTAATACATTGTAACATTTTAAAGAAATCTTCTTATTTCAAACTTATACAGCTATATTATTGTTAGGTATCTATCGGTATATATTATACAAAACTACCCACTTGTAATTTGAATACATTGAATGAGTAAAACAACTCGTTATGTAATTATATCTTAAGACATTTAATATTACTTTAATTTTTTGTTTCCATGTAAGTGACTTTGTCTTTTTTGGAAAATAAAGATCTCTAAACCTTACCTAGGTTTAGGTTTAACCTGTGTATCTGTTTATTCTTTCAGTGCGCTCTTCATTTTCTGTATCGGCGCGATCCTCGCTATATCTCTATGCGTGTGGTGTGGTCTCGCGGCGTGGGGTGCCTGGGTCCAAGGTGGTTGTGACCCCAGCGGCTCTCCTCTAGTCGGTGACCAACTACTACCAGCGTTCGTGACCTACGTCGCTCAAGTCCAACACCTGCCTGGCCTCTCCGGAGTATTCCTCGCTGGGGTCTTCGGAGCTGGATTAAGGTCTATATATAGTCTACATTTAAATACAAACAATATGCAAAAATGTCTAGTATACACGTATGAATATCATATGACTAGAGACGAAACCTCTTAGCATTCAATGGATTCACCGTGCGGGTGCCGGGTCCATTGCGTTGCAGGGAGAGGAGCTTCAACAGTGCCTGGGACTTGCGACCCAGGTGTAGGTTTAAGGGGCCCCTTAACTAACGCGCGTTATACGCTCACCTCCACTGTCCAAGTTCCTCTCCCTACCTAAAGGGAGAGGAACTTGGACAGTGGAGGAAATTTAAAACTAAGTTAAATAATTTTAAGTTTGAAATTTGAATCGTCTTCAATCGATAGATGTTTCTTTTGAATTAAGAATGTTTTAGGAGACACGAGATCTTAAACTCAGTTCTATTTCTGTACATCAATCGGTTTCATATGTAATCTTAATTGACTTATGACATTTAAGACTTTCGAGAGTAATTATTTAAATTAAATATTTTCGGATTACTAATCATTATTTTATTATTTTTAACTACATTCTCTCCACGTTTCGGTTACTTTACAACCACCGTGATCACGGGCAGACGAGATGATCACGGTTGCTGCAAAATAACCGAAACGTTATTAGTATTAGTTTAATTTAAATATTAATACAGTCTTGAGCAAGCGTGGTGATTAATGCTCAAATTCTTCTCCATATGAGGAAGAGGCCTTTGCTTATCAGTGGGCTCTGATAGGCTGATGACGATTAATAGAGTAATATTTATTCTATGTACCCTCCTGTACTCACAGTTCCCTGTCAGCGGTACTGAACGCGTGTGCCCTGGTGGCTGTAGAGGACCTCCTCCATGGCTGGTTGCGTCTCCGCCTGCCTCCCGTGGTTGAGGGCGTGTTAGCTCGCTCCGTGACCGCGCTCCTCGCTGTCATCTCACTACTGATGCTAATCGTCATACAGAAACTTGGAGGTGTTCTTGGTGAGTTCGTCTCTCTTGTATGTAGTTTTGTTCTGCTTTAGATTTAATTATAAATGCGAAAGTAACTCTGTCTGTCTGTTTGTTACGCTTTCACGCCTAAACCACTGAATTGATTTTAATGAAATTTGGTACAGACATAGATTTGACCTTGAGAAAGAACATAGGATAGTTTTTATCCCAGACTTTTGAATGGTTCTCTTGGAAACGCGATATAACCGAACTCCACGCGGGCGGCGGGCGGAAAGCTAGTTGGTCATAAAGTTAAATGGCTACATATATCTATATGTATATAATGGGTTATATATAACAATTATTGCTTCCTTAATAACAGTACATATGCATAGTTGTGTATGTATATATTGCTATATAAATTACTGGTTTCGTATAGATAATAAGATTGTTAAGCGTCATAGCTCCTCTCAATGAACTCAGAATAAATGTTAGTTCAATTTGAATAACTGCCATATTTACTTTCCGCCTCCCATTATAATATGTACGTACACTTTTGACTTTAAAATGTCATTGGATTGGAGAACACGTTTGCTTATTATTCAAAGGTCAATCGCTTCAACTAGAGTTCTTGAAATCCTTAACTTATTTGTTTATTTTTGAATTATTATTCATCTTTAATACGTTAAATTATTGTAAGTGAGAAAAATATCATTATTTCATTGAAATACAATAAGGGTACATAATCCTATTGTACGAGCTGTATATATCATTTAAAAAAATCCTATTTTTTTAAATTTTTTTTAAAGTGACCATACGACAATCCTATTATATGTTTCGGATCAAATTATTGTAATTGAGAAAAATATCTTGCTTTCGTTAAAACATATATACGTTACAAAATAAAATCCTATTCTTTTAAATTTTATTCAAGTTTCTATACGACAATTATACCATATATTTCACTTATAATACTACTAGTAATATTATAATGTGTGTTATCACTCAGGCGTGGCGACAGCGTTATCAGCGATTGCTGCCAGTTCCACGTGTGGTATCTTCACGCTGGGCATGTCGTGTTGGTGGGTCGGTCCTCGCGGGGCGGCGGCGGGGGCCGCGGCCGGAGCCCTACTAGCCGGGGCGGTGTCCCTCGGCAGTCAGGCTGCCGCCGCTGAAGGACTGAGAGCACTACCGAGAAACTTCACTGAAGCTTGTGCTGCTAACGCTACTTTCACACCAGAACAGACCATCGTGAGTATTCTGCTTTTACAAGACACTTCCACGCTTGTAATAAGTACCCCAGGGTTTAGCAAATGAAACACACTGTTGGTCCAGATCTTGATTATATTTTATTAACTTAACTTATATGCATTGCTTGGAGAATTTTACTTGCGTGTCCAAAATTTTGTTACTGCTGCCATTTATTCTATTAATAAATTAAAGTACTAAATTACAAACAAACAAAGAATAAGAATTATACACTGCTATTACTACTTTACTAGGGTCTATGGTGCGTTCATAGATTATACATATGTCAGGTAAATTATTTTGCTATACTGATATTTAAGATTGCTTTAATTTTTACAAGTTTTGAAATTTTGACTAATGATTAAGTGAATTTATGATGAGAATTAAGTATAGAGATCCATAAACCTCACTCAAACATAGACACAATAATAGATTAAAAGTAATGATATTTACACTATTTTTGTTCATACAATCAGAGTTAAAATACTATAATGGACCCAAAAATAAATAAATAGACAATTTTTCATGAAATTATTATAATCTCCAACAGGATCCAACAACAATATTTCCTCTATTCCGTCTATCGTATCACTGGATCGCCCCACTCGGTCTGTTGGCCACTATTATAGTTGGCATGATAGTGGGCTGGTTGTTCGACAAGCCGGATCCAAGTAAAATGGACGCGGAACTGTTCACGCCTGTAGTGTGGAAGTTATTACCTAAGGAGGCTCATGAGAACGCTGGAATGACGCGCCAGGCGCTGCCCGTCAAAGAAGCAGAGTCACCCGCACCCTCTGCCAGGCTTATACTGGAACAACTTCCAGATAAGGTATATATATAGCTCTATATATATATATATATATATATATATATATATATATATATATATATATATATATATATATATATATATATATATATATATAGTACTGTATTAATATACTTATTTTAATAAATATTCGTTCTTCTACCGTCAAACAATTCAGCATTTATATTTGTACTTGCTGCGCCCCGCGGTGTTACCCGCAGATTTCCGGGATGTAAAGTAGCCTATGTGTTATTCCTGAACATCAGCTTCCTATATACAAAATTTTATCAAAATCGGTTCAGATGTTTGAGCGTGAAGAAGTAACAAACATACACACACACTCACAAACTTTCGCAATTATAATATTAGTAGGATGTAAAATATTTTGTAGGATTTTGGAGATATCACATAAGTTTTTGGTAATTTTTTTTAATGATTTCTCATATATTATTTTATTTTTCAGGTTGAATGAAACATATAGTTTCCAACGGAACAGTATTCAGCTGTTAACTATACACAAATACAGATCTAGTTTTATAATTTAGTTTATAAGTGGAATGAATAGTATTATATAGATATCTTAATGTTTCATTGAAATGTTTTGGTTGTAAAAAACATATCAATCTGGAAATATTTATCTGAGTTACGATACATTTTTATATGCGTCATCGAAAACAATCTATCAATTATAGCAGTCGTAATACAAAATGAGATAAGTGATCTGTATGACATAAAATAGTGACATAAGTGAAAAGTTTCCTTTTACTATCACTAGATGGAGACACTTATCAGTCAATTAGTGTCCGTAATAATGACATTTAATATCAACAAATAACACACCGCTTTACAATATAAAGTATTTTTATGTACTTAATGTTAATTTATTAAATAAGATGTTTTATATAAATTAATTTATAAGTAAGTACTTAATGATTACCACAGATTTTTCACAAACAATAAACTATATTTATATGTATACAATTTATATTATAGAATTAATTTATTGTAAGTAAATGGAATATTAGTATCACAGAATCTTATTAACAAATTATTTTTATATATGTAGTTTTAATAAATTGCTCCTATTTTTGAAGACGTGATTTTATACTACTATTTATTATATAGCTATTTTAGTTTTTAGTATAGATTTTGTAAATTTCTAGATAGAAAGTATTGTTGTTGACTCTTTTATCGCCGTTTTGGTTTTATTTATATGATATAATGAAAGTGGACCAACATTAGTGTAAGTAATAATAAGACAGTGTTACTTAGGTTTACTTAATTAGTCTGTAATTTTATAACAACATTTAATATTTATATCTGTTTTATATTATTAAGCGTATTGTGGATTTAAGAATAATTTTTAATACTGAGTTATTTATTTATATATGAACATACAATTCTATTAGTAGTAACTATATATCAAATCTGTTATATGTATACCTACACTAAATGAATTTAAATAAAAATATTTATGTCAGTAGCTTTTTTATTTTGATGACTACCACTGAATACCGTGTAAGTAATTTTGAATATTAATAAAATTACGATTTGGAACTAGAGATAACACAAATAAAAGCAATTTTTTTAACTGTCTTAATAATATAGCATTTTGCTTAGTTTCATTAATTGATCACAGATGGCGTGGAGCATAATTTATTGAATAAAACAATGTGGGACGGTATGGGAAGCCGTTTAAAGTTCGAAGCCATATGAAAAAACTGAAAGGTCGAAGCGGATTTTAAAAATTTTTCATTCCAATTTTGTAAGCTACGAGCAAATGTTCAATTATTATACACCAACTCAATTTTACATATTTCTATCTATAATATTAATGTATTTCCTTCGGCTGTGTTAAATATTGTTTGAATGTGATTAAAATAGAAAAAAGTGTTAATATGGTAATTTATTTTGAATACAGAACAATCATTTTAGGATAATTAATTTTATAATTTATTTGAAACGACCACCAAGAAATCTCTATTATAAAGATGGAAGATCATAATGACTAATTTACTATAAATTAGGTATTTATAATATATTGTAATACTTTATAGTTGAAGAATTGTTTTATAAAAAAAATATTAACCAAAAAGGTTTTAATATAAAAGTATTTAGTTTGAATTTAGAATTTATTCTTCGTATGAGGGAAGCAGGAGCGAGTAACGTTCAGCCTTATTCTTGATTATATAAATCCAGCACGTGTACGATAATTTTGTAGCATTTAACTTTCAGAAGTTGTAAAATTTCGGAGGCGACAAGAATAACGTAAATAGGAGGTTGTAGTTAAAGTTCTCGTTCTCCTGATTTCCATTCGCATCTCATAACAAGACACATGTGACTACCTATAGGTATATGTATTGTAATGACATACATATGACTGATGCGAAATATTTTACAATAGAAACTATTCGTTACACTTTTAACAACATCGAACATTGTTCTGTATGTAAAACACTTTGCATAAAATTATATTACCAATCAAAGAAAAACATACCTAATCATAGCCAAAAAAAAAAAATCGTAAACAATAAAAAATGCTTCATATTATTAATAAAAAATAATAATATTTTATCACTCAAAACAAGCGGTTAATTCTGTAAGTTGTAAAATTTCTTCAATTATAACGTAACGCCTTTATAAAACCGATTGAGACGCTTTAAGTCTACAGAAGTCTTGATCGTTAATATAATTGGCCAGAATTGTTTAATTGCTCGAATTATAAATTGAACGCTCCGGAATATTTAGAGTTTATTTGATTCAATCTAATTGTAAATTATATTAAAGGCTATATCAAATCATCAAAATTATTTATAATTGATAGTTCTTATATAATAGATAATCTTTAAATTAATATTATCAGTATTATTAGGTGTTATTATTTTTAAACAATTTTAATATTTAAATTTATTTATTACTTATAATGTAAATTATACAGGGTGACTGGTGAATTACTATCGATATTTGAGGACGTGATATTTGACGATCATATATGACAAAATAAAAATTAATATAACATAAATATTAATAAACTTCTAAGTAAAGTTAACCAAAAGTTATGTAATTAATTACGCATCGTGTGAACACCCTACAGATTAGGTATACACTCACACTCACACATACGCGTGTGGCGACGTGGTGTTGTATCAACACGTCGCCGCACGCGTCCACACTTGAACACTTGGAACGTGTCAACACTTTACTTATTTATGCGGAAATTTTGTCAAAAATTAAGTGCCTATTTTTTTTACATAATTCGAATGAGAATCATGTACCGAGTATTCTCCTTAAATATTGATAGTAATTCACCAGTCACCCTGTATAAATGTTATTCTTAGCTTGATAATAGATACTGTCAAATAAAGTTTTAGGGTTTTTCATTTAAAATGAATACATTAAAAAAGATATTCTATTTCTTCAAACTATATATGTATAAGATATTTTTCCTTTTAATCAAATTGAACCTATTTTACAATATACAATATTTGTTAAGCAAAATTTTCTTAGCATAGCAATTTTAATTGTAAATTTCTTGACATAGAAGTTGCAATAAATTTTTCAGTTAATTATTTTGTTACTGCTTCACTTTTTACCATTAAATTGAATTGATGATGATGAATTAATTCGAATTGTTTAAAAAATGAACAAAATTTTCGAAAACCTTGGCATCTAAAAATAAAATTATTGAAGATATACGTTAAAAAAGTTTAATATTTGTATGAATTATTCTCGATAATTGTACCATATACTTAAAAATAAAACAATTAATATATAAAATTAAATTAATTCCATACATAAATAAGTAGTATACATTCCTAACATATTGTGAAAGATTATGTAAAAAAATGTATCTGTCTAAAACGCTCACAACTGAATTAGTACATACGTAATATTTTTGTTTTGTTTTCTCATTAAGTGAAATGTAATTTCTTTTGAGAAATAAATGTCTTTAACCACAATTTACGTCCTCATTAAAATTTAAAACTGAAAATAATCACTGATTCCATAGTCTTTTCTCGTTTTTGAAGCTGACTTATAGATTTTCTCATGTTTAGGGTTTGTTTAGATCACAACTACATAAGGGATCGCATCTAATTTCTACCCTACATTTATCCACACATACTCTACGTCTAATTTCAACAAACACGTGCATGTTATAAAACATTCAGAATAACCATAACAGTTTAATGACCCCGTTACAGAGCCAAGAAATGTAACAGTGTCCTTTACAAATAAAGATACCACGCTGTTATGGTATCCAGTTTACGATGTCGTAAAAACCGGCCGGTAGACGAGCGATTAATTAATGAGCCGACTTCAAAATGAATTAATTACCCCACTGAGGCTTGAGGTGTTATACTTGAACATTACTTGACTGACGTTGGTCTCCGTTTTATGATCACTGTTTTAACATCTTTGGATTTGTTTCTTCTATTGGAATACTTCTTGCTAATAGGAGTATGGTTCGTAGCTAAGTTTAATTTGACACTACTGAGATTGAATAAGATTTGTATTAGAATATGTTACTTTTATAAAATATTGAGGTGAGATTAAAATAGTTAAGTAACTACTAACTATCGCTACCAAACAATATTTATATATCTGACAAACATGATGGTGATTTGTCGAATCTGTAGAGTTAATGGCACATTTATTACAATAAAGAGTTTGCCTTATAAACAATTCAATCAACACATATTTATTATTTTTATAAGAAAAAAAAAATAATTATAGAAGTCATTCAAATGTATCTCGTACCTACTAGTCGACTTTCTTACGATTTGAAATAACTTTATAATTTTTTTACTAATCAGGTTGCCGGCGAATGTTTAAATTGGGAACAATTATTTAAGAAAATAACTTATTAGGTATTATTTTGTATATTAAGTAGATGAAATTTACATTTATACATTTTGGGACATTTTTGTTTGAAGAAAAGTTTATCAAGGAATGCAAAGAGTAATGTATTATTAAATATTAATATATTAAATATTATACACAAATTTTATAAAGGAAAGAAC